GAAAAAGAATAACAGATGGGTTTGCGAATCTGCACTTGGAGTTTTGTTGGAGGGTTTTGTAATGCAGCGGCTTTATAGAGTTCAGGGAATGTGGGTTGCATCAGATATACTTATGCCTGCCGTTGTCTATCTTGAGTCTGCTTGGAGGAATCGGGTATCCAGGTTGGTGTGGACCGACCATGTCCGGCGTGCCTTTGAAACAGTAAATTCCTCGCCTGCGATCACTAGAGCTGCAAGCCAACAGGGATATTCCAATTGCAAAATGAGTAATTAACTTATTCTTGGCTTGGCTAATTCGTTTGTAGATGAGGTTCGTCGCGATTATATTAAGAGTGCCGGTCTAGAGCGGGAAAACATGTACGAGGTGCCGGTGCGCAGGGCTGCAATACGTAGTATAGAAAAAATCTATATTTTTAATTAGTTTGATTACCATGTGTTTGCACTCGTTTACTCTGTATTACCAAGTTCAATTCATCTATTAGTTAAAAATTGAATTTGAAAATGAAAAAAAAAAAAAAAAAAAAAAAAAAACAGAAAGTTCAATTCTTTTTGAAAATAATACTTTTAAAAAAACCCAATAAATTCAAGAACCTTTATTTCAAATTTAAATTGAAATTTAAACAAAATTTTTTTTGGCGGGATGACCCGCCTATATTATATAAATTTTAATTTCAATAAAACCTTGACTCCACCCAATTATCCACTTTCATTAATAAGAACATTTGTAACCTTTTTTTTCCTTTTTTTAAACATCAATTCATGATTATTAAATTTATCAATTACAGGAGCATTGTCATGATTAAGGAAAAGTCACAACACAACCTTGTGAATGATAGTAGTAAATTTGTGTTGTATAAGGCTGGGGACTTGCGTTTCTCTACCCTAATATTCGGTAGTAATTGTATGTATTCGGCGGTTTTATCCTATGATTGTTTTGTTCAAATAGTATGATATCTTTTTTTCTTGTATTATTTGAACAAGGAAAGAGATTGAAAAACAGTAATTGGGCCTCAAGTGGTTCAACAATCAAGTCTCCCCCCATTTTTTTGTCCTCGTTTTGTAATTGTAAGTGCGGTCCTTTGGGTTTAATACGGGCATTTGGAAACAAAATGAAGCCGTGTTGTACTTGCAGCTTTACAGCCACCCAACCTGGCCTTTCGTATCCCGCTATAATAAGTTGTTTCATTTCAATCTTTCCTATTACGGATTTTGAAATGTGTTTTTCCATGTCTCAATGTTGCGTTCAACAGAATATCACCTCCCAACTCTTGTGAATCGTTAAATCTATCTCAAACATCGTCCCACTCATTGGTCGCAGTTTATTGCTTCCCTTTCCGGATATTCTATTAATTCAATTCAGTCCAAAACCTCCACAAACTACTAAACAAGTAACATGGTCCTCGCCCAACTAGTTTTGGTTATGCAATTGTGGCTGTGTCATGCTCTTTTAAAAAACAACTAAGTAACAACCTTCGATCCTACCATTAATTGCAACAAGCGATTCATTAAGGAGAAGCTAATTTATTTGCCTGCTAACTGAATAATGTATAAGAAAGTAACAGACATGATACTCATAGGCAACTTTCAGAGTTCTTATTACATATTCACGTTCACGCTAATACATACATGTACCTTCGCAAAAACAGTTTGCTCTTCTGAAATATGAAATAAAAATACAGAAGCATTAAATCATGTCCCAGAATAAGCTTCACCAACCAGAGACCTTGAAGTCAGTGGAGCTTCCTTCAATGTTAAGAACCTTAACCTTTCCATTCCTTCTACATACTGCTGCCCATCTGAAAAACCCATAAAAAACAGAATTCATGACAATAAACACGCAGACTACCATATGCTTCCAGAAAATTGGATGTTAACTGCTACTCAATCCATTATTAAGCTGCGTTGTCTCATCTTTTAGCAAGAAAGAAGAGAGAACATAAAAAAGTACATTTGAATTTGCACTTTGTCTAAACCCATTCCTCAGAGGCCAAAAACGAGATGATAAAATTTTACACTTTCTCTATCCGAACCCTAAACATCATCTAGCAACAAAATGTAAAACAGAACGACCAGGTAGACTCAACAAGATTCCCTGCAGAGGACCAGGAATCTAATAATCAAACCTTTCAGAGCCGAGGGTCGCACAGCAAAGCAACAGAGAGATCTTTATTCAAGCTCCAAAGCTTTTGTGAAAGCGCGCCCATTCAAAGTCCCCATAAATTCAATCTACAGAAATGAATGTATTGAGTAAGGAAAACATAAACCAGGAAAAAGATAGTCACTTGATCGGCACCCAAATTACTAATCTTTTTTGTTAATAAAGCACAAAGATGAACACTTGCAGCGCCATGACATTAAACATTTAGTGCTATCTTTGCAAGATATTATCTTATACTGAATTATATGCAAACACAAACATCAAAAAGCCTAATGTTTCCTTGGACTTGGGTTATAAAGTACCATGAGTTATTAACGAGGACCCCCCCCCTTTTGAGTTTTCCAAACGTTTTTCATGGAAGTTTTTCCATTACTCTATAAATCAATATCTTAGTATTCTTAAGCAAACCTCGGTACATTCAAAGTCAAAGTGCACCAGCTGGAACTAACTTCTTAAAATGTCTAAAACTGTTTTGTGCTGCATGAAAGAATAAATATCAAAAAGACAACTAATGTATTGGCCTGTAACATTTTCAGGTTTCCTGTTCCTTTCAAAGTCAGGCTAATCTCAGCTTTTGCGACATTCAAAATCTAATAATTAAGATCAGAATATTCTTTCCCTCAAGCATCTCAAAGGACCAGGATTAAATTATAATAAATAGATCACAGACAATTGGGATCGGTGAGGGATTCAAGGGACCACGAACATCTGAAGCAATAAAACTAGCATTATTCGAAAACAGCAAAACATTAAATAATTTAGTTCTAATTGAAACTCAGATAAGCTATTATGCATTAAAGTTGGAGAAAAACCAATCATATTCATATTTTTCTAAAAATTCAAAGAACAGCCATTTAAGAGTTGAGGGCACCACTCACAGCACATTAGCTTTGCAGTTCTTCTGCCCAGCTAATTAAGGGCTTTATAGGGATTCGATTAACAGCCACCACAGAATTCACATGAATCAACTCCCTTTACCTTGGAACTATCTACTATTGTTTTTGTAAACTAGGAAACCTGAGCGCTGTGAACAAAAAACCCCCTGGTATTATGACCCCTGGAGACAGTAAATGAAAAAACACATCAAACTATTTATTTACTTTTGCAATGTCGTACTATAAAATAAAAACTGCAAATGGAAATAAAATAGAGTTGGCAATGGACGCGCGAATTAATATTAGGGCCACATAACATTCCAAATATAAGTACAATAAGATTCCAATTCATAAAGACATGTCTTTCAATTCGTATATTTTGTTTTGCACATTTACGTTCTTTTCAATATTCTAAACCAATAGAGGAAGGTGAAAGAAACTATAAAACTTAACTCCTTCTGGTATGTTCAAAAAGTCTTATCATTTGAACAAGCAGCCATTTTTGCATTTGGCCTTTTATCAGTTTTCAAGTATAAAATTAGAATAAACAAAATTTCATGTATTTAGCATTATCTTATAACAGTTTCATTCATTAACACAAATGAGAGTTGATCTATTTGCCTACTATCACAATTCAAATTGAAACAATTTACAACTAACCAAAGAACAATTAATTGTAAACTTACAGGAAGAGACCCAAAAGATTGGACAACTTTCTTGCCCTGGAAATATTTCAAATTAAAAAAAAATGAGAAGATAAAAAAAAAACAAAAATGTAAACATGCAAAATCTATGCACCTTACTAAATAAGGAAAGATACACAGTAAAAGCAAAATTCTAAACCTTTTATTTTTGGGGTTCATTAACAAACCTTTGGAAAATGTCTTTTTAGGCGGGAGTAGTGGAGAACTTGGAGGATACTCCTCGTTCCCAGGTTGGCGTGTCTTTCTGGAGGGAGAATTCGGTGTGCGGCTTCAAGACTAAGGTCCGTTTCCCACTGCCAATTTTTTGCCATAACGACCTCATGACCTTCCGATTCGGAGAGCATTCAACCATTCGGCTCAAAGCCGAGCTGCATGTTTCTCCTTATGATTGCAGATGCTCATGGCTTACGAAGCACCTTGCTGTAGTACCGGATTCCGGCTGATTCTGGATGTCGAGGTATTGATTGTGGACTCTTGGTAGTCTTGCGACTTGCGGAATTGCCAGGAGCTGTCTGTACAACATGGACCTCAAAGGGTCGGTTCTGAAAGCCCGGACCCGAGAGTTATGTTCGGATTTTGATTTTCTTCCTACTGGCTACTGTGCTTCTAGCCTTTTGGTTCTGAACTCTGGACAACCCGAAGCCTACAGTTGATCTGTTATTTGTGCCATGGGTTTTTCATTTTGCAGCAGGTGTCATGGGCCTCTTACAAACTTTTATTTCGCTATCCATCATAAATTTCCGGTTTTTTGTTTTTAATTATTTGAATTTAAATGATTCACTTTTTCAATTTTATCTCGCGTTATGTTTAGACAAATATTAAAATTAGTATAATATATATATATATATATATAATAATACTTATATATTTATAATAATAATCAGTTTGGTTTATCAATTATCCACTCTTCTCGACTTCTCCAGTTTTTGACTTTCAGCCCGTTTTACCTTCTCACTAAGCAACAAAGTAGAAAATGAATAAATTACACATTATACAATTTCACAAACATTATGAAATAGACGCTCTTAAGATCAAATGCCATCTCCATAATTTGCCTTCAACAAATTAGCTTCAGTTTTAGTCAGAAACAAAAATCCGCTGAAAATTCGAGAATATATATATATAAAATCAGTTTTTGGTTTATCAATTATCACTCATTCTCGACTTTCCAGTTTTTGACTTTCAGCGTTTACCTTCTCACTAAGCACAAGTAGAATGATAATTACACATTTATACAATTCAAACATTATGAAATAGACGCTCTTAAGATCAAATGCCTCCATAATTTGCCTTCAACAAATAGCTTCAGTTTCTAGTCAGAAAACAAAAATCCCTGAAAATTCGAGAATTCTGATACTTCCTAATTTCCAGTTCTCCTAATGGATGTCGTTGCATATATAGCCATTATCCAAGCAGTATTATTCATAAGAAAAAAAATATATATATATGTGTGCTCTGCTCTTCTTGTGCATGCCATTGTTCATACTTGGTGTAGCTAGTTTGATGGAACAAGAAGGTAGCAAGTTGTAAATATTGGCAAAAAGAGAAGAATCATCTGGGACCGGATAACTCAATTGCATGTAGATTCTCCGTGGAGTCGATCAGGTAATAAGAAATAGGTGGAAAGGCCAGTCTAAAATCCTGCTCAGAAGTGTCTATCTCCTGCAATTCATACCACCTCTCTGCCAAGCCATAACCTCCAAGCATTCTCATCACTTCAGACATCTTAGGCCGGTACAATGGGGAACCTTGTGTGCAAAGCAATGCCACCTTGATTAACTGCTCCATTTCATCTTGTACATAATTGCTGCGAAGATCAGGATCAGCCAGCACTTGTAATCTCCTCTCTTTCAGGAGAAGTTTTACCTGTGAATAGTCAATTACATCATGCTTCAGGACAAATGTTCAACAGAAACAATGGGGAGCAAAAAAAAACAAGCAAGAGGCTTTATGCGTACCCAATCAAGGAGCAAAAGATCATCTTCGGCAGCAATCCAAGAAAGGTCGACAGCCCTCTGTCCAGAAATTAGCTCTAGAAGCATAACTCCATATCCATAGACATCAGTTTTCTCTGAACATATACCAGTATAGAGGTATTCTGGAGCTATATGCCCTGCTGTACCACAAACATTAGTGGTGACATGAGTGTCATTGTAGTCCATCAATTTAGCTAGCCCAAAGTCCCCAACAACAGCTTCAAACTCCTCATCCAACAGAATATTTGCAGCTTTAACATCGCGGTGAATAATCTTTGGATTACAGTGATCATGCAAATAACAAAGACCCCTTGCAGCCCCAATAGCAATTCGCTTTCTAGTAGGCCAGTCAAGTGCAGGTTGTGATAAAGGTCGCTCTACAAGAATGCACCAATAGAATATCAAAATAAGACATGAGCATAATCTTTATAAAAGCAGAATTGCTGCAAGAAAATCACCGAAAAGATGAGATGCCAGAATTACCTCTTAAGTGTGAGGCAACACTTCCGTTAGCCATGTAGGGATAGACAAGTAGCTGTTCAGAAGGTGTCATACAAAAACCACATAATCCAAGGACATTCCGATGCACAGCCATGTTGATGATCTCTGTTGTTGTTTGAAACTGAAGTTGCCCACCAAGTGTTGGCTCGTTTTCCAGTTTTTTTACAGCAACCAGGGAACCATCTTCTAATTGCCCCTTGTAAACCTTACTAAATCCACCTCTTCCCAGAATATTTTCATCGCTGAAATAATTTGTTGCAAGTTGCAATTCCTCTAGGGAAAACATTCTTAGTTGGCTTACATCAGGATTAGGATCCGGATGAACTTTTCGATTCTCTTCAGCTGTGCAAGAAAATAGAACATGTGATAATCAACCATCAAATATGTTCGAAACCACTCAAGTTTCAGTTAGAGACTAACCAAATGATAGCATTCGCACTTCCCTACACCACCAACAGGAAAAAGCCATTGCAGAGGCTGCAAATAGGACTGGTGCACCAGAAACAACACGGCAAATTTTCTATGGCAACGGAGGAATTATAAAACTTCAAGAAATGAATAGAGAGTTAAAAACAGAATCACGAGCATTAAAGTCACGGTTACTTTGTATGACATCCACCAACTCCAATGTCAGTTTAGAAATCTGATTTTCCAAGTATAAATAGAATTCGTATTCACGGTTGACTGAAAGTCTATGGTCCAGGTATTTATAGCTTATTGTTTAGCATTAAAGTCAATGTAAAACCATGAAGCAAGAAACCTTCAAACGTGAATGAAGGGAGTATAAAGACTAGAAGTAGACTTTGACTTATAGGATTTATGCATTAAATACAAGGTACCATCCTTGCTTCTTCCTAATGAATTTTTCTCATCATCTTTTCTGACTGTTGCATTCTCACCTCGGTCAATTGCATCTACAGTCAAAATATGTGCTGTTCCCCTGTCAGAGATTTTTTTCTTCGTTTCCCCCAAATTTCTAAACAGGTTACTCTTTTTCTCTTTCTATAAGACATAAAAATTGTGTCCATATGACGTGAAAAGTGAAGTAACAAAATCTGAAAATAAACAAAATTTCACCATTTGTTTGGTAGGTGACCATTAAGCATCATCAATTTCTGGTTTGGTAGGTCACCCAGGAGAAAAAAAATATATATAGAAAAGTGATATTTGCATCAAAAAAGTTGCTGCAGTCCAAGTTAAAATCAAATTCAGCAATTTGAAAAGGATATTCATAATGTTCTTGAAGAAATAAGCTTCTCAAAATCATGAAGATTAAGATGTCAAATAAAACCAATAAAAAAATTACCGAGTAGCTTAAATAGAGAAAAATATAAATTAGATCACACTGAGTACAATAATTTTAATTTTAAGAACAACTTTTCTGCCATGATCTCTATAATCCTATATCAAATTTTCACAAAAGTACATGCTTGTTAAAATAAAAAAGATATTAGATAAAAAAATTATATGAAGTAAATTGGCCAGTTCCTGATCCGCAGAAGGGGCAGTACAATTGAAGATAAGAAAAAAATGGGGAGTCATCTTGGACCAGATAACTCAACTGCATTTAAATTCTGTGTAGAATCAAGAATCCTAGGAGAAATTGGATTAAGGACTGCTCCTAATGCCTGGGCAGGAATTTCCATCTTTTGCCATTCGTCCCACCTCTCCTCCAAGCCAATACTTTCAACCATTCTCACAACTTCTGACATCTTTGGTCGGTAGTCAGGCAAGCCTTGTGTGCAGAATAGTGCAATCTGGATCAGCTGCTCCATCTCAGCTTCTACATAATTATTCTGTAGATCAGGATCAATCAGCATCTCTAACTTATTCTCCTTCACAATTTCTTTTACCTGCGATGATTCTCTTATATATCAAATGCATATAAAGGTGCAGGTTGTATTTCCAGACAAATAAAGAACCATGGAGACGGAAAATTTTAATTTGCAAAATAAAGTCATCTGCATGAGCTTCACATCCGAGAATAGCAATAATCATATGTTATTTTATATTTATATGGTTAGTGCACAATCTCAATGCAAACTTCGATTTCAGCAAGAAGATTACATCCTGGCTAAACGCATTAAGATGATAGAAACTACGTTTCACATGATTCAAAAAAAAGGCAGAAAAAAGGAAATATAGAGCAAGGAGGTTTTTGCTGATAGAATCAAATTGCAATAGATTGCAAAGTAGTAGTACAGTATACATACCCAATCAAGCAGCATAACACTATCATCATTTGAAATTCGAGAAATGTCAAAGGCCTTTTGTCCAGTAATTAGCTCTAGAAGCATAATCCCATAACCATAAACATCAATTTTTTCTGAGCATCTTCCATTAGAGAGGTACTCTGGAGCTATATGCCCAATTGTGCCATGCACAACAGTAGTAATATGAGTATCCTTGTAGTCCATCAGTTTAGCTAATGCAAAGTCCCCAACAAAAGCCTTTAAATTCTCATCCAAGAAAATGTTTGCAGCTTTCACATCGCAATGAATAATTTTTGGATTACAATGTTCATGCAAATGACACAGACCCTTTGCAGACACCAAAGCAATTCTTTTCCGGATTGGCCAATCAAGTGAAGGTTGTGATGTTCGATCTGCAGCAATGCATTTCATAAAGTGACAACTTTTTTTTTCTTTATAACTGCAACAAATAATCAAATTATATGTCAAAAAATGATACCAAAGTGTTTCGGTCCCTAGCATGGGATCTAGTTATGGGTTTGAAATAGAGGATGAGGTTTGAGGTGAGTTATTGTAGAGGGATTGTCCTTCCTTCTATCTATGTTGACAAACTTTGAGACAATCTGCAATCTTGAGTTTTTTAAAAATACTCGATAATTTCTCAATTTTTCTCATGCCTTGTCCATTCATCAAAGATCAAGAAATGGTTCTGTGGAAAAATAACTTCTCCTACATTTTAGACGTGGTCACTATCACCACATACAGATAAGAACAAGGATGAACCTCCTGTAAACCACATCATAGGGCTTGACAACACAAAGCTTACCTCTTAAGCATGAAGCAACGCTCCCATTAGCCATGTAGGGATAAATTAGCAGTCGTTCAGTTGGTGTCATACAAATCCCATCTAACTTAAGGAGATTCTGGTGCGTAGCAGTACTGATCATTGCCATTACTTTCTGGAACTGAAGTTCCCCACCAGGAGTATGCTCGCTTTTCAGTCTTTTTATAGCCACCAAGGATCCATCTTCCAGAATTCCTTTGTAAACTTTACCAAATGGTCCAAATCCACCGCTGCCTAGAATGTTTTCATTGCTAAAATCCTCTGTCGCCACTTGTAATTCCTGAAAAGAAAACCTCTTAAGCGGACGAAGGTGAATTTTTGCGTCCTCTTCAACTGCAAGGAGATATAAACAAGTTATAAAAGATCCACAAAACGCTTTAAAATCCAATCAATTTCAAGTTAAAAATACTAACCAAGGGACATTTTTTTAAAATTCCTGGGGCAGCAACATGCAAAAATCATCTCAGAGGCCTTTTATCCAAGATGAATCAGAAAACAGTATTCCAACTGTTGAAGTTTAACCCAAAGAAAAATTACTCCATTGTACTCAAAATTAAGAGAATAAAATTCAATACCACTAGCATACAATTATCATTCCCTCAATCAAATACTAAACTTGTGCCACACCGATCTTAGCTTCAATGGAGTAAAATAAATGTCTTAAAAGTCACAAAAGATGAGAATAACATATAGAGACAAGCGGTATTACAAGTTTCGAAAACTCTTTGCTATTAGCAATCAAATTCATCCTCTTTGCTATCTGGTTGACCTAAAAGTCTCCGGAGGTTTCGCGTAAACCGATCGATTAGATGCAGAGTCAACACATAAGGATGCAACTCTGAAGATCAATTTAATTTCGTTGTCAAGATTAAGTAGAAAGGGAAAGTGAAATGAAAGTGACCTTATTAGTTTTGTAGAGAGCTCTATAGAATTTGGAGGAGTCACGTTTGTTCCCAACTCCAAAACAAAAACATTCATCCGTCAATCAAGTAGGTTTCTAGAATAAAGAAATCACAGGCAACTTCAGACCATAATAATTGTAAATGATCCTCATATTTCAGCAAATCACAGCCACGCTTCCAATAAATTGCTTCCAAACGCCAGTGCTATAAGCGATTAATTGGATTACCTGCGACGAAAAAGATTAAGGGGCATCGCAACAAGGTATTGGAGGAAGTGATCGACTTCGTGAAGATTTGCAAGATAGGCTCTGGTCTATGTGGTGCGATTGCAAATGCAATGGTGGCTATTAACGGCCGATCGATCATTCTGTGCAACGTTGATAACGGCAATAACAAACGCCACGGCTTTCAATGCAAAACACTCTTCCGGGCGCAGGAGATATTTACAGGACTCATGCCAGGCGTAAAACGAAATTGTTTCATTAATTGATTTCCCTGAGCAAAACAAATTTTTTCAGCCTTTCTCAAGGCTTCGTGAAAAGAATTTTCTTTTTCAAATGAGCAGCAATTGCCCAATTGTGCCTTTTATCAAATTGTGCATTTTCCTCGCAAGCATTGGGCACGCATCAGATTTTAGAAGGCCATATTACACTTCTGGATCAACCAAAAATTTCCCTCACAAATTTTACATGGCTTCATGGTTTAGAACTGGTACAAGTAAAATTCATGCTTTCATTCATTTAACTTGTTAACTACAGTGACAGAGCATAATTCAAAAACTCTATACTACGCTAGCTTGATTAAAACATTCAAGCGTTAGTTAGTTTCTTTTAACAGGAGTGGGTAAAGTCTCTCGTTTTCATTCTTGATGTCCTTTCTAGGAAGGAAAGATGGCAGCCTAATTTCATTTCACCAAAGAGTGTATTTATTCAAACTAAAACTTTACTTCTTCTGTTCGCAGCCCAAGTGCCGAGGAGTGTTAGAGCAGTGACATTTAGGCCGTCCTTTGACACTAAACTTGTGTTTTTGATATTTTGCTCTCTTGTAAAGTAGAACCAAAGATGGCAGCAAAGTACTGAATTATGAATTAGCTTAAGAATTAGGTAGTTATCTGTGCTAGGTAGAGAATTCTTAGAGACTATATTTCAGTTTTAAAGTGTCACTGCTCTAACATCTTTATGAAATGGAAATAAAACAAACCATCCATACAACAACCTGCAACGGCTTTGGACTGCATGGCTGCGTGCCAATAGTTTAAGAGCAAACAATGACAGCGATAAGCACTTCAATCTCGAAATCCAAGACTGAGATGTTGTGTAGCCCAAAACTATATAATTGTGAATCCTTGCCATGTATGACATCTTCCGCCACAGGAAAAAAAATTGCTCAGCAAGCACCAACAACTTCAGGTTCCTACTTCCTACAATAAAGGAAACACATGTAATTCAGCATTTCAGCTCAAAGAAAAAAAAAGTGTAATCATGCATGAAATTCAGCAAAGCAGAAGATGTTAACAATGTGCAGATTAAAGGTAAAGACTTGAGATTTCAGAAGCAAAAACTGATGATTTGTCCTTGCAAACAAGCTATTAATACTTTCAAGTGAAAATGGAATTCTTAAGTTATCAATTCTACATCTGAACTCTCCTATGACATGCATCATGGAAAGGAAGAAAATTAGTAAGGATATTGGAGATATAACAGAATTCAATTAAACAAAACGCTAAAGCAAACTTATAACAAAAAATTTAATGCAATCTAAATCCTGGTGTTCTCCAACTAGTTTGGAACTAAGGCTTAGCTGCTGTTGTTGTTTAAATCCTGGTGTTTTCCAGAATTTTCAAACAAAGATTTTCTGAATGTCAAAGGTATAGAAAATATAGTAATCACTAAGTATTAGTATTACTAATATTTCTATTTGTCCTTTCTAATCCTGTTTTACGCACAGTTAAGACTTAAGGTTAAGCTGCCTTACACCACTAATTTGCTACATATGAAGAAATGACCAAGTCCAAGCAACTTCTCTATTCTAAGAAAATAATAATTTACACAGGGGGAATATCGAATACTCACTGTTTCTTTTGTGCATGCCACTTCTCTATACTTCCATACCAATTCCACTGGAAGCAAAGGGCTAAAAGTCGTATCATACTGGCAGCAACCACCTCGATAAATGCCATTAAGAATGATCTCTGAGGGGATAAACCAGCAGTTGCTATGCTCAACAAGGCTCCCTCAAAGTTGCAAGGGACGACAAAACTACCAGATTTGATGCCATCTAAAGCTTTTTTGGCAACTTCATCTGCTTTCATTGCACCAGAAGAGGCTGCAATGATACTTGTGAGTTGTGGCCGCCTTTTATTTTCTGCAATTAAAATTGTTTTTTTTTTTTTTTTTAGTTCAAAGAACCACTTGACCCATAGCATAGCTATTCATTGAAACTTGCATTTACATAAGAATACCATTCAGTTATCGGACATAACAATTGAGTGTCATGGGACAGACCCATCAGCATAGCCAAAATCATCTCCACTTACAAGATATCAACTTTCAGACTCAAGTAACATGTGAAAATTCAAATGGACTTCAATGACATCCGTTATTCCAGCCTTCAGGATAATATCTTATAAATAGAACTCCTACTATTCAAACCCAAGAAACTCAACCCAACTAATTACGACTGACAAATGATGGTCTAACTTAATCCTAACTAAGAAAAAGCTGCCAATCTTCTACAACTTCAGATTTCGCAATCATAATGGAAATGAGACAAATTTCTTACCCTCAGCAAGGGCAGGAGTATCAGTGTCCGGAGGGAATATAAGGGAGACATGTATGTTATCTGCGATGACCTCCTGTTGTAAAGCTTCTGCTAAACCCCGGAGCCCAAACTTACTAGCTGAGTAAGCAGTGTAGCCATAAATACCCACCTAAACATCATCCCACACCATCATTAAGAAGACTTGGATCGCTTCATCAAATCTCAACAAACAACATAAAGTAATCAAATCCCGATCTTCAATGCACATCTGTATAGTTGCTTGTCATAAATTTCACTAAAAATTGCATTACACATATACATACCTGACCGGCCTGAGATGACATGAGAGCAATCGAGGCGGGCCTGCGTTCATCCCTAATCTTCATTCCAGGCAAAGCAGCTTTAATCATATTAAAACTCCCCATCAAATTCACGTCTATCATGAACCTGACCTCATCCAATTCCTGCTTCTCCAGTTCCTGAGGTAAAAACACCCCTTGATTCACCACCAACACATCGATGGGGCCTGCCTCAACCACAGCTTTTGTTACAGAATCAAAATCTCTCACATCCGCCGCAAAAATTGCCACGTCCACACCAGTAGATAGACGGATAAAGTGCTTTGCTTCCTCGAGCTTGTCGAGAGAACGGGCCAGAATGGAGACTCTGGCCCCTTCTGATGCGGCCCGGATTGCCAAGGCCAATCCGATACCGCTGGACCCACCGGTGATGAAAACATGGCGATTTTTTATTGGGATCTTGACGGGGCGGGGCCTGACGATTAAAATTAGCAGAGCAAGAAGAGAGATAGGGATGACAAGGAGAAGGAGAAGCAAGAGGTTGAGATCCGCCATTGATGGCGCTTCAGAAAGGTAGCGAAAATAGACGATGGCGATGCTATGTGTGTGGAATTGTGGATCCACTAGACATTCTTCTTTCTGGAACCAACGTATAGGATTAGATCTTGACATCTCCGCCCATGGGTCCACTTAATGGACGGTCCTTAGAATGGAAGATCCTCTTTTTGGATGATCTAATTGTCACTGTGGATTTAGATTTTCTTCTTTCAGGGAACTAACGTATAGGATTAGATCTTGCCGTCTCCGCCATTGGGGTCCACTTAATGGGCGGTCCCTACAACGAAATGTTTCCCTGTTGAACGTAAAATTTTTCTTTTTGGACGGAAAACCCATGTGTTCAACGAAATGTTTTTTTGCCTATTTTGTCAATGATTTTGAAGCCAAAATGGAATTTTTAATTGAAATAAATGACTTTTTTTTTTTTTGGTAGATTAAAGGGAACTCTGAAGCTTAAGAAGAACCGGAAGAGGCCATAGAACGCCCAAAAGTAACGCTGCCTCAATCACTAAAAATAGTAATTTTTATTTTATTTATTTATTTTTAATGTGTCAGCTATAGATCAAATCAATAAAAATAATAATTTTATTAAAATAATTATGGTTCTGACTATTAAAGTATGAATAATTTTTAAAAAAATATCTATTTTAATTAATTTGGTCAATAGATATGCTCATGAATATGATCTAGACTCAATATTTTTATTTTAAATATACTTTGAAGTCTGAAGTGTAGAGAAAAATAAATGGTAATCTACTTCTTTGATGAAGTTGTTAGTATTAGTATTATTTATAATTATAAGGGCTGTGAATTACATAAGTGAGAGGGGAAATTTTCTCAGACTGCTGATTACTCTGATATGGGCTAACCATCCCAACTGTTAATGAAAAAGATATTGTTGGAATGAAAGATAATGCACAGGTCAGGTGTGTATGAGATTTGCAACTTAAAAGGTCCCAAATCAACAACATCAAATCAAGCTCAACCAAGCAAACCAATCTTAATTGCAAATTATTGTCTTCTTTCAATGTCAAGCAATTTTCTTGTTCATAAATGTATATTGCAATTTTTCGTTTTTTCAATTTAATATTTAATGAACTGCATAGTTGTAAATCTTTCAGTTGATAAGCATGCATGAATTTCACTCATTATGTTTTTGAATTTAATGTCTCCTAACCTCGGGAAAAACGCCGGCATATTTGCAAGATTAGACTCCACAACCACCTTAACCCATAGTAAAGTAGCGGCCCAAACCACTGAACTCTGACTGTCGGGCTAGGCCATGACAGGCTCACCGGCCCACCGTCCTACCGTCCTAGCAACCAACTCAGCTTTCACGTCGAATTTGCTCCTCCGTTAAGTTTGCACTCAATTGCATAATTACCGAGTCATGTTTGAAGGATTAGAATCTATAGAAATTATTACAAGTGACATACACATTGTCTCTTGTCTGTCTTTACAGATATTCTTTCCACTCAAAATTGAAAAAGAAAAAGATCAAAGAAATGGCAATAGTACATTAGTACTGGGCAGTGGTGGTTTCACTTCTCTCCCCAATCCCCATAATGTGATTAGACATGGACATGGTGATAGCTGATAGGAAGGCCAGGGCTAGCTGTCATTTCACATTTAGCTTTTATCTTGAATTTGAACAATTAATAATAATAATAATAATAATAATAATTCGTCCATTTCGTAAATATTTTCAATCTGAGCTGGTGCACATGTGCCCATATACAAAGGTCATCTCTTTTTGAAGCAATCTCTTCAGTTATGGGATTGAGAACCAGGTCCAGAAGAAGATCCATTAATTATGGTTTAATAATTCACCGAATGTTTTAACTAGTGTTATTGCAAGTGGGCAAGTACTAGATTTCAATCCACTTATGTTTTTTTTTATATAAATACTTTATCTTTATTTAAAAGAAATCGAAGCAAATATTCCATAACCATGTTTAAACAAAACAAAAGTAGGCAACAGTTAGCTATCCATCCCATCTAATCACAAAAAATTTTTTAAAAAATATTCTCTTTTGTTTTTTCGTTCTGCACATGATAGGGAGAGCTGTGGCTATCAAGAAAGCAGAAGTCATGTGATTTGAAAGTTGCTAGATTGGGAAAATATAAGTGAAAGCTAAATTTTGGGAGCGGAAATGAAAAAAAAAGACACCCCAAAGAGAATGTAAAACATTAAACAACGGAAAAAGACTTGAAGATGACAGGAAGTTGAAGACTTGAAGCTACAGTTAAATTAATGTATACCGTGAGAAGGGAATTTATACAACATGAATCTTAGTTATTACAATTCTCTAGACACAGGTGTCTGAAATGGCTGACCAAGTTTTCCTTATTTGCTACATGTAGAAAGAAGAAAAATCATATAAAGAGAGAAGAAAATTCTTGCATTGATGTGAAAGGGGAGAAATTTCTTATTCCACTAATGGGTTTACTGTGACCAACGCCAACCATGATTAATTCATAGGTTAATCATAAAGGATTTGATTTAACATGTCATGATTTGAAAGTTCATGAATTCTTCCACCGGTTATACAGTCAAGTTCCAATATGGCATCTATAGAATCCAATAGCAAACAAGCAAGATCACGTTTTGATACCTTAGTTGTCTTTTGAGAATGGCATGCAACTAGCACGGGTTGCCTCTCTGTCACTTCAGTTTTCTGTATCTCTTTATTTCTTTCGACTGTTCCTCCTCCAAATATCTAATAATTTCTCCTAGCTAATATACCAAATTATAGGAGAATTTGTCATTTCTTCTCTAGTAATTAGTAGACTTTTTTTTCATTTTTCTTAATGTCAATTCAATTAATTTGTATGTCTTGATTATGCAATTACTGCAAGATTATTAACTAATTCCGGTACGTATATGTGCAGCTTTTCTCATAATTATGTAGAATTCATTTTTCATGAATTCATATGAGATTAACTTAATGGGTGAGAATATATTATTTTATCCTTAAAACAAATATACTAAATAATTTCTCGCAAGTACTTAATTAACCAATATCATTATTATAATAAATTGTGGGTAAATCACACTTAAATTCAGGTTGTCAAAGAGTATATATACTTTTCCTTCTTAGATTAAACTTAGAATAGAAGAGATTTTATTTGGTTTTTCCTTAAACATATACAAGAAAGTTCAGTACTGAAAACATTGATTTTTTTTGCCAAATGTGCTAGTAATTATTAATTAATGTACATGAACAGAAAATTAAGACATTTGCGACATAATAAATGACAATAATCAATCACATTAATTAGTTTTAGCAACACAACCTTATCCCTATACAACACTTGACAACAACCATACAATTCCATTATTGTAGAGGCCGGTAGTATCCTTTGATCAACCTCGCTAAAAATGCCTACTAGGAGCAGAGTAATTAGTTAAAACAGCTTTTTTCCTGTACATGTTCAACATATGGATCATTTAGATTTCAACTCCATATCCTTTGCCCTCAAAACCTTAGTGGCAAAAAGATTAGTAGAACTTATTGAATACTTTATATAGCCTTAACTTAACTATTAACTAGCCTTTCTTGGGATATAAAGAATTGCTGTAAGAAACTTGAGAAACCATCCTTGTATTATCTTGGTGCAGCCTGTTAGACTTTGATGAGTTGAAAGAAGAATGTCTTCCTTGCCTGTCTTTCCTTCTTGGCTGTGATGATCTTGGAATGAAAACACCTGTTCCTTTGCTTTCTCTTCTTTGCTCACATACAAATGATGATGCTGCTGCTGGACAATTCCCTCTTGAGAAATCCTACAAGATTAGTTATACAGTTAATCCCACTTCAGTTCTTAAAGAAAAAACAAGAAAGTTCTGTTCTTTTATGAACAAATGAGAGGTATTAAAAGTTATTAACCTGGAAAGAAACTGAAGGATAATTGGCAACTGGGTCTTCATCATCGTCCATGATGAGAAGAGAAATTTGTTTGCTTAGGTCTGCAAAGAGCAAATCATCTTCAAATTCCATTGCTACTTCCATAGAAACTAACTCCGAGTAGAGACTACTGCACCAAGTTTTTTTTTCTCTCTTACGCTACTAAAAGTATGTCAATTAATAAGCAGAAAGAATATCAATAAGGTGAGATGTAATATTTGGAAGTCTCCTTTTTTTTCTCTTTTCTCCAGTGAAGTGAGGATAAATAGGGTTTATATAAACAGAGAAAGGGAAGGGAGTAAAAGCAAAATGAGGTGCGAGCATGTGGGGTGGTGGGGTCATAGTGGCAGTTGGACAATCTGGCCAAAGCCCCACAAGAATCATCTAAGTGTGTTTATGATATTATCCAGTTGGGGAAAAGAGATGAGGAACAGCAAGCAACAGCCCACACCAAGATATCTAATCCAAGATAGACTCAATCTTTAGCATTCTTGGCTGTAAATTGATGGAAGTTGTGTCTCTATCTCTCCCACACACACTCACATTCCTCTCGTAAGAGAGAAGGTATGGTTCTAAATTCTTAGTCAATCCACCGCGGCAAATATATTATTTCTTTTCTAAACCGAAACACTCCTTATCCAATATATTGTCTAATTGATATACTAGAAATTAATCATGGTTAAGAAACTAGCCAGTCAAACAAGTTTGCTAGAGCAGAGTTCTCCATGTCTTGATTAACTTTTTCTTGCAGATTTCAAGTGGGCTCAATAGCCATAAAAGAACTGAGACCTTCTGGTCCAGCTCAGCAGCTCTACAAGATTCTGAAAGGTCATGTACAGCATTAACTACAGTTGGTGATTCCCTGTGTAAAGAACGTATAAAATGTCCATACATAGAGTTGAATTGGTATTTTTTTTCACTGACAGTGAAGACATATATTCACTTAAAGAAACTGAAGTTTGGTTTGACCATCTACTTATAGAATTGGTTTATGGACTTTATACTATAACTGCATGAAGGGCCTAGTGGTTAGTCATCCTGGAGAGCAAAGTGGCTGAATTATGCAAGTGTCTTTGGTCCACACGGTTTGTCATGTGGCCCTTATGTATGAACAAAATCATGGATCCTGAATTCTTGATGGCCCCTCCACATGAAGCTGCTTTCACATTTTGGTTTTAATTATCGCATTAATTGAGTAGACATTATTATATATATATATATATATATATAAGTTTCCTATAGGCTTGGAGTGGGATATTATTTGCAGGCGGCAAGTGGAACAAGGATACTTATGACTATGTTAATTAATCAGTTAAGTATCCAAAATCTCTTTAAGGTTCGAAAAATTGATCTGACATTCTAAGCTGGAGGTTAAGTGTGGTCAATGGTACTACTACTACTACTACTACTACTTGCTGCTGTGTTGACCCATCGGCATCATCTTTGAAGCTACAGAATAAAATAATGAACCGCCACTTATCTGTTAGTGTTTAAGTGACTAGGAAAGTGGCTAGAAGAAGCAATCCATCATCAAATAAGCGACACGTAAGCTTGTCTTCAACCTTCACCGACGAACTAAAAAGGTCAATAAGTTTTTTTAATAATGTTTAAAGCCGGTACCGACAAACATTTAAAAGGAAACAAAACACCAAGAGGACAGTCATATGACAATGGATGAGCAAGAAATTCGTCAGTGGACACGAAATATTTATTTAGGATCCAATCTATACATACGATAAAGCCGTTTGAACTGAAATGCTATTATGGGAAGTGGAATATTTTGGCCGTTCACCATATAAATATAATCCTGTTAAAAGAAGTATATAAAAATGTAATCTTTTTGGAAAAATAACGAAAAAATTAAATCTTTGTTAATAACTTTTGGTAATCATGTCACATCTACAGGGGTTTCCTTAAAGACTATCTTGAGAATTGTTACACATAAAAACGGATTTCAATTTGTCAAGAACTTTTGACTCCAGTCAAGAAACTCTTTCATGGAGTATCTTCCAGAGTTGGGAGAATTTCTGCAAGTTAAATCCAAGTGCTGTAGGCAAAATTATGCTCCGCCAGCCATGTCCATATCTGTGACCCCATCAATTCCCTTGAAGACAACTCGTAATTTTCTCAGACAAGAGGTTTTACTGCCATTCTGGTTGGTCATGCCATTCACATGGACAATGCCCTTTGAAACTTTACCCATAAGTTCAAATAGCGGTAGGCTTAGATTTGATCGAGTCATCTCTTCTAGAACTGGAGGTGCTTGCATGTACAAATTCTTTCCTCGGTGTATGATGCTTGCTTTTGATAGCAAAAGCTTAGGATGCTCTTCAAGCATATCAATCAACTGTTCATAAACAATCAAAGCAAATAATTATGAATTGAGCACAGCAACCAATAAACAATCAGAAATTGATAAAAGTGAAACAGAAGTGGAAATTATAAGATCAAGTGCAACATATCTTTTTTCTAGACAAAATGGAGAAACATGAAGTAGGGAACCACACTAAACAATTATATGGAATCTACTAGGCTTATTGATGTTTCGAACCAAGACACAAGCATGGCCAAAGCAAACAGCCAATATCTTGTTGGCTCAAATGTTTTCAGATTGCAAGAGATCAAGCGGCACTGTGAGCCATCATGGCAAACAAGTGACCAACTAAAAATGAATGGCAAAAGGATCATCATCTCCTATTGTCTATTATTGCCCAACTAAGGAAAAAATGGTCATAAGCAACAGAAATTAACCTTTTGCAAAGTAACTGAAGTGTCTAACTCCATAAGAACACCCGGACCACAAACAAGACAATCCTTGTCCTTCACAAATTCAGTCACTTTAATGTGGAGACCTTCCACGCCATTATACCTACAAAAGATTGAACTCATTCAGTGCACTTTGCCAAATAGCCTTTTACTTGAAAAAAAAAAAAAGAAAAAAAAAAAAAAGCAAAATGTCTTGATAAATCAAACGACCAATTAATTACTTAATTAAGAAGCTATTTTCCAGACATTTTCATGAATCCGCCAGATTCACCAACATCTCTGTTGCTCTATTTAATGGTATAAGAGGTTATAGGTAATTCCCAAGGAGTTGGTTATCACTGAAGTTAAAAAAATGGACAAGGAATATCTAAAAGTTACCTTTCAGATTATCCTGCATCGATCATTAATACAAGGCGAGATTAAAGAGGATGTTATGTTAACAGATCACAAAAATGAAGAATTTATTAGAATGGGGAATTGTACTGACGTTAGATAATTGGACAGAGTTTTGCTGCATCCTGATGCAATCTTCAAGGTTTCCAACGCACATGCAGCTGATATAATTGCATTGGTGGAAGCAATAGCCGGTATTATGTTTTTCACAACACCCTGTAAAAAGAGAAAGAACAATACATTTGTTCCAGCACAGAGAAGGAAAAAGGAAAAGAAGAGAGCGACAGAACAATGAGAAAGGAAATCAGAAGCAGGATCAAACTAGATAATTTATGCTAAAGGATAACATATATCTTTTTAAGTCTTTTAAGTATCCAATTCAGGAACACAAGAAACAGAACATATTGGGGCAGTTATATATATTTGGAAAAATTCTCTCACTCAAATTTAAATTTACCTGAGTAAGGGAATACGTAACTCCTTGAATGCCAAAAAGCTCAGCTCTCTTGACAGCCTAGGTGATACAGATAGAACATGAGTTGAAGGAACCAGGTGAAATCAATATTAAGAAAATCAGTTAGTAATTCCAGTAGTTTACCTCACCATAAACCCACTTCATATGTTCCGGGTCATCTGGATCAAAAGTCTTTCCACTGTGAACCTCATCCCATTTTATTAAGTGAGCATATTCAATACAATGAGCAGGAGTTCTAGGGGTTTCTGCAAGAGTGCACAAAGGAAACTTGACTTGAGGGGGGAAAAGCCAGATGGTACACTCAAAGCATGGCGTGACTCCTGGCATAATAACTCTAGCATGGCCCTTGAAGCCTTCAGTCCCACCATCTACCATGGGCTTCATTGTTTCTTCCCGTGGATTATCATCAGAATCATACTCTTAAGTTCCCAAAACAATAATACACAAAACATAAGCTCAAGAAGAGTAAAGGAAACCAAAATAAGATGGGAAAGTATTAGGTCCCTCTAAATTTGAACATATTGCATGCAAAAGTTAGAAGTACCATGTTGTAGAAGAGCATCAAATCAATTGAATCAAATGAACCTTCCCAAACAGAGTGGTGCAAAACTTTCAGAAATAGATCCCAAATAAAATTATGGAGAAAATTAGTGCTACAGTATGCCACATCTGCCTTATCCAAAGTAGTTAGTATCAAAACAAATAGAGGACCAGGAGAAAATTAGTGATTCTATAGTAAAAGAAGGTGGCTTATCCAAAGTAGTTAGTATCAAAACAAATAGAGGACCAGGAGAAAATTAGTGATTCTATAGTAAAAGAAGGTGGCTTATCCAAAGTAGTTAGTATCAAAACAAATAGAGGACCAGGAGAAAATTAGTGATTCTATAGTAAAAGAAGGTGGCTTATCCAAAGTAGTTAGTATCAAAACAAATAGAGGACCAGGAGAAAATTAGTGATTCTATAGTAAAAGAAGGTGGCTTATCCAAAGTAGTTAGTATCAAAACAAATAGAGGACCAGGAGAAAATTAGTGATTCTATAGTAAAAGAAGGTGGCTTATCCAAAGTAGTTAGTATCAAAACAAATAGAGGACCAGGAGAAAATTAGTGATTCTATAGTAAAAGAAGGTGGCTTATCCAAAGTAGTTAGTATCAAAACAAATAGAGGACCAGGAGAAAATTAGTGATTCTATAGTAAAAGAAGGTGCCCGCCAGCGTGGTATACGAAAGTCTTTCCACTGTGAAACGGTGCTCATCATCCATTTTAATAGAGAAGCTATAATTTCTAGATTATACATCAATTGTTTAAGTTCATGTTGGGAGTCTCTATGTGTTGATTCTAGAACAAATGTATATTGTCTACAAAATGTGTAACAACGTTGATTGGAAGGGGAGTGAGAAACCAAAAAACACATAAAGCCAGTATGAAATGCAAACTGCCAAATCGATAAAAGCACCCAGATATTATACCAGGGATAGGTGCAGGGCAAAAGGAGTTCAGGACATATCGGGAGCTCTATGTTAGGCCAAATAATACTCTAATAGAATTTCCATATCATATTCTGCAATAAAATATAAACTAATCGATGTTATTTGAGAATTTATTCTCGAAAATTCTCATATGCTTAAAGAGCAAGATAATTTCATTCCTCTGGTAAAATCATAACTTGCAGGACAGATAACTAATTTCCTCAAAGCATGGCGGTTCGATCTATGCACTCGGTTCTATAGACATATATCATCTCTAATCATGAGAACCTTATAATTGGGAGAGCTGTACAGATCCACCAATTCTTATCGACATGGCGCTATTCCAATGATATGTTATTCTTTACCCGATGGAAAATTTATCTAAGCAGAGATCTATCAGTCTCAATTCAAGTGCGAGCGAAAAAACAGAATAAAAAAAGGCGCCAAAATCATTAATCAAGCTCCCAATGTAATTCCAATCATTATTATGGTGTAAGAGGGGTGAGTATAGGAGTGATATATCGCGCGAAGAAAATTAAGGGATTGGGGAATACGTATTAAGTGTTCTTCCGCGTGAGCAATGTGCACACTATATGCAATTGCAATAGTAAAGAGACGTATATACAGCCAAGATCCTATGAATTGGTGGCTAGAGGACTATGGAGTACAAATCAATATATTGAATAGACATGAGAGCGTTACCAAACCAAAGTAGTGGCAAAACCCATTTTCAAGAAATAGATCCACCCAAATAAAATTACACAAACTGGAGGAGAAACTCACATGCAACAGTAGCCACCACTAGAAAATTTACTGCCTTAGCTCTAGGAGAGTAAAGTGCTAGTATAAAAAAATATAGAAGAGTACAGAGAGAGAAATATTAAGTATGAGAGATTTGATTCTAAATAAAGTAGAGTATGACGAAGGGTGGCTTATCCAAAGGTAGATACATATCGAAGAAGCAAATTATAGGAACACTTACGGGAGAATAGATATTAGTGATTCTAATAACGCTGTGAGCATAAAAAGAAAAGTGAAACTGAAAAAGCGTGATTACCTCAATGAACTACTTCCGTAGTCTATTTCTAGAGAAGGAGGTAATTTAACAATGATTTTGGCAGCGCTTGATATTTCTTACTTTAACTGATAGACAAAATGAGGCGTTATGACTTTCCTTAAATATAAGAGTCAACAGGAGCACAAATAGGTGGTATTCAAATTAACTTAGATGTCTGCTTTAAAAGGCTCAAGGCTCAAAAACAGAAAAATGCTACGAGATAAGCTCATGACCCCGAGCATCCATGCATGCACATGCAATAAACTACTCCACTAAAAACAAGTCAAAATAGAATTTAAACATTTGTTACCTGATCAAACTGGTCTCCCCGATGTCATCAATAAAGGGAGGACATGTACAAGTTGGCCTTCGTAATGTCAGATATTGGAGCAGTTGTCTGTATATGATAGAATAAAATGTTCCCTCAATATAGCACATACGAGCTACTGTGTTTCTCTCTATATCCATTCATCTAATCAATATTCGAGTGTAACTAAGAGCCGCTCAATTTCACTGTTTAAGACACTTTTTTTACTACTTTTTTTTGATTTTCACCAAAGAATTAAGAAAATCAATGAATAATCTCAATTCTAGAAATATTATACCAAGGTAATTCCAAGGTAAATTACAACACTCTTTTAACCTTTTTCTTTGAGTGAACTAAGAGAGAACACAAGTGCTCCACTGGAAGATATCTAGAGTATTGAGAGTGTGCGTCCATGAGATGTTTTGCATTATAAAACTAAGTCGACCTTGATTAATACTTGCAGAAGTCTTTTTCAAGATAATAAAATTTCGCCAAAGACAAGAAAAAAAGTCAAAAAGAGATGTCAAACAATGTTGTAACTAGGAAAAAACCGGATGAGAGGTAGTATTAAAAAAATAAATTTATTTTGGAAATACATAACAATAATGACTACTACTCCTATCAATCCATTGAAACTAAGCCGAGACAGATAGAAGACTTGAATACCAAGAGATAGGATCGAATGTAGTATTAAATGTGAGCAATGAGAGGAGAGAGCACGTCGAGATAGAAATTTTGCGGAATACACAAAAAAGTGAAAAGTTAATAAAAAATTGGAAAAAATGCTATGTCTATGAGAGGTATTTGTATAATTTTCGAAAGAAAGTCTTTATATCTATCTAATAAAAGGCTTCCAGAGTATAGTTGGGCATATATATAATTAAAATACAAATAGGGAGAGTTAACATTATGTTGAGAGACGCTCACCATGAAAAAAAATAGCTTAGCATCACGCTAAAAGCAATTACTTTATATAAACTATATTAGCGCTCCGTGTTCTCCTAATAGGTATATAAAAAATTGCACACAAAACTAGACAGCAGGAAATATACTTAATAATGGAAATACTCAAAAAAATCTTATCCAAAGTAGTTAGTATCAAAACAAATAGAGGACCAGGAGAAAATTAGTGATTCTATAGTAAAAGAAGGTGGCTTATCCAAAGTAGTTAGTATCAAAACAAATAGAGGACCAGGAGAAAATTAGTGATTCTATAGTAAAAGAAGGTGGCTTATCCAAAGTAGTTAGTATCAAAACAAATAGAGGACCAGGAGAAAATTAGTGATTCTATAGTAAAAGAAGGTGGCTTATCCAAAGTAGTTAGTATCAAAACAAATAGAGGACCAGGAGAAAATTAGTGATTCTATAGTAAAAGAAGGTGGCTTATCCAAAGTAGTTAGTATCAAAACAAATAGAGGACCAGGAGAAAATTAGTGATTCTATAGTAAAAGAAGGTGAAACGAAGCTTATTACCGAGTCATTTAAAGGAGTTTTACATGATTCTGATGTCTACTTTAACGTAGACAAATGGGTATGCCTTTCTATATCATAAGGTCAGAGGCACAAATGGTGTATTCATTATTTATAAACTTTGTGTCTTAAGGCTCAAGGCTCAAAAACAGAAAATGCTCGATGCCATAGAGCATATGAGAAGCAATAAATACTCCACAAACAATATAAATATTTGTTACGCTGATCAGTGTCTCCCCGATGTCATATATACATGACAAGTGGCCTTTATTTTAGTTGACATTGTTATTATATACTTCTCAATAGAGCACATTCAGCTACTGGTTCTATATCCATTCATAATATTATACTACCTCCATTCCTTTAATTTTGACACTTTTTGACTTTTCACAAGAATTAAGAAAATAATTGAATAATCTCAATTCTAGAAAAAACAAGGTAATTGACTAACTTACTCTCTTATTAATTTCTGTAATTAAGAGAGATAAAGTTTACTGGAGATATCTAGATAAGGTCAAATTGCATTAAAATAGTGCTGACTTGATTTTTTGAAAGTTTCATATAAATGAAACAAGAAAAAAAGTCAAAAAGTGTCAAAATTAACAGAAAAGAGGTAGTATAAATATTTTGGAAATACAATGCAATAATACACCAATAATTGATGCACTAACAGGATAGACAATATGTACAAAAGAAAAGCCAGATAGAAATTGCTTCACAAAGTGATATTAAAAATAGAAGAAAATGCAAATTGAATTTCGACCAAAACATTAAATAAAAGTGAGAAAAAGCATTTAATAAATACAAATAGGTTAAAATTACGCACCAAGAAAGCTACAAGCTACAGCATTTATATAGCTCCGGGCCTCAATGGAATCAAGACCAAGCACAATAATACTAAAATCACTATAAAAATCAATTTCTTTGTCTTCGATCCGACAAAAATGTGGCACAATATTCACACCACTAACCCTTTCCATCACACGCTTGGCTGCTACTTCAGCCTTTGGCTTACCAACATCTTCAAGCCTGCAATAAGCACACTGATAAATGCCAATGCAAATGCATTTTCAGATGCAACACATACAAGCCAGAGCAAAATTTTCAATCTTCAATGATGCTATGATAAACATAAAATGACGAGAGATACCAAACTAAAAGTAGTCAAAATCGAATTACACCATTTCAACTATGAATGCAACACATATATCACCTTGACAAGAGACATGGAGGAAATTGTCCAGCAAATACAACTTTTTTGTTTCCCATATTTACAAGATATCAACTTTGTTATTTGCAAAATCAACGCATTTAAAAGTGTTGAAAATGTTTATAGACCCTTATAATCACCAGTTTAGAATTATAACACTGTCAAAGTATCTTAAAGAATTTCCAAGGTTCAAAATCAAATTAACAACTGGTTAACCAACTTCTATATAACGATAGGATCCACCTACCATAAACACACTCCAATTTCCATACACCAAATCAAAAGTATATATCAAACAGGGAAGGATGAGGACAAACATACTCTAATATCCATTCACCAATCAACAGTAACTGAAAGATAACAAATTGAGGAGGCACAATAGAAAAGGCAAGTGAAAAAAATTATAAGAGCTAAGTGCAGAAATAAAAAAGAACCTGAACAGGAACTGGCGATTGAGATTAGAAACTTCGATGCGGTCCATGTCGATGACCTCCAAATTCTTAAAACCCGATAAAGCCAAGTCCTTTAGCAGCTCACAGCCCAACCCACCAGCTCCTACCACCAATATTCGAGCATACTCTTGAAGATCATCTCTCAACTACATCCAAAGAACGTAATAAGAAAGAAAAACCTAAAATTATAACAGGACAATATTGAGCGCAAGTGCTCGTTAAATTGCCGAAGAGTGACATAGAGTGAGTAAAGTTGCTCACTTGGATACCGGGTTCGAAGGTAGGGGCGACGAGATTGCCGGGTCTGAGAAGCAGCTTGTCCAGGTCTGTCGACCGGCTCGGCTGCACCGTCGAGTTTGCCATTGTCCCGCTCTCTTTCTTGTCCTGCTATTGATATTAAGCCTAAAGCCCAAAAGCTGAAAGGGAAAAGAAACCCAAAATATGGCGTATCTTCTCGCTTGAATTTTACGCTTCGCCTCTGAGATTCAGTAAAACTCTCACCAACGCATCAACTCCAAAAAGTTCTATTTAAATTAATGTCTAAAAGCATTGCCTATATTTATCTATTTTGTTTTCGTCATAAAAATTTATTAAATTATTTTTTATTTCTTAGAGAATAATTTAATTATTAAATGGCAGTCAAATTTTATTTTATTTCTTTTAGGATATAGTGGAGTTTAATATTTTGTAACCATCATACAAGAAGTTTAAATTGTTAATTTTATATATTTTCTCAAACATGGAGTTAAAGTTAAGGATTAAGCTTTCTCTCTTTTTTTTCATCATAGGTATAAAAAAATTATCAAAAAAATAAAAAAAAAAAACAAATTCTAAACCATAAAATTCCCAACAAAATATCATAGTAAGTTTAAGCCCATCAATTTCCTATAAAAAAGTTCAAGTCCGCCAACAAAGAATGTACTCTAATTCATGGGCCGAACACCCGGAAACAAGGCCCAAATGGATCAAAGAAAACGCTTTATACTGCCAAATCAAATTGAAATTTAGTTACTTCTCATTTATATTATTTGACAAACAGAATTGCCAATTACATTTTCCTCCAAGAAATTACACCACTTGATTGTAATCACAACAATCCTATGCACTAGTATAGTATACTTCTAGCTACACAATATTGCTTTTATTGCAAAACCTCCTCCTGCATATACACTTCCACTAGCCACTACATTTTCCCTCCTCTCTTTGATCAATTACCTTTATCCAGGACAAGAACATCCAGTCCTTTGTAATTTTGATTTCTCTATCCACAAAAAAGCAAAAAAAAAGATCGATAAAGTCTCGGTATACCTGGTCTTTTTCCCAATTTATCATTGGTTGGAAAGTATCATTTCTAAGAGTGTAAATCCTATTTCAATGCTGGCTATAAATAAGAACTTTCTTGTTCAAAACTGTGGTCTATATGTCCTCATGGCTTCTTGCTTTAGTAACTGTGCATAAAGAAGCTCGTTCCATGAATCAGGCACTCCAGGCAGGCACCAGTGGCTGCAGTCTTGCCGATGCAATGGTGCGGGTTTGGAATGCAGATAATATACAGATGAATGGCCGTCTTTTCTTTGTGCAGTCATGCTGCTTATATTCAATACACTGAATCTCATTACCTGGTTTGAGTAAGCTGATAATAGATCAGCAACTATTTTGTATTGCGTCCATGTTTCAGGTGGCACCAATGATGACCCAAGCTCCGGCAACGTCTCTAAGTGGCAGCTTCCCCCCGTCTTCCAATTTCCGCCTCTGTGAGGTATACAATTTATTAGGTATCCCCAAGTGAAAGCATATAACAAATGGAGAAAAACAAGATGCTTATACATTTACATATTGTGCCAACTGCAAAGAATTTCAACCCTTTCAAATGGAATTAAATTTCAAGATCTGACAAATTCTAGAAGGATGTATAGCCTCCCAAGAATAAAAACCAAAAAGCGCAGTAAAAGGAAAATTATAGCAATATACCGGAAATGCACAGGAGCATATGTGCGGAAGAAAACTTGGGTCTTGCTTGTATTAACTTTATTATGTATCCATTGAACCACAGTCTCAAAGGACCTCTTATATGCTTCTTCAACCTTCATTTCCAAATTCACTTCTGCCCCTTCTTGAAAGTAAGTTCCTCTGAGCAACAAATTTAAAAATTGGAAGTCAGTCAATGAGAAATACTCAAACACCTTATTGAGACCACAAAGAACAATTGTGATGGAATTAAAATTAGGCTCCCATTTAACAATTACTTATTTCTTAGTAATTTTGTCCAATGAAATGTTATAACCATAAAAAGCAGATAAGGAAAAGCTTCTACAACAGAAAATGAAATCTATAGAAAGCAAATGAGTCAAAGTATCAATAAGAATAAAAGGATCAATTTACCCTCTTATCGTTTTCTCATAATTCCACCAATGCCCCATGTTTAGGACCAGCACATCAGCATTACTCCATTTGCTAGAGCTCCAATCCATTTGATCCAATTTTAGAGTTAATCTAACATTTCCTGGAACATTAGCAGGAGGCCGGCTCTGCAATACAAGAAACGGAGCTCGGTAGTACTCCACAGTACAATTATAATCCTTAAACCTGAATATTAAAAATCCTTTATGCTTGGTAATTGGACTGCCATTCACTTCATAGATTGAGTCCTTATTAGAAACAGCAGAAGACAATATGCACAGGAGAGACTCCCATTGATTTCTTCCAATCGAATCTCCAGCAAACACTAGCCGTTTGTTACGTAGCTTCTCCAACATTACTTTAGCATCAAATCTGTTTATATTTGTCAGCGAAAAAAAGGTTTTCTTACAACTTTGAATACATTCCAAATGGAGTTGAAACAAAGAAGGAAAGAACAAAAAAAAAAAAAAAAAAAAAGGAAAACTCTCTACTATATACGAATAATATTAAATAAGAGAAAATCTTATAGAAAAATCGGCAAACATATTTGAATCTATAAGGTATCAATATAAAGAGACACTGTAAGTACGACAGAATCAATATTACACTCTTATCGTTTTCTCATAAATTCACGCAATGGCCCACATGTTTAAGGACCAGCACATCAGCATTAACTCCATTATGCTAAGAAAGCGTCCCAAGTCCATTTGATCCAATTTTCAGAGTTAATCTAAACATTTCCTGGAGAGACCAAATAATTATGCAATAACAGATTATGGGGCCGGGCGCTCTCAAAAAATACTAAGATAGGGGCAGAGTTCTGTGTAGCTTAAGCCAAAAACCATCATAGTCAAGTTGACCAATTATAATCATTAAAACCTGAATATTAAAATCCTTTTATGCTTGGTAATTGGAACTGGCCAAATTTTTCAACGTTTATCATAGAGTGTTGAGTCCTTATTAGAATACAGCAGAAGACAAGTATGACAGGAGAGACTCCCATTGATTTCTTCCAATGAATTTCTCCAGCAAAACACCTAGCTCGCCGATTGAATACAACGGTCATTTCGATATTCTCTTATATTCACTAGCTTCAGAGAATCATTTGAGTCAGACTGAGAAGAAGAAAAGGTCTCTCTTTCAAAACCTTTTGAAAATATTGTAAAATTTGCCATATATATGGAGTTGCCATTTAAACCAATAAGTAAAGGAAACAAAAAAAAAAAAAATAGAAAATACGAGAGTTCGAGTACGTACGCTACCGATCAAAAGTCAAGTAGCACTATACAGAAAATTGACTAATAGTTCAGTCCCAAAAAATGATAATCCAATGCCAAATTACAAAGGCTATACACTATACGTATATCATATTGTCTAACAATTTTCTGTAAATATTATATAATTAAATAACTCATGTCTCAAATCAAATTAGTGGACCGTAGAACACTGCTAAGATGGGACCAAATCAAATGATAAAATTTGCAACTTCGCTAATAATATGAGAGTACATAATGCCAAAAGGTTCACGATAAACCCTATTTATAGACCTTGGCAATCTGAAGAAAGAGACTAAAACTATACAAATCAAAATTAGTGAAAAAGAAAGGTAACTAAAGTTATCTCTTAATCAACGTTTATCTCGAATAGCAGAATATGCCTATATGTAATTAAACAGTGCAATAATAACATGTTCCTAGAAACCAAAAGTAAGAGAATCTCAACAAAAAAAAAAAAAAAAAAAAAAAAAGAGATCATCACTACCATATCGTCAATACACCATCAGCAGTGACAAAAGTTAGTCCCAAAAATGATAAATCCATGCCAAATTACAAGTTTCAAGTATAACTTACGTGCCATTTTTTAAATTTCTGAATTAAATTAAATAGCCAAGCAAATTGGGACCTAGAACACTGCTAGTGGACAAACAATGATAAAATTCCTTCCTCATATGTATGCAAAATGCCAAAGTTCACGGATAAACCTATTAGACTTGGCATCTGAAGAAAAGACAAAACTTTCAACAAATTAGGGAAGAGAGGACCTAAAGTTATCTCTTATCCGTTACCAACTATTAATTCAAAATTTCTTAGTTCAAAAAAAGAAACTAAAATAAAAATTGCCTATTGTTGTCCTAGAAGCAATAAATTACTAAAACTTACAGTTGATCTTCTAAGGAGGAATAGAAAACCGGAAGGCAGAAGAAAAGTCCTAAATTGAATTTGGGGAAAAAAAGAGTAGCTATATTTGATCGCTTGCAGACGTAGTATAGTATACGAACCAGAAATTCCGGGTCTTGAATGAAAAGCTAGAGTAACACATGAATCGGGCTTTTCATGATTATGATTTATCTTGCAATAAAAAATATAAAATCTTCTATTAACTTCTATCAAACAAACAGTCAAAGAAGGAATACGAGATGAATAACCACCTGGGCAAATTGCAATGCTTGGGTTGCCATCGCCATTTGGTGTAGAATAAATCGGGCCGACCATTTTCAGAGCACCTAAACCCTTCATCCAAAAAGCTGCAATCTTTAGACTGATACAATGGATAAGTCTCATCCCACACCCATTCACCATCAAACACGTCACACCCATCACCCTTCTCTCCTAAAAACTCGACTCTTCTATTCGGCCTTGGACTAGACCCGTTGAACTGCAGCCACATAAATCTCTCTGATTTACCCGGAACTCTATACCCTTTAGTTATTACGGACTTGAAATCCCAGTAAAAGAAGCTGCAAACCACACAAACTATAACCAAAAAGAAAGCCAAAACCCCTACAGATGGCTCAAAAAGTCGCAAACGCTTGAATTTCTTGAAAATTTCAAAAATTTCCATGGTTTCATGGTCTTGCTGAGATGGATTCTTAGACATTTGAAGTAAAGATAGGATTTTGAAATATAGGTATGGTCTTTGCGGCGCTGGTGATCAAGTTTAGATTGAGAATAGAACTTGACAAATAGAAGAAGAGTATGGTACAAAGAGAAGTACAGTTAGCAAGGAAAATATAATTCATGAAAAATGGAATCTGAACATGGCAAATATGTTTACGGTTACAGAGCTGGAGCTTCTTTGCTTGGTAGGTCAGTTATGTAATGTAATGAATAGAAAAAGGGCTCAAAGAGAGAGAATCATGGGTGCCAAGGAAGCAAAGGAGCATTCATGGCAGAATTATAAAAACACTCTCTCTTTTCTGTCTGTCCCGTTAGTACTGCCACTTTATATCATTGCAGAGCAAGAGAGATAGAGAGAGAGCGAGAGAGAGAGAGAGAGAAGGCCAGGCGGGGTTTAGTTTTTTGGATTTTGTAGTAGAGTTGTGCGCTTTGGGTACGGTGCTAGGAAAGCGAGGATTCATTTGTCAACTTCCAAAACCATTAAGCCAATAAACGAATAACTTAAGAAATGATATGTATTTATGCATATGTTAATCTAACCATGTGATTTAGAAACTTGCTGTTTAATGGCTGGTGCTCATTCCATTAAAGCTTGATACGGTGAAGCAGAAAAGAAAATAATGATTTTAATTAAATTATAAGCCAAACAAAATTAATCATTTTATCATCTCCACAAGTGTGAAATGATAATATTAAATTGAGAGAGTGATATGATAGATTTGGTTATGGGAAACGTGGGTTGAGATGGAGACATGGGTGGCGTGTGAGCGAGTGAGTTGTGGGTTTGAGACTTTTGAGTCCGCTGGTGGTGAGTGGCTGGCTTACGTGGAAAGCAACATCACATACCCAACGGATAGTAAAATCAAAATTTGCAATTGGCTACTGACTATTGCGGTCTGCACTCTGCAGCTACTATACAAATCCCAACAAGAACAAGTACTAAAATGGAGAATCAATTAACTGCTAATTTTTTGTTGCTCTGTAATCCTAATTTACTATTTTAGCTTTCTACACCCTTTTGTCACTTTCTTTCGTTCGATAAACCAACTAGTTAATTATTTGACAAGCAACATACATTTCCACCTTTAAAAAAGAGAGTGAGAGAGATAGGAAATAATTCGTCCTCGAAAACAAACATTCCACTGATTAAAACTTGAAAATTTAACTAAAGTTTCAAATTCTATGTTTCAAGTTTTACAATTCCATGAATTGGGAGATAAAATGAAAAGTACATAAACAATTTACTGGTAAGAAATAGGAATCAATTTTACAATGGTCTTTATCCATCTGCAGAAAGAATGGCTTGGGAGTTGGAGTCAATTTTCCCATCAAGCACGGAAGCAAAAACATTCACGAGAAGAAGTAAACTGTGACAGAACGAAGTTTTGGACTAAGTCTTTCTCTAATTATTTTTTCTTTTGAAAGATATATTTCGTCTTCTTCATCAATTCCCACTTAGAAAGAGATATTGCTATTGATTTTTAACTAAATCAACGAAATGCTTGCCTCTCATGGTTTAGTGGCTGGAGTCAACTTCCTCTCCAAGCACGAAAGAAAGAATAACGCCTTATATAAGCTCTTTTTGCGGTGGTGAACTCTGCTGCATATGTTTATAGATTTAGAGTTTTGGACTTTCTCTAATGAATTTTCATTTTGGTATTCTGCCTCCAATTCCCACTTAAAAATTATATTTATTTTCTATTATTCTTAATAACAATTATTTGTTTTACATTAATCAATTTATAACTACCAATTATGGATATATATATAAATAAGCGATAACACAAATGAACCCTTGCAGAAGCACAACATTGAGTTGACTTTTTTGTGAGTCAATAATCAAAAAAAAAAAAAAAAAAAAAAAAAAAAACAGAAGCACAAACATTGAGTTTGGACTTTTTTGTGAGTCAATAATCAAAAAAAAAAAAAAAAAAAAAAAAAAAAAAAAGAGAGAGAGAGAAAAAAATGCGATTTTTGCGAGGGGGGGCGGTTTGTGGAGCACATTTTGCGAGCCTGCTTAAAATGGAAGAAAAAAAAAAAAAAAAAAAAAAAAAAAAACAGAGAGAGAGAGAAAAAAATGGATTTTGCGAGGGGGGGGCGGTGTGGAGCACATTTTGCGAGCCTGCTTAAAATGGAAGGAGGGTTTCAATTGAGCAATCATGACAAGGAAGTTGAATGTGTCACGGATTTATGTCACTAACTCTTAGCTGTTGCTTCAATCGTTGAAGATTGTAATTAAATAATAATAATGGCATTCCATTTCTATTTGTTTTATTTCTGGTCAGCAAGAATTATGGTTATCCTTTAATGGTAGTTGCCACTATTATTATTATTATCATCATCATCATAATTAGTGGTAGGAAGAGAGAATTTTGGATATGGACATCTCCAACGCAGAGCAGCAGATGCAATAATATGGAAATGATAAATCCTTATCATGTTCGCATCAAGTGAATTTCTGTGTATTGATGTATAAATATAAGATGTTGATGGAGATTTTTTTTTTCTTTTGTAAATGATTTCGTTGACATTACAATTAAATACTACTATCATCACAATGGAGTAGAAGGAGGAGATTATAATCTAATCACTTACCTTCTTTTTTAGTTATTTTTGGTGTCCTTTTAAATAATTTTTAGATTTGTTTATGTTTCGATGGATTTTTTTTTTTTCTTACCATTATTAAAACAATGTCAAAATCTATGATATTTATCATTTCATTACAAGTTCTCAAGTTTGAACTCTAACCAACTCAACTTCTAGTGCTGGGGCCAATTTTGTACGTTAGGGATTCTTAATATATGTAGTATATAAAACGGAAGTGCTTAAATAGAGTTTGTCAATAAGAAATGCAAAGCAAGAACAATGCATGTTAGACTAGATAGCATATGCACGTAGCTTGTCTGGCTGGGATGCCATCGGGGCATGAGGCGTGCCCCTGTCCTGCAAAACGAAGCCGCCAGGTCCCAATTTATGGCTTAAAAATGGAGTATCAAAGTTACTAATCCATAAGATTCAATCTTGAGATTATAAATAATTCAAAATAAATCTTGACATTACACATAAATTACACATGCCGTCGTCGTCGGTGGTCGATAGTTTTGGAATTCCAAGATACCACGTTTAGCTTAGTTGTTTTCATTTGTCTGAATTGAACAAATAAAATGCGATTACTCCCTGCTTAACACTTTGGATCTTGCGCTTGTTGATGGGCTTAGTTTAGGATTTGTCAACCCAAGTCCAAGTCCAAGTCCAAGTCCCCAAAATGGGCTGCACTCTGTAGTGTAAAACAATTGGATCAGACTAGGCCTAGCCATTCAACGAGTCTAGTAGTGTGATAAGAAACTATAACTGCACATTTCGAAACGTTAAAGATTACACTAACCAGCTCTAATTATACTGTATGCTCTATTAGTCTCATGAAAAAAGAACATCCGCTGAGCCAACGAATTGACTAAAATCTGTCAATTGCAATAGTAATGCAAAAGGGTATCTTTCATCATCATCATCATCATCATCATCATATGTCATATGATGAACTTCTATTAAAACTGAAGCAAAACATATAAAGATGTTTTGCAACTAATCCATTTGTTAAAGATAACCTAATGTTGAGAATAAGAACACTGTTCTGGATTACACTGCAGACCATGCCAAAACAAATTAGAATCTGTTTGGGACAAAAAAATATAATCACACAGTTGAGAGGCGACCAAGTTGAAATAATATTCATTCAAGAACCTAAAAATTCAGAGTCAAAACAATCAAATTTATCGCTGCTATAGTTTCCTCAATCTATTTAAAACCGCATACACAAAGCAAGCGAGAAGAAGAGAACACAAGAGAACAAATTTTTATTCCTCTCTCTAGTTTCTCCCCCTGATAACACAAGATAACTAACTACGAGTTTTATATAGTAAAAGAGAGACCAAAGTGTTTTAAGGCGAAAAAAACAAGCCAATCCAACAAAGAAAAAAGTTCATAGCAAAATATAATCATATCAGTCGAGTCATTCTATAGATGAACCATAAGTAACAAGTTCAAATTGCCAATCTAATAGCAAAAACATAGAGATTAGACTGAACAAACCAAAATAAACAAAATGCAGTATTGTCAAGCTACACCAACAAACTCACGTACCCATTAAGGATCCTCAGGGCCATACATCATCTGTATCAAGAATTCCTTACGCTCATCAACAGGGTAACCAAAAAAAGCCCTGACTTTTGTAGGATCTTTAGTAAGGAAAGTGTAAGCTGCAAACCTTACATTCTTTTCAACTCCTATCTTCACAAGCTCTGCATAAATCTCTCTTTCAGTGTAAATACGTTTGCGAGCTTTCTCAATAATAGCATTTCCCTCTTTAATTGCCTCTGAAACATCCTTAATTGCTTCTTTGACACTCTTCAATTGCTTCTCCCATGTACGAGCCTTCCGTTTCCTCTCTTTTCTTGACATTTCAGGCTCAGTACATTGCACGTGGTAATACACACGGAGCATACAAATGGCATGAACAGCATAACAAAGAACTTGAGCCACTGCCGTTCCTCGCCTTCGATCCCAAAGTTCCCACCAATTTTCTTCTTCAATGTCTCGTTCATTTTCATCAATCTATTACAAAATAATTCTTTAATCTACATAAATTTCTCATTAAAGAATGTAATTAGACACAAATCAATTGAAAATTAAGCCAACCTTGACAATACTGCTACTCATGGTGTACGTTTTCTGTACGGTCGGATTCTTGTTGTTGTTGTTGTTGATGCTGTTGCGCTTTAAGAAGAAAGGGCTTGAACCCAATCTCTAAGGTTAGATAACCGAAAGCTAGGGCACCGATCACCACTATACCTGATCTTATCGCGTTCAACTTCGTGATTGGGTTCATGGTCTGTTCCCTCTTCTCTGCAAACCTAAACGATCCCCATCTTCTTCATTTTTGAGTTTTCAGTTTTCACTCAATTTCTATAAAAAAAAAAAAAAAAAGGAAAAGACTTACCTTGAGCGACGTCGTTTCATAAAGCTTTGACTTTTGCCCATTCGGTGCTGACTAAGGATCTGCCAATAGATTGATGTATCAAACGGCACAAATCTAATGAGCTCGTACTCCTTTAGACAAATATATCTACTTTTCTTCTTAATTTTCAGACGGATCAATTCTGTGGGCATTTCTTTGATATTGGCGTTATTTTGACAGGTAAATTTTGGATTCCTTTTATCAAATTGGAAATTTTCTTGGTCTAATGTATGTCTATTGTTATTCAATGATTTCTAGGTTCAACTCTTTGAAAGAAAGTTTTGATTTTTTTTTTTTTTTTTTTTTTTTTTATGTATGTTCTATTGTTATTCAATGATTTCTAGGTTCAACTCTGTGAAAGGAAAGTTTTTGATTTTTTTTTTTTTTTTTTTTTTTTTTAATTTGAAGGATTTGCAGGGATTGGTTTTGTGGATGTTAAACAAGACATGGCATTGAATGCAGCTGAACTCACTAATTTTTTTTTTTTTTTTTTTTTTTTTTTTAATTTGAAGGGATTGCAGTGGATTGGTTTTGTGATGTTAACAAGACATGGCTTGAATCAGCTGAACTCACTAAATATCGCAACAAATTGCAAGGCAGCTTCATCGGCTGTGTTGAGAAGGCAGCACTTCCTTATGAGGTCGCTCGGAGTTGGAGGTCATAGTAATTACGGCACTGAGAATAGGATGGAAGAAACAAAATCTTTGGGTGGAACCAATTTGGAGGCTGATGCTGAGAACATTTTGAGAGCAATTACTCCAATTCTTGACCCAACTAGACATAAAGGCCAGGCAGGTAACCCCCTTGGAAATTTGCCTCCTCTGTTTTATCATCCTATCATTTGTACACTGTAATTATGGGTTGTCATTTGAAATGCTCTGAATTTCTTTTTTCAGGGAAAGTTGCTGTTATTGGTGGGTGTCGGGAGTACACTGGTGCTCCTTATTTTGCTGCTATTTCAGCGTTGAAAATTGTTAGTGCCTGCTATCCTTTCATTTTAATTGAATTCTTCCTTTTGAATTTTATCTAATCATATTCTGATTTGGATAATATGATTACTTTATTTTTTTTCCTTCGCAGGGTGCAGATTTGTCCCACGTATTTTGTACCAAAGATGCTGCTCCAGTAATCAAAAGTTATAGTCCTGAGTTGATTGTTCACCCTATTTTGGAAGAATCTTATAATGTTGGGTATTTTTCTTTATTATCATTGGATATGTATCCTTATTCGTTGTGTTATATAGCCATTGTTGCTGAGCAGAATGCTGATTTTTATGGAGAACCACATGCTTCTAGGGATGGGGACAAAAAATACATGTCAGATAAGGTTGTTGCCGAGGTTGATAAATGGATGGAAAGATTTGATTGTCTTGTTGTTGGTCCAGGCCTTGGAAGGGACCCATTTCTTCTGGTAAGTTTTTTCTTACTCTAGTTTCCAATGTATATATGCAACATGCCTGTGTCTTCATTTCTCTATCTCTAACCGAGTTTTTTGCAAGAGGCATGTAGTCATAAGTAATGATTGTTCCTAGTACCTTTGGTGGAGGACATTACATTGTTAGCGTGTTATTGTATTCTCCACCATTCTTTTAATAAAATTATGTTTGTTTCTTTAGCTTCTGTTTTCATATTTTGTCACTTTCTTGAGTTCCATCTTGCTTGAATGTTTCAGTTTTTTCCTTCTGCATTGGAAGTTCTTTTCCACTGACCTTTCCACTCCCAGTTTATCATGTAATCTGGCAATACTTTTATAGTTGCTTATTATCTACAGGATTGTGTCAGTGAAATTATGAAGCAAGCAAGGCGGTCAAATGTTCCAATTATTGTAGATGGTGTATGTAATTAGTGAGGCATCTTTCAATTTTGATCTTCTTAATACGTGTCCTTCATTCATTATTATATGCACCCTTTACAGCCGGCATTTGCCTATGCTACTATGTGCTGATGAAATGAATATTTCCCAGGATGGGCTCTTTCTTGTAACAAACAGTCTTGATCTTGTTAGTGGTTATCCCTTAGCTGTCCTAACCCCAAATGTGAACGAGTACAAGCGCCTGGTTCATAAAGTTCTAAATTGTGAAGTGAATCATCAAGATGCTCACGAGCAACTACTCTCTCTTGCCAAAAGGTAAATTTATTTATGGAATTTCTTGAAATTTAGGTTTGTTGTTTCTCATTCTCATGGTGGATGAATAGTTGAAATTTGGCCTTAAAGGATCTGAATTAGGTTTTCTTTGACCTATGTGAGTGTTTAGTTAGCTAGTGTGAATCGAGTGTAGATTAATGTGGTTGACTATTATGCTAATAGAAATTTGATAGAAATGAACTCAACTGTTTGCTGTTGCAAAACTCTATTTGACTATTCTGTTCTCTGCATCTAGTACTCTTCTTGGAGTTTATCATGCTACTGAGAATGCAAGGTTTTTGTTGTTCAATTCTAGGTTGTTTCAACTTTTTAATATACAGTATCTCTATTGGTCAGGATTGGTGGTATCACCATCTTACGAAAAGGAAGATCTGATCTTATCAGTGATGGTGAGATAGGTATGCAATAACTGATATGACTATCAACACAAGTATTTTGTGTTTTCTAGTTTTTAGATATTCACATGCTAGTTTGCTAAGTTGCTCGAACAGTATTTGATATTTTTTTTGTAAGATTTAAGTTTTGAATTCTAATTTATCATTTACCCTGCTCTCCCAATCAAATTAAGTTACCATTTTTTTTCTTTTAGGCTTTTGAAGCATCATGGTTAGTTTGGCATTAATTATTTGTATATTTATGCAGTCAAATCAGTTAGCGTCTATGGTTCTCCTAGGCGTTGCGGGGGCCAGGGTGATATCCTTTCTGGAAGGTAATTGATTGTATTATCTTTTTTCTTTCCAGGCATAAATATTTGCTCCTGTTTTTTGGTTTGTTCCTCTTCCTCAGTGTTTTCCACTCATAGTTACTTCTTTGGAGTGCTATACTTTCCTTGGCCCATCTGATTACATTTTTCTCATAATATGGTGCCTTGTCTATTCTATGATTACATTTTTCCCGAAATAACTGTTTCAGAATTTGATGCATTCTTGCCTAGCATTCAGTTTTGAAATCAAAATATGTATGATCATTTTCAACTGAATATTTATGATGCATCCTTTCTCTTGGTGCCAGTGTGGCTGTATTTGTATCATGGGCACGCCATTGTATCTCAGGTGCCAAAGGGAATTTGAGTATCAGGTTGCTCTCCATTCTCTGTGACAATCCATAAATTTCTGTACTCCTACTTTTTCAACTGTGTTTGAGGACTCAATGCTTCTTTCATAATTGGTGCAGTCCAACAAATCCTACAGTGTTAGGATGCATTGCTGGGTCTGCTTTGTTGAGGAAGGCTGCATCACTTGCTTTTGAGGGTAGGAAAAGGTCAACTTTAACGGGTGACATCATTGACTGCTTGGGAAGGAGGTAGTCATTCTGAGTCCTGGACACGACTTCTGTTGAAAAAAAAGAGAGAAAATTAAAAATCTAACCATTGTTACACTGTCCTTATTTCTCGCAGTTTGGAGGATATTTGTCCAGTTTAATTTAACCATTGTTACGCTGTCCTTATTTCTCGCAGTTTGGAGGATATTTGTCCACGAAAGAGAAAAATTTAAATATTTCTCGCAGTTTGGAGGATATTTGTCCAGTTTAATTTAACCATTGTTACGCTGTCCTTATTTCTCGCAGTTTGGAGGATATTTGTCCAGTTTAATTTAACCATTGTTACGCTGTCCTTATTTCTCGCAGTTTGGAGGATATTTGTCCAGTTTAATTTAACCATTGTTACGCTGTCCTTATTTCTCGCAGTTTGGAGGATATTTGTCCCACCTGTTGATGCTGTTGGTATTGGCATAGATTCTATGCTCTTCCACAAGTCTGTTGGGTTTTATAATTAAACTCTTACATTATCCGCAATCTATACTGCAGAGGGTAATTTGATGGTTTGTCCATATGTTAAATGGCAGTGATTATTCAAGCTGAACGCTTTAATCAAGTTCACGGTCCAGTCTGAACTTTCTTCTCCCTGATAGCAACTGAAGTCATCTATCTGTAAGGAATAAAACTTGAGTTTCTATCTAGCCCTTAAAATTTCTGTAAAAAGTGACATACAAAATGAGTGGAGCAGGAATGTTTTTATTGCTACTGCAGATTTCATGTTTCAACAATGCTTTTGAGTAAAAGCAGATTGACATTTCATCGCTTCAATACCCCAAAATATATCTGGTTCATCCAGCTGTAAGTATACACGCTAGAAATGTCCTGGTCTATAAAGAGAGATGATTGAATGCATTCATAAAATAAAATTAATTGAACTACACAAACAATCATGGAATCTTAGTTTTTTTATCCATACAATTATCTACAATATCTGAATCCACATACTTGTTGACAAAAAAAAAATTCTAAAGTCTTATGACCAACCTTTTAAGTGACGCAAAAGATGTTTTTTGATTCATAAGACTAATTTTTAGTCGCTTTAAAGTTCAACTTGAAATCTAACGCAGTCAATCTACTCCTAATTCTTCAAGTTTTAACTGAATCAACTGCATGCTTCATTCAAGAATCTGCAGGTGGCTGCTGCTGTTGTGGCCAAATTGGTTGTCCGACATAAGGGCGAGATTGTGGACTGTAAAAGTTTTGATCCATCATGGGCTTACCCATCGGCATCCCTGGAACAGGAACTTGTGGTGCAAGTTGAGGTGACATGTAATAGTAAGGCATAGCATCAGCTGGGCCTCCAACAGGAAGACTTCCTCTCGTGACCGATGGTAGCACTTCATCCTTCAAATCCTCTCTTGGCACAATATCCACTAGAAAATCAAAAATATCAGTCCTTGTAATTGCTGCAGCAATATCATTCTTTTGAAGCGTCCTCCTTTTGTTTTCCTCTGTGTGATTCCAAGACCGCAATGTCAATTCGAGAATGAACATCTCACATGCCCTTGCAAATATGACTGGAGCTTCAGCTGATATCATTCTTACATCTTCATCTGCCTTCATAATCTTTTTAATCCTAGCCAATGGCAAGCTATGATTCTTAAAATCCGCAGTCTGCTCAATTTCTTGGTACTGATTTGTCCAAAAGGATTGGAGTTGTTGCTGCAACTGCTGTTGCTGTTGCTGGTGGATATGCTGATAAACAAGTTGGTGTTCAGCAAGCTGAGATTGAGATGCTGCGACTCCTGTTGGCTGAGTAGCAGATTGAATCGATCCAGCAGGAGGTCCCATCATCTTGTTAGATTGGTATGGTGATATACCATATGGAACTGGAGCTGTATTTCTACCTGCCACAGAAGGCTGCCCATGCCCTTGCCCTTGCCCTTGCCCTTGCTGATCCATACCGGTGTGTTGGCCGACACTTCTAGTGCAAGATAAAAACGAACATTCAAATTTAAAAGTGACGAGCTAATTTAAGAAAAAAACATCTAAACTAAAGAAAAACCAAAAACAAGTACAACCAGTAGGAATCGAATCAATTGATAAACCAATAACCAGCAAGAATTGACTCAAACTCAATCATGAGTTCGGGCCACACCTTTAATGGAAAATTAGCGATTAAGCCACTGGTTCTCCGAAGATTGAGTTTACAAACAGCAAAGATAGAAAGCTAGCTAAAAATTATGAGAGAAATCGAATAACAGTAGTAATAACAAAGAAAGTCGATGAAGAAAATCTTTCAAAACATAATTCCTCCGCAAATATGCTATATTCTGGAATTAAAATTTCCAATCAAGTCCTTATTTTTCATGTGATATTCATTACCAACGACGACAGAAATCATATTCCTTATACCTAGTAAAAGAAACAAACAAAACCTTGGAAATTCACCCTGTCTAGATCCTAAATAGTAACGTCACAGGAGTTTATTCTACGGAACATGCGTGTGAGATCCGCAAGACAAACACAACACTAAATTAAGATAAACGACAGATAATTTCTAAAACTGTCCTTTTTCGACGCTTTGGAAAACAAATACAAAAATTTTTTAAAAAAATCTCCAATAACAACAAGAAAAGGCACGGATTTCGGGTTCCTATTCGGCTAATTAATTTCTACAACTCTATTCGAGCAAAGCAAAATTAAAACCAGCAAAGAATTAGCTTTATATACAAACACAACACAAATAAATACCTGTCCCGTCGAGGTCGATTCTTGATCTTTTCCAAACGCTAAAACCCTAAAAAAGAACACAGAAGAAGAGGGAGAATGCAAATTGCTTCCTGACTAAGAAGATAAAAAGAATTTATATTAAAAAATAAAAGAAAGGGAAAAGAAAAGTACAGTACTTGAAATTCGAGTGTTGTTCAAATGAATTGAGAAGTCATGTATGGTAATAAAGAAAGAATGGAAGTGAAGCTGAATTTTAATGGGTGCAGTGTAGATGACTGACTCCACTATAAAAAAAGCGCCAGTTTGATCTCTCGTCTGGTCTCGTCTCCTACTCCTACTGTGACTCAAACTTTTGTTTGACCTCTTTTGTCGTTGACGATTGTACCCTTTATCTCGCGTGGAATTTACGAAGACGACGTGTATTTAGTACTATTTATGATAAGGAAATGATTACGTGTATGTTTGAACGCATTCTTTCTTATGCTATGTAGTTCTCAATTATTGAATATTAATGGATGAGAGATCCAATGGTTGAAAGAAGAAAGGTTTCTCACACGTATGATATGAGTAGTACGTGTCAGCTAAATATTAATGACAATGTCACTTTGTTTTTAATCTTTATTTATACTTTGCTTTTACTCACCATTGAGTAGTTTTTTTTATTCATTCTCAAAAAAAAAAAAAAAAAAAATACTCACCATTGAGTTAGTCTTTTTTTTATTCATTCTCAAAAAAAAAAAAAAAAAAAAAGTTTGATGCATAATAATTTTTTTGTGCAATGTACGATAATCATGCATATAATTTGCATAAATTCAATTCTTTTATTTAATGTAGAGAAATAATGAAAAAAAAAAAAAAAAAAAAGTTTGATGCATATAATTTTTTGATGCATGTTACGATAATTCATTTGCATTATAATTTGCATAAATTCAATTCTTTTATTTAATGTGAGAAATATGTTTTTAAGATTATTAAAACAATTAATGTTGATGACTATATTAGCAAAAAATAAAAAATGTTATTCTCAAAAAACAAATTTTTTTTTTTTTTTGAAAAAGAAAAAAAAAATGTTATTAGGATAGGATTGGACATAACATAGTGAATTAATAGACTACAGCGTGGTCCTTGCGGTACGTGGACATACGCCAATACACGTTTCCACTTGCTTAATTGCTTGCTCGCTAAGAAGTAGGAGCTAGGCATATCGGTACCCTACCACACGTCTAGAATATTATCATTAACAATAATAAACTAATTGACCCAAAGCATATCAAAATTGTGATTTAATGATAAAATCATGTTTAATATGATAATTGATTTAAATTTGAATATCTTAATTTTTTAATTTCTTTAGAAGCTAAATCGATAATAATAATAATAATATTATGGACACAGAAAAATAAGTCATTTTTAAACCCAATAAATTAATAAAAACTTTTATAATTAAAAGGATAATCTAATAAATGAATACGACTCTATGCTTCATACATGATATATGTAAACATGCTATGACTCAGAAAAATATATAAAGAAAAAGGAAATGTGATGTTGGACAAACACAATGATGCCAGCTTGATAGTTTTTCTCTATATTTTAGTATTTATTTATATTATGGTTATATATAATATTATTTGATAACATTTAGATGTCAAATAATTGAATCTTCGTTTACATGAAATATCACAACCAATTTAAGTTATTTGCTGGAGATAAATTCACCAAAAAAGCCAATTTGAAATTTCCATATATTATGTGAATTAAGATAAACATTCGATTTATCTAAGTTAAACCGAATCAAATCAATGTAAGATGTGAATTCAATTGAACCTAATAATATAGAAATCAAATTAAACCAAACCAAATCGTTTCAATTTAACCAAATCTTACTATCTTTAAACAGATTTTAATTATTTTTAAAAATCACCAGATTTTTAAATTTTGTTTTTATTTATAGGAAGAAGCAAACGTACAGGGAACAAGATGAGTAGAGTAGACGTAAAGCTTGAGCAAACTTATTTTATTTAAACTAAAAAAAACATAGCTGTACATAAGAGGAAAATGATGCGCTTAAGAGAAAACTAGCAACCTAAATTTTTCCACAAAGACCAACTACTAACTCCACTAGTACAATTTGTACTCATTCATACACGATAATTCACATGGCCCCTCAAGCCGATTGCACAGCTAAATTCATACATTTATATTGAAAAGCTCTTTCTTCTACTCTCTGGCTGCAAGAACTGCTGGCCCTTCAACCTGAAATTTCAGTCCCACCAAACACCACGATTAGTATTTATAGCTGACATTAAATTTGGAAATCCAACTACAATTTAAGTATATACATACCTTGAAAGTAGCACCCCATATCTCTTCCTCCTTAGCTGGAACAGCAGTGATCTTGCTTTTAGGATTTTCGAAGCTTCTCAGTTCTCCAACTGCTGTGGAGTAGAAGCACCCTGCAAATTCCCATTCGGTCGTCAATTAAACAACATTTCTTTGCTTCTTCTTATACAATTGGATTTGACTATTATTGTTTAGTGTTTAGGTCACCCACCTTCAGGGAAAGAGGCAAGGGACTTGCCACAAGCACCTTTAAGCAATTCAATATTATCGGCAAAGGCCACGAAACCATCAGCAGTGATTCCCCAATATAGAGGAACTTTTCCAAATTGATCCTGCCACATCACATGCGTACAAATATCATATTAGCTAGCTAGTTGATAAATTAAGACGAACAAACTAAAGAAAGCTAATTAATTAATTTGTAGATGGCAACTTACAGAAGCCACAAACAAGGTAGAGGTAGAATTGTCAAAGACAATGAAAGCAAAGCTCCCACTAAGATGACCAACAACGTGGTTTGCAGGGTAAGGTGCCCTGTCACGAAGAGCCTTGTATGCCTCAATTACCAAAATCACCTCATTTGCCGATTTTGCAAGCCCATATTGTTGCCTCAGACTTCCCAAGTTGTCCAGTGCACCCTCAAACAGGCAGAAGACATCATCCTTAACAGCGAATGATCTGCCATTTTCAATGCCCAGCAAAAAGAAAGTGTTATTTTGTTGTAATTCTTCGCAAAGTAAAAAATTCAAGTCAGGTAATCCAAAATATTTAATGAAACGCAGGAATCCAGGGTCGGGACCAGCTTGGATCCTTATCCAACTTTATGTTATCCTCATCCTTTACCCTGTTCCCTACCCTTTCCAGGCAGGGAAGGTTTATAAAACTTGACAGGGAAAACCACTTTGATGCAATCCAGAGTGTTTTTTTCCTTCTTCTATTATTAAGGATAATGAAAACATAAAAGGATTTAATAGTTGAACCTGAAAATTCAACAAGACTGATCATATGATAGCTATGCCCATTTGCTCACAACGCATCATACATTAATTTACTTAAATATGCAATACATGGGGACAGCAACAGTATCACAAAAATTTTTAAATAGAAAAATAAGTCAAGTTGACTATATAATTATGTATGTTTACTATGATTTAAAATATTCATTTATTAATTTTATTTTATGTCTTAAAATCACAGCATTCATGCCATAACTAATAGTTTCCTATTTGGCATTGGCTAAAGCATAGTTAATTTCATTATCATATGCAGATCACTCATTTTGCCTAACATTTTTATCCTAATTTTACTGTTAAACTAGCTAATTAATGCATTATTACTGTTGGTAGACAAGTAATTGCAGATATTGTGAGAAGAAATCTACAGGGCATGCTTCAGAAATTTTCTAAAATCTGAAACATGACTCAAAAAGTAACTGCAAGCCGACGGTGAGAAAGAGGAGCTAATGGGTCTCCACGACCACGACCCAACTACTCACAAAACGACGAGGTTCTGTTCACAAAACTATGATCTGACTGTCCACGTGCTGACTCAAAAAGCAATGGTTTCCTATTTTTACCACACGTATGGCTTAAATGACCTGATGCGTATACGAATAATGGGTGCCGAGAAAAGTCCGGACTCTATAAGGATCAATACGTGGAAGTCATTCAAGAACTATGATATACCTGACCCCACAAAGCACTAAAATTTCTTTCATCATGCTGCAGGATCAGACATGGCCCCATTATTCTCATTATTAATTTCTTGCCATATATGGTTGCAAATATCATTGCCGTATATATATATAATCGATTTTACATTTTTTATTTTTGGAATAATTTTTTTAGAAAAAATTATATTATTATCCTAATAGTAGTAGAAATTTAATATTTTAATACTATTAATTCATATTTATGTGAAACTAAATTAAAGATATCGAACATCAATCCATTACATATGATTCTTCATTATTGAGAAAAAAAAAATTTATTTTGTAAAAAAAAAATTATAGATTCAGTTAAAAAAACTAAGAAACATGTAAAAAAAAAAAAAAAAATACAAAGAGGTTTTTTTAAAGAATAAAAACTGAAATGCTAATAATTATGGATGAAGATCAAGTAGCTTTTCTTAAAAAATAAAAATTGAAATGCTAATAACTGTGGATGAAGATCAAGTTTATTTTATAAATTGAAAGATTTTTTTTTTTTTTAGGGAACTAAATCAAAAAACTATTTATTAAGACTAAATAACCAAAATATCTGTAGCCAAAAAAAAAAAAAAAAAAAACCAAAATATCATTTTCAAATAATAAATCACAATAATTTTAAGGAACCCAAAAATATAGACACAAATCCCAATTTCCAGGTTTTATATGTAAATATAAAATATATAACTAGAATAGACAAAAAAAAAAAAAAAAAAAAAAAAAAAAAAATTATAGATTTGCAGTTAAAAACTAAGAGAAACAATGTACAAAAAAAAAAAAAACAAAAACAAAAAAAAAAACATGAGGAAATACCAAAGAGATGGTTCTTTTTTTTAAGAAAATAAAAAAAACGAAATGCTTAATAATTATGGATGAAGATCAGTACGGCTTTTTCTTAAAAAAATAAAAATTTGAAATTGCTAATAACCACCTCGTGGATGAAGATATCAAGTATTTTATAATTGAAAGATTACTGCTTTTTTTTTTTTTTTAGGGGAACTTAAATCAAAAAAACAAAAAAAAAAAAAAAAAAAAACAATAAAAAAAAAAAAAAACTATTTTATATTTAATCAACTAAATAACCAAAAATATCTGGTATATTTCCTTGAGCCAAAAAAAAAGAAACCCTAAAAAAAAAAAACAAGCAAAAAAAAAAAAAATAAAAAACAAAAATATCATTTTCAAATAAATTTTTCTTAATAAAATCACATAATTTAGGAACGGCAAAAAATATAGCACACCAAATCCCAAATTTCCAGGCCGTTTATGATGTAAATATTAAAATATATAAACTAGAATTAGACAAAAAAAAAAAAAAAAAAAAAAAAAAAAAAAAAAAAAAAAAAAAAAAAAAAAAAAAAAAAAAAAAAAAAAAAAAAAAAAAAAAAAAAAAAAAAAAAAAAAAAAAAAAAAAAAAAAAAAAAAAAAAAAAAAAAAAAAAAAAAAACAAAAAAAAAAAAAAAAAAAAACAAAGAAAAGAAAAGTATAAACTGACTGTCTCTTACCAAAAAGATGCTCTAATAATTGTTAATACAGGATTCTTCCCGATCTGTACTCTTATAATGATCCTGCACTTATACCAACCTTTCATAACTGTAACTGTTTTTTCGTTAATTATTTATAAATTTTTTGCCGGTGACTTAACGGTCTAACAATCGCTCGTTTAGTCTGCTAGATCTTACACTACCGTGATCAAGATTCAAGCGTGTGGTGACAACGAGTCCATTTTTGTGCATAATTTACCTGGGATGCAGCAAGGACTCGCTGTGATGGGTGTAAGCCAACTGCGCGTTGTCTCCGATCTGTAAGGATACGGCGGAGGGATTGGTGTCGATGAATCGCTTCACCAGCGCATCCGCCGTTGTCTTCGGAGATGGCGTCCGGCTTCCTGCCGCCACCAGCTCGTCGGGCGGAGATACTATAGAGCTGCTAAACACTCCCAACATCTCGATAGAAAAATAAAATAAAATAAAATAAAATCGAATGATATTTTCTTTTGCTCTTGGGCTTCAACTCGGACATAGGATTCGGGTGGAGCAAGGGGCGTCTGTTTTTATAGGAAAATTGACGCGGGTATTATCGTCAATAAGCGGATCTTTTCTATTTTCTACTTTTTTTTTTTTTTTTTTTTCTATTTTCTACTTTTTTTTTTTTTTTTTTTATTCATGGATTTTTTAATGTAGAATAGCCATGTGACTGTGGGGTCCATTTTTTTTTTTTTTTTTTATTCATGGATTTTTAATGGTAGAATAGAGCCATGTGGACTGTGGGGTCCATTGGCTGGCGATGATTCTCGAGCGTTAAAGACGAGATGAGATTGCGGGGCCCAAAGCACACTTTCTTTGTCTACAGATTTTTGTCACCACTTGACCTACGATGATAACAGCATTACCGTTTGATTAATTTGATGAGTATTATTCTTTATGTTGAACTGTTACGAAATCTCACCGAAAACAAAGAAAAAAAAGAAAAAGAAAATTCCATATTTTAGCTCTATAATTTAACTGATATAAAAGTTTCACATGTTTAAGGTACGTTTCAAAGAAAAATATTTTTGGTTAATTGATTTTTTTAATCATTTGAATATCAAACTTTCAAAAGTTTTTTAAAATAGTTTAACATTTTAGAAAATTCTTTAAATTCCATTTTTGTTTGAAAAATAATTTTTATGAGAACATTAAAATTTTAAACCAAATATGCACAAGTACAAAAAATTTTATTTTTCGGTGTTAACAGGACCAACACTTGCAATTGTTTTATTTTTTTTTTCCCCAAAAAACTTGCAATTTGGAAAATCCTATTCTTCTATTTTTGTCATTAGACATGTGTTTTTAATTTAAAATAAAAATACATTAAAAAATGTTTTAAAAAAAATCATAATAATATAATGTAACATATGCAACTGACAATTTTCCAGTGTAAAAATGCATACTAAAAATTTGTAATATCTTGATACAATTTTCCAACTTTGCAATTTTTATTATTTAACTAAAAACGAAAAACAAAATCCAACATCATACGAATTTAAATCTATTATCATGTCAAGTACAAATTAATATAGTATAGATTTATAATTTTGTATCCTATGGTTAATTTATTGTTATTGCTTTCATTTCCATTGCCATCTGAAACATCATTGGCCCCTATAAATCATGAAGGGAGCAAATTAAGGATGCAGCAAATTGTATGAAATAAAGTATGGACGAGAGCTTATACAATGGGTCAGTAATCATATGAACTGAATTATAGCTACACTTAATTACAAAATATAATCTAACATAATATAATACAATTCTATATTTTTAATATATACATTACGTATTAATTAATAACGGGCATGAATTTAAACATTGCATAAAAAAAAAATCCAAAATGACAATTTATGGTATATGAAAAAGAAATATAATATAAAATTTTGAAATTTAGCTCGATGGATTAATTACTGGATAATTAAAAAAAAATCAATAACATGTGATTAGCATCTTGAACATTTAATTTATTATTTTGTAGTAATTATATGAAACAAAACGGGTCCAATTTTAATATCTTAAAACAATGGAGGCACTGCCCTAGTTTAAGGTTTCCTGTGTTCTGATAGCAACTTGATGCTAAAATAATAATACTAATAACTATATTATAATAAGAATTAAATTCATAAATTGTTTTCCTGGTGGGTTTAATTAAATTAAAGATGAGAAAATAGTACTAATCAGACATTTTATGATTCCAAAAGGAACAAGATACCGCTGGCAATAGATTCTACATGTGGGTAGAATATTGGTATTACAAGCTGAATTGTCGTAATCCAAAAATTACTTGGTGCTCTTCATCGTCACACCATTCCAACTCCAAAGGACTAGTTAGTTTTATTTCTCAAAAGTTGGATATTTGATTTCAATAATCTTTTATTCCATAAAGAAAAAAAGGCTCAAGAATATTTTACAAGTTCTACATATTCGATGAAAATGACGTTAAGAACCCTGTATTAATTAAATTCGTAAAAAAACATATAAAAATGGAAAATTAATTAGTTAATAATAGTATTTTAATTTATAATTTTGTTTACTCTGAACTCAACTAAATTCATATTATTCAATTTTATCTTCATTCACTTATATTCGTCAGACTAATTCATAATTAATTATTTAATTAATTGACAAGTATATAAAATTAACTATTAATTGCATTTTTTAATTCATGCACTGAGCTGAAAAATACAGCACTTATTTTGGAACCGGGAGAATTAAAATGCAGGTGCATCGCTAAACAATAAATATGTAATAAGAGGGTGATACTGATAGGATTAAAGAAAGAAAAAGAGAGAGAGAGAGAAAAAAAGATGAGATGGGGCCCTCCAAGGTTGGTGGATGTGAAATTCATTACATATTAATATTATATATACATATAAATATATTATTTAATGTGGCTTGAGTTGAAATTTCCATATCTGTTCTACTCACCATGATATATACATACACACTCAACAAAATTGACTAAAAAAAAGAAATAAATAGTAGAAATTGAAAACAAAGAAATGGCTAAATTTCTTAATCCCACCTAAACAAGAGGAAGAGTAAAGTTAAGCAAAACTGGGAAAAGATAATCAATTTTAGCTATGAATAGGAATAAATGACGCGTGGCTTATTACTATTATAAGAATAAGAATAGTAGAAAATTAATTAAAAACTAATAAATGACGTGTAATTGTTCTTTGTGGATAAATATAAATCTCTGACGCGCCCATGGTTTTGGCACTGGCCCATGGTTTAAGTCCTTTATTCTTTGCTTTTATTTTTTCTGATTGATGTCTATTCTTTTATATTTTCACTTCATAAGTAATTTTTTAGGATATAAATAACATAAATACTCTTAATTTTTAAAAATATATATAAATCTCAAATTAAAAGATCCTTCGAATTACAAAAATTATGTAATTTAAATTTGGGATGAATCACATTTTATTTGCAAACGAAGTTGAAATAAGTCATGCTCTTGCATCGATTGAGATGTGGTCTTTGGATATGGTGCACCATGGGCCCAATTGTAACTGTATAATAAAAGTATTTCTATTTTTATGGGGCTAAAAAATAATGAAGATATTTATTTTTTATATTTTAAAACAAATTAGAAAGTAAAGGAATGAAATGTAGTAGGTGCTTGGGTGGGCCTAGTAGGTTATGATGGAGCAGATGATTGGGTATCTCGGCGACTCGGACGACAATTTCATCCGATTCGATTATATAAAATATCATATCATGTAATTTTAAATTGGTATGAGATAAATACATATTCAAAAATAATTACTCTTTTTTGGATGGATTAAAATATGAAATTTATATATCGAATGCTCACTATTTAAATCAACTTATATAATGAGAAATGAATATGACGAATTTCAAGATAACCAACCTTCACACTGTCGTCCCTGTTAATAATGCCATAGGTATAAATGTGATTTGAGAATTAAAAAACAAAAAAAAAAAAAAAAAAAACTTCACACTGTCGTCCCTGTTAATAATCCTATAGGTATAAATTGTGATTTGAGAATTAAAAAACAAAAAAAAAAAAAAAAAAAATCAAAGAAAAGATGGCTAAGCCAATGGAGAAAAAAAAGGTTTGAAAAAAAAAAAAAAAAAAAAAAAAAAAATCAAAGAAAAAGATGGACTAAGCCAATGGAGAAAAAAAAGGTTTGAGCAGAACCACTATTTAGAACGATTAAGATTGGTGGAGATACCAAGTTGTTAAGGCAAAGCGACAGCCACATTTTTTATTTATTTCCTTCTCCAATGACCTTGGGGCGGTGCCTTGCCTGCTATGCTGAAAACAACCCTGGAATGGAGGTGCCCAACCAGAATTAGGCTGGAGTCTTTAGATACCGATACATGACATATAAATATCTACTACTGAGCAAGAAAGTTACTACTGAAGTTAACAATTCAACTGGTTAGTTAAAAAAGCAATGTTTTATCTATATAAGAGCATATTAAAGGGAAGCTAGTGGTTTCCTGACGACTGCTTCTTGATTAATTTAAAGAAAGAGACAGTGAAAGGAAGAAAAGGTTAAAGAATCCATTCACCATATTCGTGATTCCAGGGGGCGTAATAATGGATTAGGTTTGTCTTTATGGATTTGGAGATAAACGCTTGTCTTTCTAAGTTTTTGCCGCCACCTAAGTAAGATAAACTATGGATTCCTTAATTAAAGTACAAAACAATGATCCTAAACTATAAAATATGACGATATTTCTGACAAAACTTAAAAGAGTTACTGTAACAATTTGAAAGTAAGGGGTTTAAGTTTATATAATTGTATATGATTTGCTCTATTATGATATTATCTCTCTGCAACTTAATATGTAGTGTTTTTCTTTTTTATGTTTAGTTTTGGAATCTGTCTGGTTCAATGATAAACTATTCAAGGAAATATCTCAAGAATGAAAATTCTACTTATGAAGATTCTAATCTTGGCTAGAACTTTAAACATAATTACTCGTGGTCGGAAAGAAATTAGTTTTTAATAATTTTTGGTAATTATACATGAGTAATAAGAAGTGTATTAATAATGGAATTTATTCATAAGCTTTTGTAATGATAATTCCTGTTTTTTGCTTTGGTGATGGGAATTCTTTACTTGGTTCGTCGATGGTACTTAATTAATTATTAATCACAAAATTAAAATGGCATACACGTCATTTAGCAAGGAAAAGAAATTAGCATTCAGTGGTAATCCTTATTCCAGCATCGTCAAATTTCAAATCAATTTAGGTTTTGATGTTTTTGTAGATCTTAAAAGTTTAAAAATTTTAATAAATGATAATGATAATAAGATTAAGAATCGAAAACCAAAAATAAAAATAATACTAAAAAGACGAAAGTTGTTCTAGGCCTCAACCCTCAAATATCACTTGCAATGCACATTACCAGGCTCAATCCGAGGTCTTATAGGCTTCATCTTTCATTACAAGCCCACCATATTTTTTTGGATCAGCGCCACAAAGTTGCGAGTAATTCTTCTTATCCATGCAGGCGGTTTTTGTTACGCTTCATTAATTCTGAAGGCAATTGCATTTAATCCACAACACAACCTTGTGTGGATTTAGCTAGAATCCACCGTCCCACCGAAGTCCATAGAGTGAGCAAGTAGACCCGTATCAGGAGAGGAAGTAGAACTGCATGGCCGGCGTTGAATACGCAGGACATGAAACATGAGAGCACCTGTGATAGATCCTAAGATTGGCGCAGTAATATACACCCATATGTCCTTGAAGTTCCTGGAAACAATTGCAGGCCCTAATGACCTTGCAGGATTCAACGATCCTCCTGAAAGGGGCCTAACATGAAATATGAATTATAACCAATCCCATGACTGGATAACTCTAGAGTATATAATGAATTTAAGGGGAAAAAAAAAGGGATGCTCATAAGCCATGATATACCCTGTAATAAGTACTGCAAGTGCAATGGCAACTCCAAGAACAAAGCCTGACAACTGTCTTACCTGTAAAAGTTTTCAAATTCAAGTCTGGTTATTAGGTCCTTAAAAAGGGTTTAAAATTATACAGTGAATGTTTCCTTACTGATGTTTGATATGCGAGTGAAGCAGCAACAAACATGATGATGAAGGTTGCAATGAATTCGACCCAGAAAGCAGAACTGCATCCATGGAAAGGTCGGGTGGTCATTAGATCAGGTTTGATGCCGTAAATGGATCCTCCGGCATATGATGCCAATGCAGATCCAACGATTTGTGCTGATACATAAAACGGAACCTGCCATATTAATTAAACAAGATCAGGTTAGGTGATCCAAGTGGTTTTGAAAGAGGGATATATAATATTTACCCTGGACCATGGAAAATGACCAAAAGTTGCAAAGGCAATTGTGATAGCAGGGTTCACATGAGCTCCAGAAATAGGGCCTATGGAGAAAACCAAGACGATGACTGTTAATCCTGCTGTTGTTGCATATTCCAACAGACCCAATTGGTCTCGCGTTAGCTGCGTGGTTCCAATGATCCCACACACACATATCATTAATACAAATGTCCCCATCATCTCTGCTATCACCTGCGCATTTCTTAGTTGCAATTACATCATAATGCAGGCTTTTTAAGAAACTAAATTAGTCATTTCTTACCATTCTTGCCGGATTTAGATCAATTCCTTGAGGAAAGAATTTAGTGAAAACATCTTCATGTAATGACATTGCATTTGATTCCATGACAATCTCTAGATAAAGTTAATGTATAGTTATAGAAATGTCAGGCAAGATTGAAATTACAATTCTGATAAATTAACGAACACTTACATGAAAAGAAGTATGAGGGCAAATGGAAAATTGAAAGGAGGTGGAGAGATGTTTCTTGCATGCAATCAGCTTAAATATAAATTGGAGGTCATTTTAAAGAGACATAAGTAAATATGTTTGATTGTTTAGATAGAAGATTGATGTTTGTTAGGAAATTGAACTAAGATGAACTTGTTTTTAACACCTGTAGATGGATTAAAGAGTGTTGTTTGTGCTTGTTAACTGTATAAGTTTTAAAACGCTATCAGCATTTTACCAATATTACTATTAAATTTGGTTAATCAGGTCTACTACCTTCAATAACATTTTGAAAAAATTCCGAGAGCGGAAATTATTTCGTGGGCTTTATAGCTTTTAACTCAAAATGGGCCCAATTGATAAATTAATATAATTATCCAGAAGTTATGGGCCAAAGTGAGATTACAAAATGCACGAATTTCAGTTGAACACAAGAGAGATGAGGATTCCCTCGCTACGAACTGAACTTGAATTAATCGCAAAAAGCAATTCTTGCATCAACAAACTTCAAAAGCAGTTAATTAACCACATATAAATAAATAATTACATCATCTTAAAACTTGAAGTTGGAACATTCAGCAGCTGCTAATAGAAGTGTTCTAGTAAATGCAAGCCTGTTAGAAGCAAGATCGAACTGAAGAAGATTATCCTGCAACTGGTGTGCTCCTATCACTATTGGTGTAGTTACAATAGGATCATCACCTGCATCTAAGAATGCTAAACAAGCCACATCACGACTCACTTCCACCATTGAATTAAACCCATACATTTCCCACTGCTCATTTTTGTTGTTCTCGAACTCGAATGCAAGATCTGGGACCCCAATTCCAAGAGGTGTCATTCCTATATGATCTATCTTATAGCAATCTGTAAAAGGTGCCACAGGGGACACCTTACTCCCACTCAAAACTGCAATCTCCTTATCAAACGCCTTAACAAGAGATTTATAGATAGTGGTTTCAAGTTTGGTGTAAGGTTCTACTGTTGCTATTTTCGCTCCTCCCTTCCCATTCCTATGGAATTCAAGAAATGTTGGGTTTATGAAAATGGGTTTTCTGTTTACCAAGATAGAAGTGACGTTGACAAAGTATTCCGGCGATGGAGGTCCTCGTGTCACGATGGATGATCCTGAGAACTCAGTACGGACGTAGAGTTTTGTGTAATGAAATCTGGTTGATACATCAATGGTCTTCGATGTATTATAACTTGGATAAAATGCATAAGGAGAATCGCCAAAGAACATAACGCCGTTTAATTTTGGAGTTGAAGGCAAGCATATAGCGAACTTTTTCCGGAAGCTACCACCAGAAGAAAGTTGTGTCGGTAGAGTAATTGGTTGCCTTCCGAGGCCAATCATCCCGTCTGCACCTTTAGCAAGATTGCTTAGGCGCTCACGAGCCCCTAAACAACCGAAGATAAAATCGGAAACTGTGACAGTTGGGCCGAATTTTGAACCGTCCGTGGATTGGAGGGCAATTTTGTCTAAGGAAATCAATCCAATATCAAATCCACTACCTAAAGCAGGAATTGTGTTGTCAGCAAGGATATAACAGTGTTCTTTATCGCAACCTGGTCTGCGCCTACCAGGTTGGCATTGACCAAAACATTGAGCTTTGGCTACAGAACATGGAGCTGAACCACAAAAGCTATGCTTGAGTGTGGATGATAAGTATGACCCATCATCACAATCCATCCACAAATGTCGGCCTCCAAGGTCTACCACAAAACTTCTTTTGGTGGGAGGGGTTCCCATTTTAAATTTCGTTAGATATTGGAGAGTTGTTGCATCTTTGGAGACTGGAAGTACTAGGGCTTTGGGTTTTGAAGCCGTTTGGGCAAGGGAGAAAGAGATGGAAATGAGAAATAAGAAAAGCATTAGTTGAGGCATGGAAGTTTTGGGAAAAGCCATTGAAAAGAAAACAGGTTGAATAAGAGAAGAAAAAGATGATAATGATCGGTTTTGATGAAAATATGGAAGATTTGGATGGGTTTATATAGGCATATTTTTCTTCCAAAGATGATGATGATATTTTTTGTGCTGCCACACACGACTTGAAAAGAATTGTGGGGCCGGGTTTTCCACTTGTATTTGCAATTGGGCCTATTCATAAAGATCCAATGGTCGTAGATGGGCCAAAATTTTTATTTCAAGGCGTTGGAGCAGTTGAACCCAATTAATATTTGTCAGGTGAAGCGAAGCAACAAGCAAAGCAAGTTGCAGGCTCGACCCAAGCCACTTGATGCTTCACAGCTTCAGCTATCTTCATGGTAGTATACAGTGCACGCGCCTTGCTTTGACTCAGTCAAGGATTAAAAGCCTTTAAGTTTAGGCAAATAGTCGTCCATGGCGGCCAATCACTACTCAAATTTCCTTATAAAACCGTTACATACATCAATTGAACTTCACACTTGTATTCTTCTTCTTCTTCTCCTCTCTATAGCATCTCCCTTCAATGGCTTCTTTAGCTCAGTTTATCTTTTTGTCGCTATTTATTTCCTTGATTTTTCTTTCCAATGCACAAACAACTCCTCCATCAAAACCCAAAGCACTAGTCCTCCCAATCACCAAAGATCCATCTACTCTCCAGTACCTAACCCGTCTTAACTTGGGAACTCCTTCTGTTGAAAAGGCACTAGTTGTGGACCTCGGAGGCCGCCATTTATGGATAGATTGTGAAAATGAATACGAGTCATCCACTTACAGACCAGGCCTTTGTGGCTCAGCATCATGTTCTTTTTCTAAAGCCATGTGCGTCAGTAAATGCCTGACTCCTGCTAGGCCTGGTTGCCACAATAATACCTGCAGACTCCTCACCAAAAACCCCATCTGGGGAACTTATGGTATCTCTGAAGTTGCCATTGATGCAGTTTCTCTCCAATCCACAAATGGCGCTAAGGCTGGTTCACTTGTTTCAATTCCCAATCTTATTTTCGCTTGCGAAGGTTCCTCAAACCTACTCCAGCTTGCTGATGGCGCAAAAGGAGTCCTTGGCCTTGCAAAGGAACGCGTTTCCATTCCAACGCAGCTTTCATCTGCATTCGGTGGAAGTTTCCGTCGAAAATTTGCCATTTGCTTGCCTTCCAAGCCCAAAGCCAACGGTGTTTTGTTCTTCGGCGACTCTCCTTATATCTTCTATCCAGGTTACAACACATCAAAAGCTATTGATGTATCATCAAGATTTAAGTACACTAAACTCCATACCAACTATGAAACAACCGCATCACCAAGAGTGCAAGGAGCAATATTGCCAGAGTACTTTGTCAAGATTGCGTCTATTCTAGTTAACCAAAAATCCATTCCTATCAACTCGACTTTACTTGATTTCCATAGAACGGGCTTCGGTGGTTCAAGAATTACCACAGTAATACCTTATACAACTCTTGAGAGCTCTATCTACAACTCTCTTGTAAAGGCGTTCGATAAGGAAATTCTTGCAACTGGGAAAGTTAAAAAGGTTGCAGCTGTTGAACCTTTTAAAGATTGCTATAACAAAGGAAACTTGGGTATGACATTACTTGGACTTACTGTCCCTGACATTACATTCGTGTTTGAGAACAAAGATGTGAAGTGGGAAATTTATGGAGCTAATTCAATGGTGGAGATAAGCCATGACGTGGTATGTTTAGGGTTGGTGGAGAGAGATCCTGATACAAGATCAACATCAATTGACATAGGGGCACATCAATTGCAAGACAATCTTCTTCAGTTTGATTTGGCTTCTTCTAGACTTGCATTTACCTCCACACTTCTTTTTGAAGAAGTTGAGTGCTCCAACTTCAAATTTTGATCTTGGACTCATACTTTTCTACATTATATTTCTAGAATTTGGTACATGCATTATAAGAAGAAAATGATTAGTGATGTTGTAGTAAGGGAATGATATATCCCTTTTTTTTTTATCTGGTTTGCATTTGATTTGAATTTAAGAGAGGAGGCTTTTATAATTTTTATTTTTTTTGGTTACTTTTCGTTCATTGTTTTATAAAAAATTGATCGTAATTAAACTTTTTTTTTAAATTTTTTTTCTTCTTTGGTTTTTTCAAATAAAATTGATAATTGGTTAAATTTTCCTGTCATTTGACACTACAATATTGCCATGTCATTTATGGATCTTTAAGGCTAAAGTAATTTTCACTTGTTGTCGGAGATAAAAGGAATTAATGTTGTATGGAAACTGGTTGAACGAAAGAAGTCGATAGCTAAAAATGAAAAATAGATGTGTGTTGTTTAGTAAAAATAAATTAAAATGGATTCATTTCACAGAACTGAATCTCAAATTTCTAAATTAGAATTTATATTCACAAATTAACTCTAAAAAATATCTATCACTAGTCTCTAACCATCTTCAATTCACATTTGTTATAATTTTTATTTTTTAGAGTAATTTTATCTTAAAGTGAAACTTCCAAAAGGCATAGGCTGTTGCAAAGACAAAAGGCTGTAACGGTAATCACCTGCTTTTATTTCTGTTTTAAGGGCAAAGGGAACATTTTCATCTAACAAAGAAAGTTTTCCACCTCACGTTGGCTTATTATGTCATGGCTAACAAGGCAACTGCTTTTGGCAAGTGTAAATCCGACCAAGAAAGCATTCTGTCAAACCACGAGTTGTTCTTGCAGGAGAAGAAAATTTTTGTCAGGATTAGTTGTTTTTTTTTTCTATCCCTTCCTTCTCATAAACGAATATTAAGATCGTATTTAGAAAACACCTGACGTTTTGATTTTTCTTTTTTGGTTATATATTTCAATCTTTCTTCTTTCCATTGTACAATATATGTATATATACTCTTCTAGATTCTTTGTTAGTAAAATTAAGGAGAAAATTGTAATTATTAATTTCCAATCTCAAATTTAGGATATGGAAACAGGAAAAACCGATAATGGGATTCTAACAATGTGATTTAAACTTCCTGTGAAAACAATTTCCCCAAAACTAAACTCATCCCCTGCCTTTGTCACAAGGAATTGTATTTCTATATGTTGAGTTCCTTGTGGAGCTATTGTAAACCATGTTGGAGAGAGAGTCACTGTAGTCCCATTTGGTGACATCACTGAGCCCAAGTATGTCTCTGGCTTGCTTCCTACATTCTTAACACTCCTCTGCACCGTTTGAGATCCTTTTAGTGCTGATATTGTCACTGAAGGGAGATTCAGGTTGGCAGGATGGCTAAACAATTGGTTGCATGATTCTCCGGTTGCCACTTTGACTGTTGTTCGATTGATGTTGGGCAATGAGCACAAGAAACTTATGTAATCTTCAAACTCTGCTTTAGGGTCACATTTTGTTTGTACTCCAATTAAGTGAATTAGAAGATTAATGCTACTGTTAATGATAAATTAAGTGAAATGATCACCTGATGTAAAGACTAGGCCTGGATCGACAGAGCGGGTTGGATTCACAAGACCAGCACCAAGATCAAAATGAGTGGAGGGATAGAAGCTGTTAATATCAAATCCTTCTGCCAGTATGGGTTGTCCATAGTTATCATACTTGGTGGCAGTGGTGGACATGGCAGATGAAATCATCGATGGAGTCCAAAAAGGATTCATTTGCTTGATAAATGCTGCTATTCCCCCTATATGAGGTGTTGCCATACTTGTACCAGACAATAGTGCAAACTTGTAGCCTAAATAATCCCAAAGTTGCAGGTATTACTAATTGTTACTCAAGCAGTCAAGCTGTTTTTAATCTAGTCAATACTTGCTTACCTGTTAGCATTGGCTCCAAGGCACTAAGAGGGCTCCAGGCTGCCCAGATTTGGTGGCCAGGGGCTAGAATATCTGGCTTAAGAACATCAGCAGGAGTCCGATTAATGTCGATAAAATCAGGTCCCCTGGAAGAGAATCTGCTAACAATGGGCGCTCTACCTTCAAAAGATGCAACTCTACCCTCTCCTATAGCTGCTCGTGCATGAAATTCGGTCACAAATCCTCTCTCATCCCTTTTGATTTGTTGCTCATAGTACTGTAATATAATCTACGTATATAAGATAGCATTAGTTTTCATAATTGAGATCAAGTTTTTTCATGGAAACTAAAAACTTCTGTTTCTGATGTAATATATATATACCTGTGCATCAGCAACATTAGAGATCATAATGCCTGAAACTGCAAAAGGAATAGGTTCTGCTATGAAATCGCCATAGATTGGGTTTGCGACCAGAGCAAAACCCATAAATCCTAAAGTTCTTGTTGTGTCGATTATGGCATTTATGGTTGATGTGCCATTATAAAAGCCAGTAGAGAAGGTGCAGATAACAATACTATCTCTCACTACACTAGGGTCCAGTGACTCTGGATATTGGCATTCTTCGATGTATTGTGGAGTCCTTGGGAATGTCCCATTTGCCTTAACTGCATCCTGAGCCAACACCAGCTTATACAGAAAACGACCATCTCCAAAAGTGGGTGCTGATGAGTAACAATTAAATTATCATTATTCAATTGCAGAAACCAGACGAAACATACAAATATAAGGATGATTGAAACTTAAAATTACCTGATAAGCCCACACCTCCAACTTTTTGACCATTTCCAAGAAGAAGTGAACCAGGATAGATTCTGTCTGTGGTGCAAGCAGCTACTCCCACAGCCCAGGGGCTGTAAGACACAACAGTTGAAGGATCTGGCCCATTGTTGCCGGCAGCTTGCACAACAAAAACACCAGCTCTTCGTGCAAATAGCATAAAAACATCAAACACACTTAAGAATGTGAGAGTATCTTCCGGTGGTTCATCTGGTCCAACAGAGAGCGTTAATATATCCACTCCATCCATTGTTGCCTGTGCCATATATAGGGTTGGCGTCAAGAATCACACATTATTATCACATGATAAATTATTTACTCTACGATTTTGAAACAGTTTAAAGAAGTTGACTTAGTGGTTTGCTAAGCAACAGGATTATGACAATAATTCAATGCTTAATTACTTACTTGATCAATTCCTGCAACGACATCCGTTAAGGTTCCCACTGTTGGATAGACGGCCTTGTAAACAGCGATTCTGTTGCCATATAATGTCAAAACACAAAGCGATACAATGTTCTATACATCTGATAGAATTGAATGTTCAATGCACATCTTAAATTCTTAGTCCTAGTCCAGAAAACAAAGAGCATACCGTGCACGTGGCGCCATCCCACTAGCTCGTCCGTAGTAGAAGCCATTGGCCACCACTGGTACCCCAGCGTTTCCAGCAGCAGTTGAAGCTACATGACTAAACAAATCAAAACCATTAATTTGTGTCCACTAGATGACCCCCGTTTGATTATTAACAGATATATGTATACCTTCCATGTCCAACTGCATCAAAGGGTGAGAGAATGTCCACCGAAGGGTCAAGAGTAGCAATTGCTTGAGCACCAGCTGAGAAGAACTTAGCTGATACTATCTTTCCATTGCAAGAATTAGCAGGGAATCTAGGGCCTGTCTGGCAAGTACCAGAAAAATGAGAAATATTTGAAGTAAGAGGATTTAGAGGATCATAGGCAAAACTCGGATGACGAGGATTGATGCCTGTGTCAACAAAACCGATAACTATCCCTTCTCCTGCATTTCTATCTCCTCCTTCTTGAGTCCAAACTCCCTGAGGTAAACCCAGGAATTGAGGAGTATATGAAGTCATCAATTTGGCTCCTCTATCTCTCTCCACCAGCTTTACTCCAGGAGCAACTCTGAGTTTGTCAACCTGCAATGACTAACAGTTTAATTTTTTTTTTAAGAGAGATTTAAGCAGCTTCTCTCTATATGTATAACCTGAGAAGGAGTGACATGAACAGCGAAGCCATTAACAATGTGTTTGAAGCTGTAGAGCTTGCTGTAGCTTCCTATTTCAAGGGTGCTTTGTAGAAGCTGGTCATGGGAATCAACCAAGCGCTTTGCATGGGCTTGGGAAACTTCACTAATCATATGCATAGGAAAAAAATTTGTAAATTAGTAGCTAGTTTCCGATGAGACAATTAAACCAAATGAGAGATTGTTCCTTAATTATAGTCATATACTATCACATGCAGAATATACATTTGCTAGTCTTAATTAGTCCCTTTTTGCCTAAGGATGAAAACTTGCAATACCTGTTCAGTCCAAGTTTTCTTTTACGATGATGATGATGATGATGATAGTTATGAGGTGAGCGACCTCCATGAAATGCAACAGGCTCTCCTTCCATTAACACCAAGTACACTGATCGCTCTTCTGCAAAGCAAGCCACACAAATGGCAAAGATGAAAATCAGTACAAATCTTGAAGAATTTGCCATCATATTCCAGTTGAAGAAATTACAACTCGTAGACTGCTATATATAGACATGTAGTATGTTAAAAATAAGGATAAAAAAGGTAAGTTGCTACCTATGCAGAGAGAAACGTCAATAAACAGGTCAAATAATGTGAAGAAAGCTGTTACTTCATGAATTGTTTATACTTGGTACTAAACCGTTACTCTTCCTTTTAGCTTATTATATGAAGAACTTTTCGGGCATGCTATCCTCGCCACCTTGAATGAAAAAAATCAACTTGGCAAAAAAAAAAAGTGCACATCTTTGATCAACTTTGACATTTTTTGTTTTTCTGCCGCCTCCTGTTGAAAATATCGTCGACATAAAGGACATGTGACCTAATGAATCTCAAGCAAGGGTATAACAGAAGTAACAGGATTGTTGATTTTTTGTTTTCCAAAAGGCATTATAGCAGTCTACGTAAGCATACCAATATAATGGGCAAAACAAAAGAAATCAAGCTGGAAGGAAGCTCTCGAGCGGATGAAATTGTCTAATGATTGTTACGCTTGAATTGGAAAGTAACAGCGTTTGGCACTCTTTTGGGCAAAACGACCTAGTAAATTTAAATTTAAACTCTTAATTATTCTAGGAAAATTACAGTAAATGTCACTTTTTGAAACATGTCAGTTTGACTTTACGTTTAAAATTATGGTCATTTGTAATATATTTTTACTATTGTACTCCTTTTTTTGATTGGTAGGATGTTAATTTATTAATATTTTAATGTTTTAATATATTAGTGTTTCTTTTTATATTAGTTTCATATTTCAGTGTTTTAATATGTTAGTGTTTGTTTTTGTATTAATTTCCTATTTTAACCATTGTTTCCTTTTTTTTAGTATATTACTAATATTTTTCTGCCGCCATTTTTTTTAATGCTTATTATTTTCTGATGGTTCTTTTTTCTTTTATTGTTGTTCATTATTTTTTTATCGTTCTTTTCCCTTTTGCTGTCGTTCTTCTCATTTCTGGTGTTTGGTTTCGCTTTTTTATTCATAAGGTATGTTGATTTCTGTTTTTGATCTGTTGTTTATTGTTGAGAATATCTCTATCAATTTTTTATACGATTAATAACTACTGTAGAGATAAGGTAGGACTCTCGATTTTGTTTGGATTGATACGATACAATATATATGTATATGCTGTATTTACTCAGTTTGATCTAATGTCTTAATTAATGTACATATATCTATTCTATATTTAATTAATTTTACAGGACTTACTTATACAGTTATATATACTATGTATTTCGTATTTACCGTTGTTATTATCGTCGCAGTCGCCCGTCATCAATAGCCTTACGTTTCTTTATTGTTTACTTTTTTATTGTTTTTTTTTCAGTATTTTTTCTTTTTTTCAATGTCCCCTTTTTTCAGTGTTTTCTTTTTCGACCAAATTTATTACTCCCTCTGTTCTCTTTATTTAGAGAAAACAGAAAAAGCTATTTGGATTAAGAAAGTTAGTTAAATTAAGTTTTCTTCATAAAATACCCTTCATTTCATCCTTAATTATGAGAACAATAGCTGACACAAAAGACAATCTCAAAAAGTGCATTTATTGCTTATATGCATCATTTGGGCGTCACTTCCAACTTTCTTTATTAACTCTATTTGATTTTATTAGAACGAGGGCGTTTTACATAATTCGTGCACAAAAACCCAAAAAATTTTGGAGCCAAATTAAAGGCCAAAATTTTGAATTTATTTATTGAAGGCCATAAATTTTCAAAATTTTCGGCGAAAATAAAAGAGGAATGACTTAAATTTTGGCTCTAACCTGTTTAAACTTGAATAATTTTTCAATTCAAATTCAAAATTTGATTTCTCCAAATTTAAATGAAATTCAGAAAGTAATGCCCAAATGTAATACATTACGGCCAAAATGAAATAGAATTCGAGTTTTAATTTAAAAACTCTTAATAAATTTTAATTTGAAGGTGGATAATAAAATCTGAATTTTTGTGTGAGTTTGACGGCACAATTTTTTTAAAAAGTGCATAGTCTAGCAAAATATATGACAATTTCACATTTTGAAAAGTGCACAACTAATAATAATAATAAGACCACAATATGGCTTACAAAAGAATACAATCATTATAAGGATTTGAAAAAGTGAACAACTAAGATAACAAAACCACAAAATGTCTTATAGAAGTGTACAACTAATAAATTAAAAGGCCACAAAGTGACTTACAGAATTTAACAACTGTTAACTAACACAGAGAAACAAAAACCATTGAAAAAGTGCACAAGTACTAAAAATATGGCCACAAAATGGCTTACAAAAGTGTACAACTAATAATTAAAAAGCCACAAAGTGGCTTACAAAAGTTCACAACCGTTAACTAACACAAAAACAAAAACCATTAAAAAAATTCACAAGTACTAAAAATAAAATGCTATGAAGTGGCTTACAATAGAGTACAACCATTATAAGGATTTGAAAAAGTGCACAAGTACCAAAAATAAAAGGCCACTAAGTGGCTTACAAAAAAGTAGAAGATAATTAGAAAGTGCATAGTTACTACCAATAAAAGTCCACATTAACCTATTTATTGTGTCTATTTTTACCTAGGTCAGCATTAATAGCAGCAAGTGCGCCCTCCACAATTTTTCCTGCTGGGTCATCTATCTCATCACTTGCAAAAGGATCTTGAGAGTCAATAAACTTCTCTCTTGTCCATGGTTCTTGTGTAGGAAGTTAGGTCTCATCTGAGTCTACGAGTGCTTAATGATCATTACCTTCGGGCACATCTTTACTTTTTTGGCCACTTTTTTCTCAAGTAGGTGTTTCAAAAATCTCATAATACTGATATGTTCCTTGGTGAAATTACCTCAAATTAGCAATAAAAGATTGCAGTTCTTCAAGTTGTGCACTATTTTTCTGTGTTTGCTAACTGTTTTTATCTATTATTTTCACCGATGTGGCCAAAAGAGTAGTACTTGGGTCAAATTCTTTCAGAATCTCAACATTATTGTCTGCAACTAAAGGCACTTTTTAAGCTTTTTTAAAAGAGTAGCTGACTCCTTTAGTGTACGATTTTCATCTTTGAATCCACACTCCAAGCATAATATATATTCGTTTTCTGACGTCAATGGTTGTGGCCAAATTTACAACGATAAAAGTGTATATATATTCATCAAATATACAAATAAGGGCTAACTCTGTATTTATGTGACCAAATTTATAAAAACGACCACTGTTACTATAAAACAAAATGAAAAAATGAGTTGATAACTTATCCCTTGCAACACGCTTGCATTAAATGCTGAGAATATTTATATCTGGCATTTTTCTTGATTGTTGAGCTTCAATTTTAAAAAAACACATCCTTCAAGAGCTTTCTAGTATTTTTAACTTGACTTATATTTTAAAATTACTATTTAGAATAACTTTCTATACATAAAAAAATACACACGATAAGGAAATTTTCTATAAATAAAAAGAACAAGGAGAGTATGTTGTTTCAGTGCATTTGGTGAAAGACATTTGCTCTTGTGTACTTAGATAAGTCTTACTTTGATTATAATTAGGCCCACCGGGCCTATTGCAGAAGAATCCGGTTGATGTTGATGGAGCTAGTAGCCTTATCCTTGTAATGGCCACACAAACAAACAACAAAAGGTCAAAACACGTACTTACTTTATGCTACATCTTTGACCTTTGACCAATGACCATGGTCAAGTCATCTAATCTCAGTTGCGTTTTTTAACAATTTTTTGTGAAACGATTCCGTATCAGAAATCTAATCTGGATCCACGTGGAGTAAGTCTATAAAGGGATAAAGGCTTCTGATTAATGAAAGTCGTTATCTTCTTCAGAAAAAAAATTTCCATCCCATTTCTTTATAGATAAATACTGCCATATGTACACAAACAAAATTAAGACTTTAGTTCAATTGCTAATCAAAGTATCAAACTCAGCGAACTTATTAATATACAAATCCAACACAACCAAATTACAAATAAGCCTCACAAATTCTACCAATGCATAACAGTAACAGAACCACACATTTCCTAGAATTTGAAGTTGGAGCACTCCACCTCTTCCCAGAGAAGTGTAGAAGTAAATGAAAGCCTGTTAGAAGCAAGATCGAACTGAAGAAGATTATCCTGCAACTGGTGTGCCCCTATCACTATTGGTGTAGTTATGACAGGCTCATCACCTGCATCCAAGAAAGCTAAACACACTACATCGCGATTCACCTGTACCATCGTATTAGCTCCATACATTTCCCAGTACACATTCTTCTTGTTCTCAAACTCAAATGCGATATCAGGAACACTAATCCCAAGACCTGTCATACCCATACGACCTATCGTATAGCAATCTGTAAAAGGTTCGACTGGCGAAGCCACTTTAGTCACGTTCCAAACTGCAATCTCCTCATCAAACGCCTTGACGAGGGACTTATAAATAGTGGTTTCCAGTTTGGTGTAAGGTTCTACTGTCGATATTTTTGCTCCGCCTTTCCCATTCCTATGGAATTCAAGAAAGGTTGAGTTTATGAAAATGGGTTTTTTGTTTACTAAAATGGAAGTGACCTTGACGAAATACTCCGGCGATGGTGGTCCTCGTATTACGACGGATGATCCGGTGAACTCCGTGTTGATGTACAGTTTTGTGTAAGTGAATCTCGATGATACATCAATGGCTTTTGATTCATTATAACCTGGATAGAATACATAAGGAGAATCACCGAAAAACATGACACCATTGGATTTGGAAGAAGAAGGCAAGCATATGGCAAATTTACGCCGAAGGCTTCCACCCAATGCAGAAGAAAGTTGAACTGCTAGTGCAATTTTTTCCCTTCCTAGACCAACCATCCCGTCTGCACCTTTAGCAAGATTGCTTAGGCGCTCGCGGGTGTCTAAGCAACCAAAGATGAAATCAGAAATTGTGACGGATGGGCCGGATTTAGAACCGTCAGTGGATTGGAGGGAAATTTTGTCTAAAGAAACATATCCATTATCATAACCAGAACCTTCGGCTGGAATTGTGTTCACCGTTAAGAAAGAGCAAGTTTCGTTGCTGCAACCTGGTTTATGATGACCAGATACGCATCCACCAGTACAAGGAGCATTAGCCACAGAGCATGGAGCTGATCCACAACGGGCGTGCTTGATTGTGGTTGATAAATACGATCCATTATCGCAATCCATCCATAAATGCTTACCTCCAAGGTCTACTACAAAATTTTTCTTGGCTGGAGGGGTTCCCATGTTAAAATGGGTTAGGTATTGGACCGTGCTACCACTGGCATCTTTGGAGAGTGGGAGGATTAGGGCTTTGGGTTTTGTTGATGCGTTAACAAGGGAGATGAAAATTGTCAAGGAGAAAAAGATTAACTGAACTATAGAGGAAGTCATTGAAGGAAAATTAAGAGTTTAGAACAAATTAAGAAGACTTGCTGGATTCTAGGGCTGTCCTTCTCAAGTCAGGTATATATAGTGGAGCGGTGGTGCAATATTGCCGCCACATATGACCATTATTGATTGACTTGGCGATAATGGACAATGTCAGTTAAAGTGAAACTTCTTTCTCAGCGGAAATCTTGACTCAGTCAAAAAAAAAAACGACCTTTACCTTTTGAAGATTCATTCATTCTCGTTATCCATCAAGTCAAATCAATGGATCTGCTTTACCCTTCTCTTTTTCACGACTAATTATTATATTAAATTGTGATTATTTATTTTATTTTACTCCTCTTCGTATATATTTCTATCTAAGTTATTTTCAAAAAAAACAAAAACGTATTTTAATTTTTTATTTAAGAATTTGGTATTTACAATTGCAAAGCAATCACAAATTAAATACAGATGCCAGAGGTTTTGGGGTATGTCACGAAGCCGTTGTTTTTGATTTAGCAATCAAAAATATTATTGTAAGCAATATTCTGATTTGGTCAAGTTTTATATGCTAGCATTTTAGTATAGCACGCTGCTGCAATTCAGAGAAGGATCCAAAAAATTAATTAATGAAGCAGTATATAAAAATAATAATATAAATTTTTTTATTAGTTCAGTGTATGGGTGGTTGGTTTTGTACACGGTGTGCAAGTGAATTTTCGCCTCTTTTAAAAAAACAAAAATTTTTTTGTATTTTCGCCTGTTGTCATATAAATGATAAAATCTAGTAGTCTCAATCAGACGGTGGGCCTGGCCCAAACCCAGATGTCGTCAACTTTTAACAGTCTATTTATCCATTCTCCATCTGGCTAATTTCATTGGTCAAAAGACTCAAAAACTGAAAAGAATCGTTTTCTTGTTGACTCGAAATTATTCGTTGACTTTCCTGCCATTTAATTCAATGAAGGATTGCCTACCCGTACAAATATAAGCATGTATTTGACCTTGGACACCGCCGTTTGTGGATTCAACTCGATAATGGCGCTTATAATTTATCCACTTACAGACGAGGCCATTGTGGCTCTGCAACTTGCACTGCAGCTAAAGCCGATTGCGTTAGCGAATGCTTGCCTTTTCCAGTTCGCTAAATCTAACGCAGTCTTGTTTCTTGGCGAGTCTCCTTATTTGCTCTATCAAGGCCATAGTAAATCTTGCTTTACTAAAGGAAAGCTATAGGTTTGTCAAGATTAGGGTTTAGTGTTCATAACATTACTTTGGTGTTTAAAAACAAGGATTTGTATTAGGAAATCAAAGGGGATAATTCAGTGATAAAGTTAAGTCAAAATGTCGTGTTCTCAGGATTCCTGGATGGAGTTTAGAAACGACAATGTCTAATGTCAGAAAGCATCTTGATATAGAAAGCACTGAATGCATTAAAAAACAACGGGCCTTAAAAGCAGATCTAGAATGTAGACTATGGAAATTGATTAATAGCCCTTATCTTCATCGCAATATAATAGTATATATCATATTCTACCGTTGAGATTTGCTTGATTGTTATTTCTACAATGTGGTATTTCAAATCTGTTTTCGTGCAAGCTAAGTTACTCGAATCTCCGCATATTCCTCGAAGAATCAAAGATGGTGATATAAATCATTATTCGTTTGATTGAACATTAATTATAGATTACCACAACATTAATTTTGGCCAGTCCAGCACAAAAGAAATATTATTCTTCCAACACATGGACTTATAATATAATATCACAGATAATAATTAATAAATATTACAGGTAAAGAAATTCCTCTAATTAAGCTTTAGAGGTAAAGTTGAAGTTGGCACAAGTTGTTTGTCTAAACAAAAGAGAAGAGCTGAACCCAAGTTTTGAAGCTGCAAGATCAAACTGGAGAAGATTGTTCTCCAATTGATGACCCCCAATAACTACTGAAGTCCTTGGATTTACACCTCCATCAAAAAATCCAAGACAAAGCACATCGCTTTTAACTTGAACCATTGAGTTTGCACCAAAAATCCTCCAGAAAACTGTACTGCTTTGCAGAACAAGATCAATTTGAGGCACAGCTGGCCCAACTCTGGTGCTGCCAATGTTGGTCGAGTTAAAGCAGAGTCCAAAAGGTGCTACAGGCGCCACCTTCGGTACTCCAGCTAGGGCTTTCCTAAAGGCATTGATAAACTCATTGTAGATTGTTGTTTCCATAACAGTATAAGGATCTACAGTGCTTATTTTGGTTCCTCCAAATCCTTCTTTGTCAATGGATAGCAATGATGTGTTCAATGGAACAGCTTTTCCATTAATTTTGATAGACTTGACCCCAATGAAATATTCAGAGGAAGGATCACCTTCCAAAGATGCAGAAGCTGTACTTACTGGGTTTAGAATTAATGGGGTGTAAATTAAAGATTCAGAGACATCAATATTCGGAAGCAAAACATAAGGCCCATCGCCAAAGAAAACGACACCATTTGCATTTGAAGAGGTTAAGCAAATGGCAAACTTTCTATGAAAGCTAAAAGCAGCAGAAAATTGAGAAGGAAGTGAAATCTTAGTCCTTCCAAGACCAGCCATACCCTTTACACCACTAGCAAGACCTCCTAGCAGAAATGTGGTACCACAAGTGAAAATCAATTTAGGCACTGAAACAACTCTACCAGGGTTCGACCCATCAGTTGACTGTATAGACACAAGATCTTGACCGACCTCACCACTAGTTCCTGTATGAGTTACAGTATTATCAGGAAGAAGGGCACATGTGTCATTGTTGCAGCCTGGCCTTGGACTAGAAAAGCATTCAGTAATACAACTCTTTGATTTGGCAAGTGAACACTGGGCTGACCTGCAACGTGCAGGCTTGTAGGAGGATGACTTGTAGCCTTGATCGCAATCAACCCACATATATTGGCCTCCAAGATCAAGAGTTAACTTTACTGGCACTAAAGGGGTTCTTTGCTTGAGTTGTGTAAGGTATTGGAGAGTGGATGCATCTTTTGATACTGGAAGGACTAATGCTTTGGGCCTGAAAGATGTTTGTGCTATGGAAGGGAAAATGAAGAAGAGAAGAGAGCAAATGCAAAGGAGATTATGGAAAAGAGCCATTGTTGTGAATTGGAGTGAGGGAGGCGATGGGTTTCAATGCCTATATATACTAATGGAGTATGTATTATGTGGCCGATGGGAAACGTCAATGTTGGCGACCTGGTTACTAATTAAATTAAAATGACCTTGACCTTGCTTTAATTTAATATCATTATGATTAATTTATTTAGGTTTTGCGCTGGATTTGATTATATCCATTTTAATCTTTTACTTACACCATGGTATTAATAATTTATCATTTATTTAAACTTTATCTGATTCGTTGTCAAGACCTTGTAAAATTAATTTATTTAAAAACATTAAACCTTTCAATTACTACTATTTTTGTATGCGTTACATCCCTTTTAAATGTCTGTCCAAGAAGAGGTTGAAACTTGAAACCATGTTGGGATATATAATATGCGACAACAAATATGTAATTTACAGTAATATTCAGTTTAAAAAAGAAAAATTCAGGGATTTTAAACAGAAATAAGTGGATGTCACAGGTTGATTCAGCACGTGCGTGGTGATAGTCTTCAGACTTTTACCCAACTATTCTTTTCAAGGGAAAGTATTATTTACTTCTGTGTATACATTATATGCCCAATAAATAACGCAATAATGATTATAAAAATATGTTATCTTTTCATTAAAAATAAATAGATAAAAATGTGGCAAACGTTCTCTCCTGAAGTTCAACTATGAACGACAAATACCAGCGTGGTTGCAATCATATGTGGACAAAAATGGAATATAATAATATAAACGAAACCTGGAAAGCATGACCTTAACTATTCTACTCCAACTTGCGCTTGCTTTTAAATTTAATTATTAGACATTTTAATTAATTAATTCAAATCTCCAGATGTTGAAGCGGAATCTCGTGAATTTGATATTCACAATTTGGCATGTGCGCATATAAGTAAGAGAAGGTTGTCGAATGCTACATTTCATCGTATTCCTCAAGATGTCGTTCGTATATGAACTGATGGATTAAATTAAATATGATAATTCTACAGTAATAAGTTAAAGCATTAGTAAATCTTATGAGGAGATTAATCTCATTTCTGAAAGCAATGTTGGGGGAAAAAAAAAAATTGAACCCTCGTAGAAAGTATACAAACGTAACATATCCAAATCAGTTATAAATAGAGAGCATTGCAGCCTCAGTACTTCGCCATTCATATAAACTTCTTTCCTAATCTCTCTTTCATACATATCTTTCATATGGATTCCTCGTTTAATCGGTTCCTTCTTCTTTTTTCTCTTCTCTTGTACATCTCTTCTTGCACAGCTAAAACACCATTTCGTCCCAAAGCTTTACTCCTCCCAGTCTCTAAAGACCCATCAACTCTCCAATACCTGACTCATATAAACCAGAGGACTCCTTCTGTGCCCATAAAATATACCGTTGATCTTGGCGGTAGATATCTCTGGGTTGATTGCGAACAAGGCTATATTTCTTCTTCATATAAGCCTGTACATTGCGGATCCCACTTTGTACACTTGCCAATTCACAAACTTGTACTAATGATTTCTATCCAAATCCAACACCAGGTTGCCGTAATAATACATGCGACTTACTCCCTGATAACACAGTTATACGCATGAGCACTAGCGTATATGAGCTTGGCATGGATATTTTGTCTCTTCAATCCACTAATGGAAGGAATCCTGGTAAATCCGTATCTGTGCCTAACTTCCTTTTCTCTTGTGCTCCTGATTTTCTTGTAGAGGGTCTTGCTAGTGGTGTTAAAGGTATGGTTGGTCTCGGAAGACATAACATTTCACTTCCTAATCAGTTCTCCACTGCTTTTGGCTTCAAAAAGAAATTAGCTCTTTGCTTAACTGGTGGTGATGGCGTTATCTTTTTCGGGGATGGACCTTATGAAATGCTTCCTGGAAATACTGATCTCTCTCAGCATTTGACATACACCTCTCTTATTCTAAATCATATGACCACGTCAGGATCTTATTTTGAAAACGAAACATCTGCTGGTTACTTCATTGGACTTACAGCCATCAACATCAATGGAAAACGAGTTAAAATTGACAAGAAATTGTTGTCCATCGATCAAGACGGAGAAGTTGGAACCAAGATCAGCACAGTTGATCCCTACACAGTCTTGCAAAGTTCCATTTACAAAGCTTTTACTAAAACTTTTATCAAGTTGTTAAAAAAGGTGCCTAGAGTTAAGGCAGTAAAGCCATTCGACGTGTGCTTCGACGCAAAGAGCTTTAGTTCCACCAGGGTTGGACCAGGTGAGCCGCCCGTTGATTTTGTCTTGCAAAACAATGAAACAGTATGGAGGATTTGGGGTGCAAATTCAATGGTGTATGTTAACGAGAAAACATTGTGTTTGGCATTCATTGACGGTGGAGCAGAACCAAGGACCTCCATTGTGATTGGTGGGTATCAACTGGAGAATAATCTTTTACAGTTTGATCTTGCTTCTAAAAGGCTTGGGTTTAGCGGTTCTCTACTTTTTAGCCAAACAACTTGCTCTAACATTAATTTCACATCTGTCTAATCTAAGAGTAAGGAGAGCAGTTTGAGATTTTTATCTAAGTTTTTCCATTGGCAGATCATGTTTGCGTTGTCCCAAGGTATTGTCGGAGAGTTGTTCTGTATCTTTCAATATTTTTAGATGAATAATAATGTAATATTTCCAACGTTAATTATGGTCCATATCTGCACTCATGGGTACAATAAATGTGTGTTAATTTGTTTTTAATACTGTTTTTCCCTTACTATAAGTATCGACTGGGAGTTTTTTTAGTGTAAAGAGTTTAACTTATTTCTCTTTTCTTTATTCTCTAAACAAAAGTTTCCATACTGTTTTATTTTCATTTAATAACTGTTAGGAAAATTCTAATTGTTGTACTATCTATTAGCTGTTTAACGGTAGTTAAAAGCGAAAATTTTTTTATAAAAACAACTGTTTGAATGACAATAAATTTAAAATGACAAAAAAGAACATTAAAATATTCACCTAAAATTTTCAATTAAATTCAATATAAAAAAAGAAGATTTCACTAAATATAAATTTTCAAAATTTAAGAGAGTAAAAATTGATAAAGAGAAATCAGCTGAAATTCAGGATGAAATTTTATTTATTAGCCTAAGATATATGTATAAATTTTATTCATCTATTGACAAAGAGAAATTGATATTTCATTAGTATTTATCTAATTATTAATATTGAGACCACCGTTAAATTGTTGGCATGGTGGTTTCATCCTATTAGTCCACAAGAAATAGACATTTTGGTAAAGTCAGAGATTAGGGTAATGGTGGGAGAAAAAAACATTTGATTTTTTTTTTTTTTATTTCATTAGGTATTTATCTAATTATTAAATATTGAGACCACCGTTAAATTGTGGGGCATGATTTTCAAAATTTAAGAGAGTAAAAATTGATAAAGAGAAATCAGCTGAAATTCAGGATGAAATTTTATTTATTAGCCTAAGATATATGTATAAATTTTATTCATCTATTGACAAAGAGAAATTGATATTTCATTAGTATTTATCTAATTATTAATATTGAGACCACCGTTAAATTGTTGGCATGGTGGTTTCATCCTATTAGTCCACAAGAAATAGACATTTTGGTAAAGTCAGAGATTAGGGTAATGGTGGGAGAAAAAAACATTTGATTTTTTTTTTTTTTCTTGTTATTCTAGAAAGGAAGTAACGTGTGGAGCAGAGGGACAAAAATGCAGACAGAAGGAAACAAAATCAAATTTTATTAAATAATATCATAATTTAAAATTCAACTCGCATTAGTTCCTTGTGGGATATTAATGTGTGGATAAGATGTCCTCTTCCTCTGCTGTCTCCAATTTCCTCATAAAAATCTCAGCAACCCGACTGAAGCAACTGGCAAGAGAATAATAGTCTCAGTTAACCAAAAGAGACTATCATTGATTTCATACTGATCAATAGAGAAGACTGCCGCTCTGGAACCAAAGCTAGCTGGAAGCGAAACGCTACAAGAAACGCAAGTTGCCCTACGAATTAATCAACTGGTCCTCCAATTCCTTGGTCAAATTTTAGCACCACAAATTCTTGATTTTTTCTTTTGATAAGATCAAACCAACTGTACTTAACAAAATATATCATGTCTATAAATAATAAATTCACATTCAAACCCAGCACTTCTCCACCCATCAGCTTTCTTTTCAATTTATCAGTTAATCTTTGGTTAACACAGGAAATGCCTCTCTCGCGTAATTGTCTTTTCTTTTTTTCTCTCGTTCTCTTGTTCGTTTCGCCTGGTATAGCACAAACAACCTTCAGGCCCAAAGCATTAGTCCTACCCGTCCAGAAAGACTCATTAACTCTCCAATACGTCACACAAATCAACCAAAGAACTCCTCTCGTGCCTGTCAATGTAACACTTGATCTTGGCGGTTTATTTTTATGGGTTGATTGCGAGCAAGGCTATGTATCCTCGTCTTATAGACCTGCGCGCTGTAACTCTGCACAATGTTCACTTATTAATGCAAGGCGCTGTAGTAATGAGATATGCTTAGGTTCAAGTCCAAGGCCAGGCTGCAACAACAATACATGTTCGAGATTCTTAGACAACAGGGTAATAAGCTTTGGTACTGAAGGTGAAGTTGGTCAGGATGTTGTGTCTGTCCAATCTACCGATGGATCAAATCCTGGTATACTCGCTTCTGTCTCAAATTTGCTTTTCACTTGTGCCCGTACATTCATTCTCGAAGGTCTTCCCAATGGCGTAAAGGGAATGGCTGGTCTTGGAAGGAATAGGGCTTCTCTACCTTCTCAATTCTCCTCTGCTTTTAACTTTCGCAATAAGTTTGCCGTTTGCTTAACCTCTTCAAGTGCTAAGGGTGTCGTTTTCTTTGGTGACGGGCCTTATGTTTTGCAACCAAATTTCGATGTCTCCAAATCCCTTACCTATACACCACTCTTGCAAAATCCATTAAGTACAGGTTCCGGATTTAATCCTACAGAATCTTCCTCTGATTATTTTATCGGAGTCAAGTCTATCAAGATCAATGAAAAAACCGTTTCTTTGAATACCACGTTGCTAAAAATTAACAGCGAAGGGTCGGGTGGAACCATGCTCAGCACTGTGAGGCCATATACTGTAATGGAAACAACCATATATAATGCTGTATTGAATGCTTTCGTGAAAGAGCTAGCTCATGTCCCTAGGGTTGCATCAGTTGCACCTTTTGGGGCTTGTTTTGATGCTAGTAAGATTGCTAGCACTCGGCTTGGCCCAGCTGTGCCTTCCATTGATCTAATGTTGCAGAGCAACAATGTCGTGTGGAGAATTATTGGTGCTAATTCAATGGTGCAAGTTAACAGAGATGTGCTTTGTCTTGGGTTTGTTGATGGAGGTGTAGATGCAAGGACTTCTATAATAATAGGAGGGCATCAATTGGAGGATAATTTTCTGCAATTTGATCTTGCTGCTTCGAGGCTTGGGTTTAGCTCGTCTTTGTTGTCTAGACAAACAACTTGTGCCAACTTCGACTTCACTTCTAAAGCTTAAAGACTGTGTTTCTTGTAAAATTTTTTTTTTTTTTAAATTACAGCCTCCATGTACTTCTGTAGACGGTAATACTAAATAATGTGTGTTGAAACTTTATGCTTAGATGGAAGAATTAATAATGGCTATGCATGATTATTAGTGTTGGCCTCACCTATTAATGTATAAATAATGATTATTTTTAGTAATATCCTTTTGGTTGGTGGTCTAGGAACCCAAATAAAATTTTCCCGACAGCCTTCAATACCATTGCTAATTCTATAAAACTTATGCTTAGATTGTATTTTGCGAACAAAGCCAGAATTCAGTAGTTATGTATCAAGCCAATTTTTTGCATACCTCTGCTATAATTCCTGCCCTGTCTCTGCCAAACTACGACGTCGTAGTCCTTCTTTAGGAAAAATTAAGAGAAATATTAAATATGCCGCCACCTGAGCATGTATTGCACGAAGAAATTTCATCAGTAGAAACAAAATAAATAAAGAAAATAAAAACAAACTGAAGGTATCAAACAAACTGAGAGTAAAAAGAATAGATTGAAGCTATCAGAAAACAGAATCACTCGCCCTTACCATATGCATGAGAAATATACGTATAAATTTTATTCATCTATTGGTAAAAAAAAAAAAAAAAAACTTTGATATTTCATTAATGTTTATTTAATTATTGATATTGAGACCAATGTTAAAGATATTGTTGACATTATGGTTTCATCCGGTTAATCCATGTGCCTTCTTCTCTTACACCAAAATAGACATTTTGGTACAATCAGAGATTAGGATAATGGTGGGAGAAAAACACATTTGATCTTTCTTTTTTTATTATTGTCATTCTAGAAAGGAAGTAACGCGTGGAGCAGAGGGACAATAAAAAAATCAAAATTTATTAAATAATATCATAATTTAAAATTTTGATTTGAAATTCAACTTGCATAAGTTAGTTGTGAGCTTATTTTCAACCATCATTCCCCAAGGATACCACTCGTTTCTTAATTATCTTTATATTTTAATTTGTGACTTAGAAATACATGAACTTTTATTAAAGTAACACATAAATCTTTTTATCAATTTTTCCAGTCAACTGCAGGTAAAAAGCTGACATGAAATTACTTAACTAATAAATAATTATTTTTAAAATGCCACATCATATTTTTTTAATAATGTTATTTTGGCTCTCATCCACCTTGTTTTTTTTTTTTTAATAATTTTTCTCTCTCCATTTTAAATTTATTTTTCTCTCTCTCTCTTGCCACAAAAAGTAAAATGGTGATCTCCAATCTGAGTTTAACTTCTCTCCTTGCTCTAGTTCATCTTTGTCTTTTTAAGATTTTTTGAAGCTATAAAAACAAAAATAGACTAGATAACATTAGCACAACTCCAAAACAAGTAGTAAATTATTTATAAAAAAGGGAAATAAAATCTTAGGAAAACCTGCTTTAAAGCTTTCTCCATCCATAAAAAATTGATACCGAAAGGGGAAAAAAAAAAATTAGATCAAAAATTACATAGTAAGAAGCTAAAGGTCACAAAAGAAATTACAAACGCAAAATGGAAGCATAAACCACAATTATATGAAGTGAAAATTAACTGCATAATTTTTTTATAATAGTTATCTTTCTTTTGAAAAACTAACCCAATAAATTAAAAAAAATTTTGAAAATTTCAAAAAAAATGAAAATCCTACCAAGCACCATGATCATCCATCTGATGGAGAAGATTCATTTGAGAGCTCTAAAGATTATAAGTTGTAAGAAAAAGAGTACTAAATTATGAAAAAAAATGCAGTGAAATTTGACATGAGAGCTTAATTTGATTTCAAATATAGACAGTACTACAAAATATATGCAAACATGAAGATCAAGAAAGAGAGAGGTACTGAATTTTTATATTTTTTTTAGAGAGAGAGAGAAATGGAGTGTATATTTTCGGGATTGAATGCTCTATAAGACACCATTAAAGGAGGAGAAGATGTTTGGATAGAAACAAGAGACGGAGAGAGAGAGAGAGAGAGAAGAGTGTGGTTGGTGTTTGATGGCTTGGTGTTGCTCTTTGACCATGAAATAACAAAAAATGGGGCTATGGTGCTGTGAGGAGGAGAGAAAATTATAAGGTGGGAGAGAAAAAAATTCTTAAAAATTTTGATATGAAATTTTTTTGTTAAAAACATGTACATGTCAGCAAGATTATCGGCTCTTTACCGGATAACTGGTGATAGATTTTTAAGTTATTCAAATAGTAATTTAGTATTTTTTAAGCAACAGAAGTATAGGGATAATTAATAAATACAACATATAATTCAAAGACAATAAGTGAAAATAAGTCATTAGTTGTGGGATATTAACGTATGGATAAGATGTCCTCTTCCTCCGCAGTCTACAATTTCCTCATAAAAATCTCAGCCACCCGACTGAAGCAACTGGCAAGAGAATGGTCTATCCAGGCTAACCAAAAGAGACTATCATTGATTTGATACTGATCAGTCTGCGACTCTGGAACCAAAGCCAGCTGGAGAGCAAAACGCTACAAGCAACGCAATTTACCCTACAAATTAATCAACTGGTCCCTCAATTCGCTGATCAATTTTAACACCACAAGTTCTTGATTTTTCCTTAGATCCAACCAAGTATACGGAACAAAATATATCAAGTCTATAAATAATAAACTCACATTCAAACCCAGCACTTCTCCACCCATCAGCTTTTTTTTCAGTTAGTTAGTAAATCTTTAGTTACACAGGAAATGCCTCTCTCGCGTAATTTTCTTTTCCTTTTTTCCCTCGCTCTCTTGTTCATTTCGCCTTGTATAGCACAAACAACCTTCAGGCCCAAAGCATTAGTCCTACCCGTCCAAAAAGACTCATCAACTCTCCGCCAATACGTCACACAAATCAACCAAAGAACTCCTCTCGTACCTGTCAACGTAACACTTGATCTTGGCGGTTTATTTTTATGGGTTGATTGCGAGCAAGACTATGTATCCTCGTCTTATAGACCTGCGCGCTGTAACTCTGCCCAATGCTCACTTATTAATGCAAGGCGCTGTAGTAATGAGATATGCCTAGGTGCCCGTCCAAAGCCGGGCTGCAACAACAATTACATGTTCGAGATTCTTGGACAACAGGGTAATAAGCTTTGGCACTGAAGGCCAAGTTGGACAAGATGTTGTGTCTGTCCAATCTACCGATGGATCAAATCCTGGTAAAAACGCTTCCGTCTCAAATTTGCTTTTCACTTGTGGCCGTACATTCGTTCTCGAAGTTCTTCCCAATGGTGTAAAGGGAATGGCTGGCCTTGGAAGGAATAGGGCTTCTCTACCTACTCAATTCTCCTCTGCTTTTAACTTTCGCAATAAGTTTGCCGTTTGCTTAACCTCTTCAAGTGCTAAAGGTGTCGTTTTCTTTGGTGACGGGCCTTATGTTTTGCAACCAAATTTCGATGCCTCCAAATCCCTTACCTATACTCCACTCTTGCAAAATCCAGTAAGGACAGGTACTGGATTCTTTCCTGGTGAATCTTCCTCTGATTATTTTATCGGAGTCAAGTCTATCAAGATCAATGAAAAAACCGTTTCTTTGAATACCACGTTGCTAAAAATTAACAGCGAAGGGTCGGGTGGAACCATGCTCAGCACTGGAAGGCCTTATACTGTAATGGAAACAACAATATATAATGCTGTTGTTAATGCTTTTGTAAAAGAGCTGGCTCATGTCCCTAGAGTTGCATCAGTCGCACCTTTTGGGCCTTGTTTTGATGCTAGCAAGATTGCTAGCACTCGACTTGGCCCAGCGGTGCCTTCCATTGATCTAATGTTGCAGAACAACAATGTTGTGTGGAGAATTGTTGGTGCTAATTCAATGGTGCAAGTTAACAGAAATGTGCTGTGTCTTGGGTTTGTTGATGAAGGTGTAGAATCTGTAGATCCAAGGACTTCTATTATAATAGGAGGGCATCAATTGGAGGATAATTTTCTGCAATTTGATCTTGCTGCTTCAAGGCTTGGGTTTAGCTCGTCTTTGTTGTCCAGACAAACAACTTGTGCCAACTTCGACTTCACTTCTAAAGCTTAATGTTGGTTTAGAATAGCAGAAAATTAAGGAAGATAAGGAAAATTCTGCAGAAAAAGAAAAAAACTGCAGATTTTATAAGTGTGAAAAAATAAATATTCACATCTAATTAATTCCATTATAACATAATGTAAACATTTATAATAGAGCTATTCTAAAGTTTGTTCACTAACCTTCTATATAAGTCAAGAAAGGTTGTTCACCAAACTTCTATAATTCATGGAAAGTTGTTCACCTACCTAAAAGCAAGGTAGTTCAATTACTTCTTGATTTCAACAAAGTATAAAAAAATCTAAATGACTTTAATAAAATTTCTCTAAAAAATGTCAACAACACTTGCATCAATTTTAGCTTCAATGGAGCTGTAGCCGTAACTTTAACACTTAAAGCCTATATTTTTGGATTTTTTTTTTTTTTTCTATTTTTTAATGGGCAATGGAAAGTGGTTCACCTACCTAAAGCAAGGTAGTTCCAATTACTTCTTAAAAGCAAGGTAGTTCAATTACTTCTTGATTTCAACAAAGTATAAAAAAATCTAAATGACTAACAAAATTTCTCCAAAAAATGTCAACAACACTTGCATCAATTTTAGCTTCAATGGAGCTGTAGCCGTAACTTTAACACTTAAAGCCTATATTTTTGGATTTTTTTTTTTTTTTTAATTACAGCCTATGTACTTCTGTAGACTGTAGTACTAAATAATTTTTGTTGTAACTTTCTGCTTAGATGGAAGAATTAATAATGGCCATTCATGATTATTAGTGCTTAATATCCTATTGGTTGGTGGTCCAAGAACCCATATAAAATTTTCCCGACAGCATTCAATGTCATTGCTAATTCTTTAAAATTTGATGCTTATATTGTACTTTGCGGACCAAGCTCATAACCCTGCTATAACTCCTGCCCCGTCTCTGCCAAATTACGACGCCGTAGTGCTTCTTTAGAAAAATTAAGATAAATATTAAATATGCATGCGGCCACCTGAGCATGTATTGCAAGGAGAAATTCGACCAGTAGAAAGAAAAATAAAGAAAGAAAACAAAAACAAACAGAAGAAGAGAGTAAAAGAATAGATTGAAGCTATCAGAGAACAGAATCACTCGCTATATTTTAAATTAATATGTCATTCTCATATGCATCAGAAGTACTATACATCCTATCAAAGGGCAGTTGATCCTTTTTGTTTGGATAAATTAATATTAATCCCACGGTTGTATAAACTATTTATGGGGTGGTGGGAAGAAGATGATGAGCTGTGCAAAGGATTCCAACTTCAAACTGTAGCACTTCTTTCTCAAAATAATATTAAAGGCAAAAAAAAAAGAAAAAGAAGCAGCATATGCAAATTGATGCTGTGGCAAAGGAATTCCACTGTGGGCAAACTGTAGCACTTCCTTTCTCAAATATAATAATTAAAGGCAAAAAAAAGAAAAAGAAGCAGCAATATATATATATATTTTATTATATATATATTCGTGATTAGCTAATGATATAATAACAGGGTAGCAATCCATTATCAATTAATTAGTTGAGAGCCAACTGCTTCGCGATCTGCATGTGGCCATTATCCTTATTCATCAACCTATAGAATTTATATATATATAATAACAGGGTAGCAGATCCATTATCAATTATTGTTGAGGCCAAAACTGGCTCGCGATCTTGCATGTGGCCATTATTTTCATCAACCTATATTTAAAAAACTTACAAACAAACCACACAAATTAATAATTCCATTATGGGGTAAAGCGTACGTCTTATCTAGAAAAGTCAGCCAACACCCAAGACAGTGAAACAGGTTCCATCTCGGTGGCTTATATCTCTTTTGGTTAGTTTGACTTTTCTCTTGTTAGAATTGCTGGGGCCCATTGTTAAAAGTGATGAATGGTGGTTTTACTACATAGGCAATTTTCTTATTATTTTTTTCATTATATTAAAACATTTCTTTTTTTATTCATTATTGAACCAACGGATCCAATTACATTATTTTTCTTTATCTTATTTAATTAATAAAACCTCTCGTACAAAATAATTAAAAAAATTATAACTGATTAAATCCTTTAAACATTTCTATCAACTTATACTTCACTTTGTAATCTTAAAAGGAGTAACTAATTCCAACATTTGTTAAGTTAATACTAGAAAATCAAGGGGTATTTTCAAACGAAAATAAAATAAATTCAAGGAGGTGATATCATTAATCATATACGGGCTTATTAGCTATCAAGCTCTAGAAAATTGACCTTTATCAAAAAAAAAATCTCAAAAATTAACCAAATATATATTAAATATTGAGTCGACTCATTTAAGAATATAAATAAGGTCAACCAAATATTATTGAGCTCAATGAAAATATACTGAACTCCAATTTAATTTCAACTTAAAAATTAAATTTAAATATTTATAATATAGAAAAAAATATTTTCTTTTCAGCCTCAAAATCAAGCACGAGCTTAATTCATTAAATTTATTGAACGAGTTTTATTTGTTGAAACTAAATCTCAAATAGTATATAAGTTATATTTGACTTATTTATAGCAGGTAAACTTTTATGGATTCCAACTCATAATTAATTAAGGTGAAAGAACAAGATTATGAGAAAGATTAATATCCTTAGTTAAGTATTATCAGAAAGAACAAGATTGACTACTTTTATTAACTTTGAGCCATTTTTATTTCTTGGTCCAGATTAGCGGATTTCCGTCCAGCCAAATCTAACGGCTTCTGCCTTTAAGCAACCTACCATTGACTATTTGACTTGATTGATTCAATTTCATGTGTTGATATATGAATAAATAACTATTAAAATACTGGGTCAGGCTTCTTCTTTTTTTATGAGCTGGGCCCTTGTTATTGTAACGCGGTATGGTTCTACAGGTCAGCTCTTTTTGTCAGCCGTATTATTATTTTTAAATAATAAGAATAGTATAATTTTCTTATTTTAAAGTCTCTATAATATTTCAGGAAAAATAATGTTTTCTATGTATTAAATTTTTTAAACATAAATAATATTTGTCTTTCAAAAAATATATATTCTTTCAATTTTTTTAAAACCATACATAACACGGAGAGATTGCTGGTTTAATCGTATAAAAAAAATAAATATTAGTAAGAAGTTAAGAGTTGAATTTTTATTATTGTGCTTTTGTTTTTAAAATTTTCAATATTTAATATAACTTTATAAATATCGAATTGACATCAAATTAAATTTAATAAGATAACTACAAATTTAATAAATGGAAATTGAAAAGGATGGATCGTCTGTTATGTTTGAATTCCCTTTAAAAAGTCATGAATCGCATCACATCACTATCAGAAAAAGGAAAATGCTTTATCCAGCAAGCATATGCTTTTATTCCAGTGAGCATAAACCTTTCGCTTTTTTTTTTTTTTTTTAATAAAATTATTTTTTTTTTTTTTTTATTAAAATTATTTTCTTCCCATATTTTTCATTAACGAAACAAATTTTTAGGATCTAAAGTTTTGCATCTTTTTTTTTTTTTTTTTATTAAAATTATTTTCTCCATATTTTTTCATTAACGGAAACAAATTTTTAGGATCTAAGTTGTCATCTAAGCTGATGGCCATGGGCCACCGCATACTGATACTTTCTTTTCTTCTTTTTGGTTTGTTCAAAACATAATCCTTTTCCGATTGTTCCAAAACATAATCCTATTTTATTTTTGGAAAGATAATTTATTATTTAATTTCTTATTATACCCCTAATTAGTACAGGTTCACGGTTTAACAAAAATTTCATAGATCATATAGCCCTTTCCAAGTTTATACAGGGTAAAAAGAAAAGAAAAGAAAAGAAAAGAAAAGAAAAAGAAAATAATTACAAGGAGTCCTTACCCATGGAGTCCAAGAAGCTAGAACAAGATGTTTGCCTCATCAAAATTGGAAAACTAAATCCTAGCATAGAATTACCTAAATCAAACTCTAACAATGTATCCTCTAATTGAAATCCTCCTATTACAATTGAGTTCTCCGACTCCAACCCACCATCCAGCAACCCCAAGCACATCATCTCATCACTCACTTGTACCATAGAATTCCTTCCATGTATCCTCCACTTAACCATCTCACTTTGCAAAACTAGATCAATTGCAGGAACCATTGGACCCATGATTGTGTTTGCAATGCCCTTTGAACTAAAGCAGAGCCCAAAAGGGGACGAAGGTTCAGGATCCACCCTTGTCAAGTTCATAGAATTAGCAGCTTTCGTATAGGCTTTTATAAAAGTGCTGTAAATTGAGCTCTCCAAGGTGGTGTAAGGCACGGTTGTGCTTATTTTTGTCCCTCCTTTAAAGCCTCCCTGGCCTAGAGCTAATCGCTTCCCGTTGATTCTGATTGATCTCACGTTGATCAAATATTCTTGTGATTCACCACTTGGATTTGTGAGCAGAGGTGTGTATGTAAGTGAATTCAAAATTTCTGGGCCAAAAAATGAGCCACTATTTCCAAACAATATAACACCATTAGAGGAGGACAAGCAGGCAGCGAATTTCTTGTCCAAGTCAAATTTTGCAGCAAGCTGTGATGGTAATGCAATTGGAGTCCTTCCTAAGCCTAGCATACCTTGAGCACCACCGGCTAGGCCATCTAAAAGAGCAGTAGAGGCACAGGCAAAAAGAAAATTATCAATTTCCACGATTTTACCTGATTTTGTCCCATCTACAGTTCGGACGGCTATGACATCTTCTGCAAGCTCCCCTCTTGTTCTCGATCGTGTGATTCCATTTCTCGTAGAGATATCACAAGTTGAGGGATACTGTTCTTCAGACCTAGATGTATCAGAAAAGCAGTTTTTTTGCTCTGTATGAAACTTTTTTGCCATGGCGCACTGGATTGAGCAACTTGGAATTAAATGCTCATATGAAACTTTGCCTGAGGAACAATCATGCCAGAGAAACGGACCTCCAAGATCAATTACAAGCTTGGTAGGCATTCCTGATGTTCCATGATAGATCTGGGTCATGTATTGAAGGGTTGCAAGATCTTTGCTTACAGGAAGAAGTACTAAATCCTGTAAAGAGGCAAATGAGATCTCAGCATGAATTAGGTAGAGAAAATTGATGAAGGAACAGAAAAGAAGAAATTGAAAAGAAGCCATTGAAGGAAAATGAAGAGTAAGGAAGACTTGGCGTTTTAAAATTCAGTTTGGTTTGGCTTGTTAAAGTTTGGTACAGGGAAACATAGGCTTGTTTAGAATCGAAAATGCACGGTTAAAACGCGGTGGATCAACGCAGACTGGATAAACTCGCCACGCAAATGGATAAGCTTCAGATATTTAGTGCTCAATATCTAGTCATCCACTGGGACCACTGCACCACACCTCTTTTATTATTATTATTATTATTATTATTATTATTATATTAATTTTAGTGCTAGCAGGCTTGGACTACAAATTAAAATTTTGCTTAGGCCCATTAGCGAGCCCAAGAGTGGATACAGAAATATTAATAGGCTTACCCAAACGCCATGAGAATATTCTTTTCTTGTCTGCGTTTTCATTTCTTAATGACCAGCGAAGATCAAATGCGAAATCGGGATGATTACAAAAACAATTGAAGGTAAGAATCTTGCTCTCCAATTTGATAGGAGAAAATGAAAACTGTTTTTAGTGAATGGAGTTCTTGATTCGTCTGATTTCTAGCCAGGAAGTTTTTTTTTTTTAAAATAGTTTAACGTGTGTTTTGACCAAATTTAGATATTGTTTTCCTCAAATCATTATTTTCTTGAATGAGGTTTGATCGCTAATAACCGGCGATGATATTGAAATCTTTCAATTCTTAACTCTTAACAGTCTTATTATGTCTTTCTTGGAAGCAGAAATACAAACAAAGGAATGGAAAAGATTGACGAGTCAATTAAGAAACAAATAGCAGCACTTTTGCGAGTTATAAACGCTACACGATGCAAGGAAGACAACATCCCATGCGAAATTGAAGATGTAAATCATTTTTGGATGTTAAATGAATCTTTATTTGTTATAATGTCTTGGTTTTTAAACGTTTGCTTTTTTTTTTTTTTTTTTTTTTTTGAATCTTTAATTTCTTTATAATGTCTTGGTTTTTAAACGTTTGCCTTTTTTTTTTTTTTTTTTTTTTAATTTCTCAGGGGCTGGTTCGTGGGTTCTGTTGTGCTGCAAGTATAATGTTGATAAACGGAAAAAGCAAGAAATGTTACACACATATTCTTAACAGTAGCCTAATTCATTGGAACGGGTCTCTGCCCAACAGATGATTTTGTCTAATAAAATCATTTGGGAGTATCAATGCGACATCAGTCTTCTGTTAAATGAACTTACCTTTCAAATTGGCGCTTGGAAGTTGTGCTTTAGTTTTGATTTACTGCTATTTGAGCATTTGGGTTATCTTAGATTTATCTAGATTTACATAAAAGCATATTGAGGTTTTAGAACTGAAACTCTATAATAATGGTATTCTTTTTAATGTAGTTGCCGATAAAGAAGACCACAAAATGTTGATACAGTACTTTGATGAGTGTTTCATTTTATTGAGAAAGCTAAAAGACAAGGTGGTGGTGTTTTGGTTCATTGCTTGCTCCGGAAAGATCCAGAAGGTAATTAAATCTTTCCCTATCCAGTTATTTTTTTTTTTTTTTTTTTTTTTAATTTCTCAGGGGCTGTTCGTGGGTTCTGTTGGTGCTGCAAATAATAAGGATAAACTGAAAAGCAAGAATGTTACACATATCTTAACAGTAGCTAATTCATTGGCTCCTGCCCACAAGAATGATTTTGTCTATAAAATCATTGGAGGTATCATGCGACATCAGTCTTCTGTTATGAACTTACTTTCAATTGAGTTGTGCTTTAGTTTTGATTTACTGCTATTTGAGCATTTGGGTATCTAGATTTATCTAGATTTACATAAAGCCATATTGAGGTTTTAGAACTGAAACTCTATAATAAATGGTATTCTTTTTAATGTAGTTGCCGATAAAGAAGACACAAATTTGATACAGTACTTTGATGAGTGTTTCAATTTTATTGAGGAAGCTAAAAGACAAGGTGGTGGTGTTTTGGTTCATTGCTTTGTCGGAAGATCCAGAAGGTAATTAATCTTTCCCTATCCAGGTTACTTACATTCTTGGATTCTTATTTTATCAAATCTCACTGAGCTGATCTCATACATCAAGCTTTAATGAAGTAGCCCCTCTTAGGAATTCCTTTTCACACACCATTATCTTCAAATCACTGGTCCAGCACCTCAGGCTGAGATTTTCTTTAAAAGCAATTTTCTTCCAGACATTTCAGCACATTTGTTAAGCCTTTGTGCTTAACATTACAATACTGATATTCAATTCTATTATGTCGATTTTATGGGACAATTTATATTTTCTTTTGACAGACCTATTCTTACCCTTTTGAGTTCAGTTGTGAATTCGTGATTAAATTATAAACATGGTAACTTACAGCGGGATATACCATTAATGAACATATTGCAAGTAAAATTAACTGTGTATAACAAACAATGATACTGAAAAGAAGCACGGAAGGGTTTATGGGTGATGAAGCTTGGACACATTGAATAGGGAGTGAATTTCATCAGAAATATGCAGGGTTGAGCATATTTTGGCTGGAATGATAAGATATCTACTAGATTATATTCTTCCTCTGTGATTTTTCTTGTTTGTTCATATTAATTTTTGGTTCTTATTTCTTATGTTATAAAGATTTCTTTCGAGTCATGCTTATTATGATATGATTGAAACAATTTTTCATGCCTGTCAAGAAAAAATGTATGATTAATATTTTGATTTAAACTTTAAGTTAGAATTCAGTTATGTAATACTTCAAATAACTTCAATTTATTTATTTTGGGCGTCAGTGTGACAGTTGTTGTTGCCTATCTGATGAGAAAGCATGGCATGAGTCTCTCCCAAGCACTTCAACACGTAAAGAGTAGAAGGCCTCAGGCTTCTCCTAATTCAGGTTTCATCTTACAATTGCAGGAGTTTGAGAAATCTCTTCAAGGTGCATCATCCTTGATGCTGTGTATATTTATTTACAAAAACTTACTCAAATTAGTTACCACATTAAACATTGAAGAGACCAGTTTAACACTGTTATATGGTTTTGACAATATGCAAAACTCGTTTCATTTTCCTGATTTTAAGCTTATATGTCTTACATCTATTTCAAACAGAAATCTGTCATTCTTGCTGCAATAGATACCCCTTTTATCCTGGAAACACTTGTTAGGCACTACTACGCCAGGCTTCGTTTTAATTAATTTCTTTAACAAGTACAACAACTAAAAGTGACTAGATTTTGATAATTTGTAAAAGAATTACTGCTCATCCAGACTACTCGATTGTACAAGGTAACTATTTGTTATATGTTGCCCAACAATCTAGTCGCAAAATTTACATGTGACCCAAATTATGAGAATTGTCGTTTGTGGTCTCTTGTCTTGAGAAATACATTTCTACGAGATTTGTTGCTCATGTAATTGAATTAGCCATTTGTCAATTCCTTTCCCAGCACTGACCAGAATTTAAATTTCTTTTGCAAGCTTCTCATCACAATGGGAATCCAAAATGAGAAAGGATGTGGAGGGGCTTAGCTTGCAAAATCTGCATTTGCTGCTGGTCATTGGAGAAATGTAGCAATTGGGACAGCAAAGCACAATCTATTTATAAACCTAAAATACATTTGCTATGTAGTGTTTGATTTTTACCAAATGAGTTCACAGCTTTCTTCTCTATTCAGAACTTGCTGTAATGAGAATTAAAATGAATTTAGACAAACCTAATGTACTTGATGAGAAATATGAAGAGGCAAAGGAAATTGTTGATGAAATCACAGGTTACACTCTCTCTTTTTAAAACTGCTTGATAGCACAATCTAGGCCAAAACATTAAAAAGAATCCAGATTGTCTTGGATGTTAGAAGTTAGAACCCGTATCTTTGGGCTTGAAGTGGGCCAGCAGCATAGCAGGATCAAAGTCAATCTACTACAAGATAAATAAACGGGCCTGAAGTGGATTATAATAGTGCAACCATCGGGCCTTGTACAGCATTTCACCGTCCTCGCATGCATTTGTTTTTTCTTTCCGTCCATGAGACATTTTATATACATTACAAATATGTGTCAAGCAATATCGTAATTTTAAATAGATTTATACAATTAAAATCACCAAAAATTAAACATTACAAGGACAAAAAGAAATTATATAGAACGCAGAGGAGGGAATATCAACCTTACCACTTTGAGCTACATGCATGCATTCGTCATTTGAATCCTGGCTACACAATTAATGTCCTGAATTGTAGTTTGTGGCCTTAGGTTGAGAACTCTGAACTCTGGCACAAAACAACAATGACAGAAAACTGTATAACATCCACTCAACTGCCCTAATAAATTTATCGTAAACCACGCTAGCTCTTGTGAATACTCCTCTTCTACATACGGCCGCAGTCTGCAACACCAGTGAACACTGCGAGCTGCTCTCCTTGCAAGCATATCAGATAATTAATTAGCATAGTTTATATTAGGTAACACTGCAACTGGGTTTTTTACATGCTCATCCTTTAACAGAATAAGCAGATAGGCAGGGACGAAGCTACATGGTTGAGGAAGGGGATAAGCGCCCTTTCTCCTTTTGGAAAAAAAAAATTGTAACAAGGCTTAACGTTCCAACCTTACGTAATTAGGGATTTCAACCATCTTGCTCCCTTCTCTTTGTCAGAATTTCATTTAATTAAATTTCATACTGTCTTGCCCCTTACTTTTAGATCCTGGCTTCATTTAATAATATCATAAAGCAAAAGACATAATAAGCATCTCATGTAGAAGTGGAAATGAGAAAAGTTTAGTCATAAAATACACTTAAATAAAAATGACAATTTGAAGCATAAATTGCAAAATAAGAAATTTCAATGGTAATCACAATAATTAAAATTTAGTTAATAAAAATTAACCAAGTCAATATTCCTTTTTTTTTTTAGTGAAAAGACATTAATATTTTTATTTATCTCATTTATTAATATTTGATTGCGATTTGATTGATAGGTTGTGTTTATAGACATTGGATAAAATTAACAAGTGAAAGATAAGAATTAGCTAATTAAAAATACGAGCTACATAGCGAGGTAGTTGAGTTGTAAAATTGAAGCCTGCATACCGTACCCTTCCTCACTATATAGTTTAAGCATATACATTAATTATTAATTAGCATCTAATTAAATAAAAACATAGGTTATGAAAAAAAGAATAAGCTTCGAGAAATTACACAAATACTTTTAAGAAAAAATTAAAAACAATTAATATACCAATGTCCCACAGTGATGACTGAGCATCACTACATCAACATCAATAGATATCATCGAAATCATGCTGTATATCCTTTGACAGCTATGTTTCTTGTTTTTTGTATGGTTAATGGCATACGAATATAATAACATTTTTATGAGAAAAAAAAAAATATTAGAGAATAACACTGCAATGAGACACTATGATAAAAGGGGAATGTGCATGAAGAGGACATACAGGAAGTTAAGGGACTCCCACCTTCCCCCTATTTTAACTCACGCAGGTCATGTAATTGACCCAAGGTAATAAACGTGAGATGTAATATCTGCAAGTGATGAGTATGAGTGAGCATGAGCAAGAACCTCACGGGAGTGCGACATACAGCATTTATTGTCCTAGCCAAGAAACTAGTTTTTGGACTCTCTCTCTCTCTCTCTTTCTCTCAGTTTCTTGCCCTATAAGTAGATAGGACTTTAAAACCGAAAAGAAAGAATACATATATATATACACAGTTTTTCTGATTTGAACTAAAAAAATGTCTCATATAGCTGTAGAAAGAAACCGGAGAAGACAGATGAATGAGCATCTCAAAGTCCTACGTTCTTTGACCCCTTGTTTCTATATCAAAAGGGTATTTGTATCTCTCTCTATCATATACCATACGTATATAATAGTAATTAATTAAGCAAACCTTCTTTAATTTAATAAATTTCTACACAGTTATGAGTTAATAATGATTTTATTTTCTGTTACGGTTAATTAGGGGGACCAAGCATCTATAATAGGGGGTGTAATAGAGTTTATAAAAGAACTGCACCAAGTTTTACAAGCTTTGGAATCCAAGAAGCGAAGGAAGAGTTTAAGCCCTAGTCCTGGTCCAGGTCCAGGTCCTAGCCCTAGCCCTAGACCACTGCAGTTAATAACTCTACAACCTGATCAACTTCAGAGCCCATTCGGACAAGAAAATGTTAAGGAACTGAGCGCATGCTGCAACTCTGCAGTTGCGGATGTGGAAGCCAAGATATCAGGATCAAATGTGATGCTGAAAATAATATCAAAGCGAATACCAGGTCAAATTTTCAGGATAATCAATGTCTTGGAAAAACTTTCTTTTGAGGTCCTTCATCTCAATATCAGTAGCATGGAAGACACTGTTCTCTACTCCTTTGTCGTCAAGGTATACCCTATATATAACGTAACAGCTTAACACTGTTCTACTATATATATAACTCGACCATATTTTCTGTTGTTTATCTGCAATGGGAAAGTTCTTCTGTCGTTAACTTTTCGCTATGATCGGAAAATTTTCCATCTTCACATTTTTTTTTTAATAACACATCAGGTGACTTGTCGTTTTGTTAAACAAGGTCTCCAATCATTCATCTGAGAGTGAGCCGTACTCGAGCTTGTATCATTTTCAGGATGATGGAGAATTTGTTGAGAAGTACTTGAGCTTGTCTCAATGACACGTAATGTTAGACTTGCCTTTATACGTGTCAAGTGCATAACATGCTCTTACTTCTTACCACTTCAACGTATAGGACAAGCAAACTTAATGAGACATCTTTTGGTTAGGAAACATATAAAATATTCGCATGACCAAAGAAAATATTACAATGCATGGCTTCTTTTCATTTGACCTTCGACAGTCAAGTCAACGCAGTAGCAGCAGATTAATTAATGAAACAGTTAAACCTTTACTAGGGTTATAATTTATAAATATGATATGCTGTTGCAGATAGGGTTGGAATGTCAGCTAAGTGTGGAGGAACTTGCACTTGAAGTTCAACAGAGCTTCTTTCCTGAGGCAATTTATACAAATGAGATGTAAATTTGCTGTTTACTTTTTGACGAAGGTTAGTACAAGCAGTAAGAGAAATAATGGAATGTGTGATCTTTTCTTGATAATAAAAAGAAGTGGATTTTTGTTTTAATCTATCAAAGTTTATTTATATGAATCTAAATTATAAGTTTGATTATTTCATATGATATATATAATGAATTCATCGTTTAATTACATTACTTGAAATATATGAAATTAATTGGAAAGACATTATCATATCCTAAAATTCATATATCAAGATTTTCCAGCATGCATTTGTCTTTCTTTTCTTTTCCTTATTAAACAAACTAAACTGCAACCATATATCAAAAAGAGTACATCCTCTCTTATATGTGAGCAGAGAAATCAATCCACACTCATTAGCTTCATGAAGAACTTGACCAAAAAGCTAGGGCAAAGATCGTCTGTTTTTATCATTTTTCAAATTTTAATGGCATAAACCGAACTACGCTTGTTATAGTTATATGCTAACATTTTCCAAAAGATGTATTTGTGATCTTGAAAAGTGCATGTACCCGCGAGGATGGATATAGTTCCTGTGTTTTTTAATATGTAAAGAAGTTTGTTAAGACAGAGAAAATCTGAAAGCATGAAATAATATAGAATGTATGAACAAATTAAGAGATTCAGTTTATAACATACATTAATTAAGATAAAGAAAGACAGGGAAGATTTGCATATGTAATGTAAGTTGACTTGCCATTAACCAACAAGCTTCATAGTTCAGCTGTAAAGTCTTCAAGAACATTGTACTAGCCAAAAACAAAAAAGAAAACCTCTGTTGATTTACAAGATCACCAAAAGAAAGCCGATTGGTTTTCTTGAATGGTTATCCTAGCAAGATGGCCTAACCGGAATTGTGATCCAAATTTGAAGATGGGCCAATCCAATTTTTGTTTAAGGCTCTGACCCAAACTCAAACCCAAAAAAAAAGAACAGAACTCCATTGCTTTATTAATTTTACAGCTGTGGGACCAAAGTTTGGCAGTTGAAACATTGTAGTTGCTACTGAAAGGGATGTTTTATTTTACATTTTACCCAGAATGGAGTGGTAGGATAGGAGGCAGAAAGTGGAGGCCCAATGCCGGAAATTAGCTGCTACATTTCATTTTAGTAGTGGTGGCATAGCACTATCCAATCAACTCATCTGGACAACTATTATCATTCTTAGCTTCCCTTCTCAGCAATTATTAATTCAAGTATATGGGTCCATTCTTTGACATTGGTGTGTTTTTGGATCCATCCATTTCTATTTTTTCCCTCCATAATTGCTTTCTCACACTATTTAGCCACTGCTTGCTTGGCTGTCCACTTCCCTTCTTTTTCTATAAATTTTATTTATTTTCTTGTTTTTATATATATATCTTCGCATGCAAAATCACAATCATTATATTAGTGATCAAGTTAAGCAAAAGATGTGTGAACCCACGTGAAAAACATTTACTTCCCTCTTTTTTTATAAAATTAATTAATTAAAAAGATTAATTAGAATTAGGGTTTGAAAAATGGTAATTGAAAACTTAATTTTTGTATTCAAATTTGAAAACAGAAAACAAAAACAAAAGCTTTGACCCATCTTCTTCATAATCTTCAAGTGAGGAGTATCATATTCATATGACATAATCGCAAATAATTTCAACTCTAATTATAGATGTTGGCCCATTTTAATTACTCATTAATTAGGCCTAAGTGTAGGGTTAGAAGTAATGCTCTTTCATTTAATGCGCTAACTACTTCAAAGATTTAAAACTTCAATCATTCTGAAAACTAATTAATTTCCAGATTCTATTTCAATCTTGATTTTTAAAATACTATTAAACCCGTTCTTTTTGTTTTTGATTTAGACCGTACTTACGGTGATGTCGCGTATTTTTTTACGTATATACGTTCAAAAAAAATTTACAAATATACAGTACAATGGTGGTGCGGCATGCGGCGAGAGGTGGAAGTGAGAAGTTTGATAACAATGAAGCGTGGGAGGTGGGCCCACTTTGAGGAAAATGGGTCCCATTTCCAATACCCAAAACCGTACAGCTATAAAGATTCCCGCTACTTCACAACGAAGCAGGCTAACTGACAATATCCGCCGTTAATTAGCTGCCGTCATCTTTTTATTTTACGGTTTTGTTTATTTATCTATCCTGTCAGTTGCTCCGCTCCGCTCGGCTTGGCTTTATGACCCCGTTTTTCCTCGCCGTCGTCACTTTCCGCCTCTGGGTTTCTTATTATGTTGTCGCAACTTTTTTTTTTTTTTTTAATTTCTTGTTTTTGACCATTTTTTTGTGCTTTTCTTTTTTTTATATTTATGTACAGTAGATATTTATATTATTGTTAAATTAATGATTTAATGAGTCAGACATACTTGATTGAAACATTTCCTTTCACTTAAAAAAAAAGATTGGTATGCCAGCAAAACAAAAAGATCACGAGATTGTGAATTAGCTATTTTTCTTTTTTCCAGATATATTTCGTTTTTTTTTTATATAAAATATTGTGTTTTCGAATTATTTTTACGTTTTTTCTTTTCTATTTCCATACACAATAAGTTGCGATTGTGATATTCAAAGAAAATCAACGTACCATACGGCATTAAATTTAATTGATTTATTTTATTTTTATTTTTGCCAGAAAAATACATACGGGCTACATGCTGTCTGTTAACAAAAAATCAATTTGTACTTCAATTGTCACATGCTTTGCAAGTGAGTCCAAAATTTTCCAACCTGAAATCTTTTTCCTAAAATCACAAATTATTTTACTCAAAAAAAAAAAAAAAAAAAATTGATTTTACTCAAAAAAAAAAAAAAAAACAGACAAAGGATTTGAATCCGTGCAAGGGGCAGACAGAAAAAAAAAAAAAAAAAACAGACAAAGGATTGAATTCCGTGCAAGGGGGCAGACAGACGTTAACGTGAGCTTCTGTACATTTTTTCAATATCTCTCGTAAGATATTCGCTTACCCAATAAATCTCTAATAAAAAAAAGTCATCGTTGTAACTGTAAATTGCTAATGAGAGTAATGAGGACTCGTCTTCTTCTACTGACAGAACAGAACAGAAGTAGCACTATTGGGTTTCTTCAATGGCATTATATTAATTCGAAAGTTACCTTTCTCTCCTTGTTAAAGCTATTAATTTTCATAATGTGTTTTCTTTAATCCTTGATTAGTATTTTATATTTTCGCGTTGCATTGTTGCCCTAAATCAACATTTATTCCCACTTAGTATTATTGATGGAGGACTGTATTGCAATTTGTGAACCTTTTTTTTTTTTTTTTTTTTATAATGGTTAGACCATGAATTCAAGGGCATTGTCGGTTATTTAAATAATCCATACTTTGAGTGGCTTTTGGGTGAGATGCCAAAGCCAAAGCCACAAATAAAGCGCATACATAAAATAATTTTATTATATAAGTCCAGACGTACACATTAGAATTTTAATTATTGAAATAAAAATAAGTACGTACAGTTTAAAACATTGACTAATAAGACTTGTTTTAATAATTTCGAAGACGAATACATATATATAAATTCAACAAAATAAAGATGGCGTTTTGTCACACTAATGAAATTATTATTATGGAAGACATAACTACGACATTTGATTAAAAGTTTCATTTTTCGAATTCATGGTGTCTATTACTTTGAAGGATTCGTATCCATCATTTATTGGACCCTTGCAAGTATTCATCCAATTACTTATTGCCCATACCAATTTTCTCTATATAATATTGCTTCCATGCATATACATCTTATATATATTATTGCCTTCCATGCCATATACATCTTTAATATAATATATATATTAATATATTTTTTTTTTTTTTATTTTTCGGAATGTTGTCCATTTTTTAAAAATTGATTTAATATTCCCTCACCTTAAAAAAATTTAAAATCGCTTAACCACTTCATTCAGCATTTTTCCCCCGGTCCGCTTAATCATTTGTCCTTGATATTTCTCGCCAATCTCTTCAAATTTTAAATGGCAGTGTGGAAGCAAATGAATTTTCCCCTCTGACTTTAGGTGATTAAATCTTTTGATTTTTTCCAAACTAATTTATTATATTTTTTTTTTTTTTATTTTCGGAATGTCATTTTTTAAAAAATTGAATTTATATTCTCACCTTAAAAAAATTTAAATCGCTTAACACTTCATTCAGCATTTTCTCGGTCGCTTATCATTGTCCTTGATATTCTTCGCAATCTCTCAAATTTTATGCAGTGTGGAAGCAAATGAATTTCCTCTGACTTTAGTGATTAAAATCTTTGATTTTTCACTATTTGGTAGAATAAAATTTTTAGCCACATAATGTGTAAACAAACAAGTGAAGTTTATCCAGAACATCAATTATTGAAAATAATTGTATGGCCATTTGAAATGATGTTCTATTTTTGGCCTGCAGTGGACATGTTCATTGTTTTTTAGCCATTGAAAATTATTTGTACACATTAGATATGTTGCTCTATTCTTGGCCTGCATTGTTCATTGTTCACTGAACAAAACAACAGTGCCTAATTATTCCAACTGAGTCAATTAATTTTAATTAAAACATAGAAACCTCAGGTCAGAGAGAAAGTTAGGGCAAATAAAAAATGTAACCCTAGCAAGGAAATTCTGTCCCATGAAAGAGACAGTGAGGAGGAGTAATGTAAAACAATCACATGCGTAGAGACAGAGAGAGAGAGAGAGGGTACTGCTCCTAGGAAAATTAAGCATAACTCAGAACAGAGACCCATTGTCCTAATACATAGGAATGTGTATAAAAATAATAAAGGCAAACACATTTGTCAACCGAAATCCAAGAGAGAGGCCTGCGTGACTAACAGTATTATTAGGCAGTGATCAACATGGCTCCCATGTGATATTACTGCTCTTAATAGTTCTTGATCTCTGTGCTTTGAACGTAGAATTCCTCGCTTTGACTTTCGTTAATTCTTGCTACTACTATATTTATATATTTTGGTTATGAAGGGAAGAAGATAATACTGTAGCTCTTAGCTGGGTGTGCATATAGAGGGAATTGAGGTTGGTCTTTTTAAGGTAGGAAATGGAGGGCTGCAGGAGTCAGTAATTGTGGCTGCAACTTAGCTCTTCT